ATCAATTAAGGGAATGATAAACTCAAGAAAAGAAGATATTTTGATTGCTGGTGGTCACTCACGTGGTTCCTCCAAGAGTGCTGAAATATTTTCATGGCAGGAGAAGAAATGGTTTAAAATTGCATCAATGGAAAATGAACACAGGGAGGCTTCATCATTTATTTATAATGATAATTTATTTGTTGTTGGAGGTGGTGGCTGCATGTCAATGGAGACATTGAATATAAAACAGTCACCTTTGGCATGGAAAAAATTTCCCACAGAGCTTCCTTATGAATGTTGGAGTCATCAAACTGTTGTTTGTAAACAACAAATCCTTGTCATTGGAGGTTATGTTGATGGAAAACAATCAGATTTGATCAGTGAAATAAAGATTACTGGTGCTACATCTTATGTTTTTAAAGAGCTGTGTCATATGCCTGAACCACGTAGGGACCATGCAGCTGTTGTTGTTGATGATAAAGTTCTTATTTTTGGAGGAAGGGGAAAAGATGGGAAAGTTTTGTCGAGTGTTTTGGAGTTTGATCCAAGAACTCTCACGTTTAAGGAAATGCCTCCATTACTTCAACCATTGACTCAAATGGCAACAGTTCAATGGAGAGATCAAGTTGTTCTTGTTGGAGGTAGTGATGGAAGAGAAAGTTTGAACAGTGTTATCATGTATGAATGTAATACAGGTACGATTACAGTCGTACCATTCACAATGGAAAAGAGATCCGACTGTTGTGCAGTTATAACTGGTGATACAATTGTTGTCATGGGAGGTTGGAATGATAAAGGTAAAGATCTTAAATCAGTGGAGTGTTTTAAAATGGGAAGTAGTTCTTCATGGAAATATCTTCCTTCAATGAATGAATCACGATGGACAGCCATTGCTGAAGTTTTACCTTTTGGGAAAAATTATGTATAAGCACAAAATATTTTGTAAATAATCAGATCATTGTAACTCAGCAAAACTTTTTAATATTAAGTTGAACAGTTAATTTTTACAGTTAAGTATGTAAACCTTCAATGTTCTTATAGCCTTTGATTATTATAGTAAATTACTGAAGAAATAAATGACTTTAGTATTTTACTAAAGACTGAGGTAAAAGAAAATTTATAGCATTAGTTTTTGCTCAGAATATTTAAGCTGCAGTGTATGGATTTGACCAGTTGTTTTGTCAATTCTTTGTTTATCATAATCGAAATCACTGCCAAGTGTACATAGCTTATTTATTAACCCATTTTTATTTTCCCTAACATAAGGAAAAGTGTGATAAATTGCGAGGTTATTGTGATGAACAAGCAAAAATTTTCACCGAAATAGCACTTTTTTTGTATGAAATATAACATGCCGCTTTATTGTATTGACAATTATATAGTCCAAGAACGACAATTTGTTTGCAATAAAGTGATGCTGAGACAAGGCGATGTTTTTCATCGAAGTACAAGTCTTACATAAACTAAAGCATTTTCTTCGCTTAAAGTGCCCATGACACGAAAAATTTGCAATCTGAGTTGTATTTTTATTAAAGTGATCTTTTGAAATGACAATGGACATTCTAAAACAGTTTATGCACATCACTTTTATTTCTTGAGATATTGAGGTTTTTGCTTTGTCCAATTTATCTAACTTGTGACGTCAAATTGCATAATGAGAACTAGGAGTATTAGGTATATTTAACGATACTTTACTTCACAAGGACAGAGTTCCCTTTGTTGTGACGTCGTTAATGGTATAAGATATAAAGTTGTCAGGAAACTGAAGAGTATTTAAAACATTCTGGTAACTCATTAGGCAACATGACGTCACAAGTTAGATAAAATGGAAATAACAAAAAACTTCAATATCCTGCTAAGGGAAAGAGATATGCATTAACTGTTTCAGAAAGTATAACGTCATTTCAAAAGTTCTATTCATTGCAAACATAATTTAACTAGCAAATTTTCGTGTTACAGGCACTGTAAAGCAAAAGTTGCAAATTTGGTTGTAACAATATTTGGAAAACCAGTCAATATCAGTACCACTAGAAGGACAATATTCTCTACTTTCGAATTTCTTGAATATTCGGTCATGTAAAGTTTTTAGGAGAAGCCGGAGTTTTTTTAGGAAAAGCCAGAGTTATGTTAGCTGGAGTGGAAGTTAAATATTCCTTAGAAATTTCTGACAAACAGCGTTGTTCTTATGTTAATTTGAATACAATCAAACGCCATTGAGACCCACTCGCGGATGAGATCAAAAAGATTTGAAGCAGCTTAACAGTTTTTGAAAAGGCAAAGTGCAAATTCACTAATGCTACTTCAGTTTACTTTATAACGACGGCAAAGATATTGTATATTTTGGTATTAAAATTCTTCCAGTAAACTGGGCAAACATCTTAATAATTTCATACCTTAGCGTATTCCTCTTGAAAGCATTTCAACTGTAGACAATCCTCGATCTCTCGTTTTCGTTTTCTATACAAAACTTCCAGCTTGGAGAACACTTGATTCATTTTGAAATATAATTTCAAGACAATTTCCATGGTATATTTCCAGTCTTGTATTTTATTCGAGTTATCTGTCAGTTGCATGTCCGACACAAGTTTTTCACCTTTGACTTGTAAAGTTCATCTTATAGTTCAATTTACTGAATGTACGAATTTGATGCATTGAAATGGAAGATAGCACATCATCAAAAGACGACAGCAATTTGAACTAAAAACAGAAATTTCCATGAGCCTTTGCGGAAAAGGGCAACACGAGTCTTTCCACCCACCTACCCCAACACTCCCCAACTCACTTGAAATTTAAGTTTTTCTTTTAGTTCATCAGCCCTGAACATCAAAAGATGTGAATCTTTTCGTTCGAGGATGTAGGCATTGTGAACGCTAACTGGTTGCATCTCCTATGGAGATGAAAAATACAAGCATTAGATTACAGAAGAAATTCAAAGTTGAAAAACATAAAAAGGAGTGAAATATTTGAATGTCAATACAACATAAATTTGAAACTCGTAGTCCTCTGCTTTCATGTTTAAAGCCAGTTTCACATTCCTCAAAAAAATCATTAATGTTGACGATCTCTACGATCCCAAACTTTTACAATAACATGTGAACATAAAGTACATGTCAACCCAGTCAGTGGTCCTACATATCACGAAGTCCATGACCCAAATGAAAACTTATAAAACCATTTCAACTATAGGATTATCGGAACTAGAAAAGAGAAATTGTAGTAACTGGAATATCGGGGAGACTTCACAAACATAGAAATCACAAATTCCAATGACTTTCAGAAGCAACATAAAGCTGGCTAGACCGACAAACAATAGCAAGATCACCACCGGTTCCTCAGCTTTCTCAATAAACGTGATTTAAGTTAACCGAAGCCAAAAAGTTCGTTCGCTTTTAAAATCATTACGCCTCACCAATTAAAACCGCAAAAATGGCATACGTTGTAACATTAGCACTAGCATCAGTTTACGTAGGTCAAAGCCCATCTTAATCATACACCGAAATTAGATCAATTGACAACCACTAAAGATATTGCATGCTATACCATATGAAACATGCACATCCCCTTAACACCCTCCTAACCCCGACACCCCTCAATTATCCCTGCTATATGTACGACGTAGACAGTAACCAGGTCAGCTTATTTACTCATGTTCTGTATTTTTTGACGTTCACTCATTTCAAAACCCATAAATTTTCAAAGAAAAGAAAATTAATAAAGTTCTCAAATTTAAATGGAACGACAACGTCACTTTCTACCACGCTACATCACTGACTACGTCACTGGCTGCCGCACTACATCACTGCAGGTAATGGTGTGAAATAATATTGTTCTGAAAAAAAGCGTTAGAATTCAGACTTGAGGCAGAACGTTCATACAACGCAGGAGTGATCGAATTCAAAGATTTTTCTTGGAATCCCGATGACATTTTTTGAAAAATTCAAAATGCTTATGATGCGAAAATTTAGATTTATAAATTATAGTTTCGTTAAAAAAATTTTTTAAAATGACAGTAACCTATCTACGTTAAACAACGTTCTTTTTTATTCTTAAAGGGGAAGTCAGAGTTCGGAACAACTTTGGCCCAAATGAAAGTTTATATTTTTATTACCTTATATACCAAATATTATATCTTCTAGTTAAATACAAGTCGAGATATAAAGCGAGGAACCACGAAATTTTGTATATTTTGTATCAGCTATTATGTACATGCGAGCGAACCTGCGATCAAGCAGCGGTAAAGTCTCGTGACGTCATTGCGCGCTTTCGCGGGAGCGTATATATATTCAAATAGACAACATATCAGGAAAAGCGACACAGTTACAATTACTTTGTTTACTTTAAATATTTCGGAACAATGCCACATTGCATGGTGCCTAATTGCACTAACGGATCTAGAAAAACAAAAGGTAGCGATGTATCGTATCATCGATTGCCAAACGACCCAACAATGCAAAAAATATGGCTTGCACGGGTTCGTCGTGATAATATACCGAAGCCAAATTCATGTTACGTATGTAGCGACCATTTCACCCCAGATTGCTTTAGTACTTCTCTAAAGGAGATATTCGGCATGAAATCGAAAAAGATATTAAAACCTAGTAGTGTACCATCGATATTTCCATTTTAAATCGTAAACCCGAGCGAAAAATGTCACACAGAAGAGAACAAATGAGAGATAGAATTGCAAGACATGAGGTAAATAGGATATTGCAACCATATAGATTATATTTGAAGTTATTGAACTGTTCTTTAAACAATTAGCTTTGTACTCTCTTGGTTGAGAAGTTTGACTATTTTGTAGGAAGTTAGAAGCATAATACAATCACTAGATGAAGATACAAATCTTGCAACATGCATTGAAGATCAGCCTCCCAGTCCATTGTCCAAGGATGCCCAGATTCAATGTGAGCCAAAAGTTTTCATTGATGCAGAAGCACAGTGTGATACACCAAGACAAAGGACAGTTGCCATACAAACTCTTGCACAAAGAAAAAGGAAACCATTAAAAATTAAAAACGCTTCAAAAAATGTTGCCCCCTCTTTAAATGCAGTTTCTTCAAGTCGTACACCAAAACCAGTAACATCTCCCACAACTCCTAACACAACAACTCCTATCATAACAACTCCTATTATATCATCTGATTCAGAAATCTCTTTAGGAAGCAGTGATGATATTGCTGCATCAGATAGTGATGATGATTATACCTATCTTGAGGAACTAGATACAGATGAGGAATCTGAAGGTGAGGAACTAAAAAATCAAAGAAAATTCATTGTCTTTGAAAGCATGCTTGATAAGCTGTTCGCAACATGTAGAATATGTGGTTCTCTTTGTGAGATTGAGAAGTCCCATATTGGTAGTATGGTTGCCATAAAAACAACATGTAGCAATAATCATACTTACCAGTGGAAGTCTCAACCATATTTGCACAATAAACCAGCAGGTAATATTTTAATTCCTGCTGCAACTATCATGACTGGAGGAACCTATGAAGCCACCAAGCAATTTGCAAATGCAATTAATTTAAACTTTGTAAATAAAGATCAGTTTTATGAAGTTCAAAATAAGATTGTCTTCCCAGTCATTGACAATGTCTATAAAAACAACAAAAGAAATTATTGAAACCATCAAAACAAAATGAAACCGGTTGACTTATGTGGTGATGGTAGATCAGACAGTCCTGGTCATAGCGCAAAATATGGTACATATTCCTTAATGGATGAAACTTCAGAGAAAATTATTGACTTTTCTCTTGTTCAAGTCTCTGAAGTTTCATCCTCTAATGCAATGGAGAAAAAAGGATGCCAAAGAGCACTTGACAATGTCATTGAGCAAGGTGTGAAAGTGAGATCATTGACAACTGACCGCCACATTCAAATAACCTCTGAAATGCGAAAGAGGTACCCTTCCATAGTGCACCAATATGATGTTTGGCATCTCTCAAAGTGGGTGACAAAAAAATTGACAGAGAAGGCAAAGAAAAAAGAAAATCATGAGCTACTAGAGTGGATTCAGTCTGTATCCAATCACCTTTGGTGGTGTGCACAAAGTTGTCAGGGAAATGCTGAAGTGCTCCATGAGAAATGGGTGTCCATTTTACATCATATAGTCAACAAACATAATTGGAGAAATAGCAAACATTTTGCAAATGTGCACATGGCCCTTTATCTAAAAACAAAGAAAGAAAACGAAATGGTTGCAGGCTGGATCTGCCCCACATATAGCATTGGAGGAGGTTGTTCTGAATAGAAAGCTTTTAAAAGATATACAACAGCTTACAGAATTTCACCATACTGGCAACCTTGAGGTCTACCATTCCTTGCTGCTAAAATATGTACCAAAACGTAAACACTTCTCATACAAGGGAATGGTGGCCCGTACTCAACTAGCTGTGATTGATCACAACTCCAACACTGGAAGGAGGCAAGCAACAGTCACCAGAGGTAAGGAAGAAGGGAAAAAGGTATAAGGTGGTCTTCCCAAAAGGACGTAAAAAATGGATAGTGAAACCAGTGTTGGAGAAAAAGTGTTTTGATTTTGTACTGCAACTGATGGATGATGTGGTAGAGTTCAATGTGGACATGAATCCTCAACCATCAGACAAGCATGTTAAACTTCCAAAGAATATTGCACCTACTCCAAGACCAAGCAAAAAAGAAGTGATAGCAGCACACCGATCACGAATGGCTGAAATACACACATAGGTGTGGCTAAATTATAGAATACCTGGCAATTTTAAATATCAGAAATTTTTCTTGTTAGAGAATGACTAGACAGACCTGGCTTTTATATAGGCCAAGTAAACAGTCAATTAAGTATTTAATAAATGATAATATGACAGCAAACAACTAGCTGCTACAAAAAGAAACAGTCAAGCCAGGTATCCTATAGTTTATTACTCTGACAAAATGTAATCTTTGCAATTGAACAAATTATAGCTACATATGAGACAAAGCCAGCCTGCAAATTTGGTTCTAAAGAAATTAATAATGGTAAAGCTAAGAAATTAACATCACAGGACAAATTTGCAAGCTAGCTTGGCTAGTGATTGTTTATATTATTATTACTATACATAAAACTAGGTGTTTATGTCCTACTTTTGTCAGTCGTGCAGATAATTAACATGCTATTCTATAGCTAGTGCCACATGGCAATTTGAAGCATGTCGCTCCCGTTACTTGAGAAATAGCTACCATGTTGCCAGTAATTTTTTACGCCATCGTGGGCTTTGTAGTAATTATGGTTAGAATAAGGTTCGGTGTAAGTATAAGTTAGCAACAGCGCTTTGAAATTCAGAAATTGAAGATGGCATCAACAGCAAGGTTTTACGATTTACCTACAATTTACAACACAGAATACCGTGTACTAAAACAGAAAAACAAAGTGGGAACAGTTTCTTAAGTAGCGGAGGTTTTCTTTAAAGTTTTACACAACCGGTTATCTAACACTTAAATAATAATCTTCCGCGACTGCCAAGTATGTGGGCACGGCCTACATATTAATACAATTCTTTAATAAACAAACTGTGATTTCGAGGACTGTAAATATGGTGAACCAGATAAAAAGAGTACATATATATATATATATAAAATGTAATATAGAAATATACAAATACCTCGAAAATTGTGGTGTCGTTAAAACTCTGAATTGGAATCTTCAATACACATATTTTCTGCTTTGTCTTAGCATGTCAGAAAAATATGTCCCCGTTTCATTAACCAGTTCAAAAGTATAATATTTAAACCCTCCATTTATCTTTGAAATTTCTTTACCATCTTTTAAGTTAGAACAGGTCAAAATATCGCTCGAAGAATCGTTTAAATACGCCATTTACCTAGAAGACTTTAAAATTGACAGACAAAATATCTATTCTATTCTCTTCGAAATTGCTCGATTACAGAGTCGCGCAGTGACGTAACGATGTAATTCCGCTGCTTGATCGCAGGTTCGCTCGGATGTACATTTATATTTGCAAAATAACGCAGTTTCATTGCTTTATTTCTCGAGTTGTATTTAACGTAAAGATTTTAGACTTGGTATGCAAAGTAATAATACAATACTCTTTCATTTGAGCCTAAGTTGTTCCGAACTCTGACTTCCCCTCTTAAAACATTAAATTTGGTAGACGGACTATTTTGTACAACCAGTGACGTCATAATGCATAACGATTCTCTTAAACCTTCAAATATATGTACTTCAGTCAGTTTCGTGGAAACTTTTGATCAAATGTCCTAGCACAATTTTATACCATTAACACCATTCAACGAAGGCATCTCTGCCAGCTGAAGAAAATCATCGTATTCATATAAAGGGAGTGAGAGCTTTTATGGGTATAATGTCGGTACACAAAGTTCATTGTTTACAAAGATAAACCTTGATCAAAAATGGAATGAAATGGAATAAGTTCTCTGGTTTAATAGACATAGTTTATAAATTACAGAGATATACCCTGATCAAAACTGGATTCAACTTGGGTATGTACTTTGGTTTAGTAGACCTAGTTCATTGTTTGCTGAGATAAACTCTGACGAAAATTGGAAATAAATGAAATATGTACTATGGTTTATAGACCTATGCAGCTAGTTCACAGTTTGCAGAGATAAACACACTCTTTCAACATTTCTAAGCCTTTTGAAGTATGATCAGTTTAATACAACTTGTTTATTTTGCTGTTTGTGATGAAGTATATTTGCTGTACATTTTTATAAATACATCAATTAGAATAGTTTTCAATAAAGTCGATATTTTATTTGATATTGATATATTGACCAATTTCTAAAAACAACAATACATGGCATTTAAAGTAAATAAAAAATTTTTTTGACATAAACATGTTTCGATTTAACATTAAGTTATCAGCAATATGAATGAACTAAATGTTTTACATTGTCAAATATATACAAGGATACGTGACAGAGAGTTTTGAATTTGATTTTTCCTAGAGCTCAAAACATGGAAGTAGAGTTAAGTATGAATTACTGATTGGTAATTCATATGTATCATATATTTTACTTCATTTGTACAGAAGATTTCTTAAAGTAAATTCAAAACCTTTTGTGTCAAAAATATTTTCTCATTTACTTTAAATGCGTTATTGATCTTACGTTCTTAAGATCATATGGAAATAGCAATATACCCTATGACAGAGAGAAACATCCTTAGGTACACAAACCTTGGTTGACGTCCTTAGTTCCAGAAGTAACTAGCAGATAGGCCTCAGAAACTCTTCATCAAAAAGCTCAGAATGGCCACCATAAGCCTCTTCACAAGTCTTCTCGAGTTCATTAAAATGATCCTCAAACATGGAACCCTCGAGAAAGAGTTTCCGTTGTTCGTCCTCTAGTGTCTGCAAGGTCAGCAAATAACATTTACATACTCTATTTTATTGTTATAAATAATATCCAAGCTCAAATTCGCAAGGCTTGATCATACACAAAGGCTTGCTACTGTAATGGTGATGTGTTGATTTATACACAGAAATACCAATAACAAATTAGATCAAATATTTTGTAATATTGGATCCTTTTTGTCAACTTGTGCGTCAAAGTCTCAACGAATTAAACAGAATATATGAATGAAGCGAAGTTTGACTAAATACCTGTTTGAACTCGAACACTTCTTTTGTCAACTCTGTAGCTTAAAGATCAGTGAGTTCTTAGAAATAAGACTAAAGGACGTAGCTTGCTCAATAATCGGTGATTGTATCTATTTATTCACCCGCTTCGTCTTAAGCATATGGCTAATAGCCGTATTTTAGTGCTAAAAAGTACTGGCTGATAGCCGTCAAAGTCATTGAGTTCTATAATAACTGGAGGGGAAACGTCAACAAAATTACTATAAATTATTAGCGCGCGGCCGCGTGGTCAAAAACATGGCGGATTTTGGTGGTCAAAGTCAGCGGAGAGACGCGGGCTCATGAAATAAAATTTTTGTCGCCCACCCTGATTTGACCACCACGATTGCGAGTATAGAAAATATCAAAACTATTTATTTTCCTAACATAAACACTTTTTTAAAACTTTATTTATTAAACTGCCAACTTGTGTGGTTTGAGGATGCTGAAATAGCGACAGAAAAAGGAACATTTCTTGACTCCGGTAAGTAGCACAGTATTAGTTTTACTATTTTGTTTTTAACACGATACTTGAAGAGTGTTTCTACTACTAAGTTTTAATTTAAAGTTATTTTGGTCCAGTCTTGTTTGTTCTTCACTTAATCGCTCGCCAGACGTGGCGAAGCTGTAAATTTTTATCGAGTTTTGCATCCATCTTGTATCATGATCAAGGCATCAAGCTAAACTCTCCTGATTTGAATTGAGTTTACCTCCCAAAATGGGGCATAATTTGTTCATGTTTTTTGAAAAGATGAAGGGAAAGTTTACAACAGAGTTGTGTTGAAATTGAATGCAGTGCCATGCAAAATTAATGAGAACTATGGTATATGTTGTATAATAAAAATAACTATTAAACTGTTTGCCTGCTCAATTTGACTGACTGTATGTGTAGACAATTATAATGAGATTGGAAAGTTGGATTTATGCAAACAATTTTAAAGTACTACTTAGCGTTTCTGTAAATGAAGTATTTATTGTTATAGTAAACAGGTTAATACTTCAAAACCAAGATGAAAGTAGTGTGTTGAACAATGTGCTAAGATTTGTTTCTACCTTGAAATTTTGTTCAACAGTAGCTTATGATGATATCATTAATATGCATGAAAAATTAAACATATTATTGTCTCATCTCATTAAATCCATACTTGGTATGATTCCAGGTGATCCACAAATTCACATCAATGCATTGGTTACAATGAAGTTGAATGTAGAAGAAGCAAAATAGATGGCAAAGAAATTCTTTGTGTCTTATGAAGAATTAGTAGAAATCAATAAAAGAATTCTTTAAACAAATTGTAAACAAATTTAAATTTGCTCATGGTCAAGCAACCTAGTCAAAGAAGGAAAGTCTGTCTTCAACATGTGACCTTTCCAATTATTTAGTTTCTTTGTACAAAATACTATTTTCGAGAAACTTGATTTGTAAGTCTTTCATTAATATTTTTTACCAAGAGATAAAAGGAACTAATTCAAAGGCTTGATGTAAAATACAAAGATTTAACAAGTTGTTTATCATTTAATTCCCAAATGTTAGTTTGTACATATAAATAATTAGTATTGGTAGCTGTAAGTTGTTTAAGCAAAACAGAAGAGTAGTAGTGCTCAAAGGGGTTAGCATTTTTGAAAAATTATATCTTGTTCATGACATATATTACACAATTCCAAAAAACTGTAAGTAATGCACAATAATATCGATAGAAATTAAATGAATTTATGATCTTCAAAAAAAAAAAAACACCGCACTGCATAAAAACATTCAATATCTATAGAACTTGATAAATTTCTTTGAACACCTACACTGTCAAATAACTATTTTGCCTTCATGCAGCAATAGACAGTGTTTTTGTCAGAGAAAGCAATGCACTTTAGTTTCCAAGTTTGTAATTTCAATGGAAAATAAATGTAGTTCTGTTCAGTAATAGATCCAAGATTCTGCCAAGCTGTTTACAAAATACAAATTACCAAGCAACAGTGTCATGGTGTTTTGAATTTTTTTCTTTTTTGTAGCTCTTCTAGTTCAACATACTTTCTTTATGAGTTTTCAGTAGATTTATCAGGTAATGACATTACACATATGATACTTATCCAAGGTAAACTTTCTGTTGACTTATGTCGTAGGACTGAAGCAAACATTTTCTCGCTTCCTTAGGAGCATTTTTACACAGATTCATCCATTTGAAGCAAGAAAAATAGGTGCACCAAACTGTTTACAAACAGTCAAACACACAAAAGCATGAAATAATGTATAAGTTTGACGAGATTGGCAGGTCTAGTAAAGAATGCCGTTTGATTTTCACTTTTAAAAGGCTAAAATGTCATAAAATAACTTAAATGTTACATCCAAAATATGCGTTTCTCTACCGTCGATCTTCTTTATTTTGATGTGTGTCTGTACTGTGTTTTTCACGCAATGCTGAAGCATTATTTTCACATGATATGCTGTCGGTATCGTAATTGGTTTTTTTCTCACTTGTTTTCGTTCATACAAACAGTATTAGAAATCAGGAGGGAGTGAATATTGAAAAAAATTTTTAAAATGGAAGTTTTGACCACCAAAATCCGCCATTACCGCCATGTTTTTGACCACGGGGTCCAGGCATAGATATAGTAGGACTAGATTGCTAACGAGTGTGACGTCATATAAGACTTATTAAGACGGCAGCGTGACATTCATGATAAATCCAAGATGGCGCGGGAACCGGGCAAAAAATTTGGGGCTACTATTAGGCAATTTTGTTTTTTGCAGTTTACTTCGTTTCATTGTTTTCAAACTCCTCCAATCAAGTTTTATTGGAAACAAAGCGTTATTAATAATGTTTTGAAGCCATATTGGACAATTATTATTGGAATACGTGCGAAAATATCGCTTGCGAAGTGTTGTGTAAATTGGTCGTTTGGTTGTCTCGAGGCGTTTGTCTACCAAAATAAACGGATTTCGTCTGCTTTAGCTCCCATACTGGTTCGTCCACGTTGAAATACATCATATTGAATACATACAAAAAGATGGGAAAATTATTCTTCATATTTTTTACATAAATTTCACTTCAAGATGCTATTCGTTCTTTCAATCTTCAAATATGTGTTGACACTTAACAGACAGAGTCTTAATCGTTTCCAAAAAGGATGAGTTTTGTCAGCTTTTGCCGCTTAGATGGAGCTCCTTTACGAACGATTCTCTCGGAGTACACTTTGGAAAACTGGTGTACAAATATTTTACTGTACATGTATGCTATTTTTCTGATGAGGATGGTGATATGGTCATCGCAAAAGCTCTCATCTAGTGCATGAGTTTCCTTAGAATGCTGCAATAGCGATTGAAATACATTTGGCTTAGTTTCTTGCAGGACATCTCGTTGCATAACTTGGATTGTTTTTTCTGACAACTGACTCCACTTGTTGACCATTTTGCGAAGGGCTTTATCTGCTGCTTTTACTACTTTTACCAATGAGGAGGATGGACTTGTAAGCTTGCCATAGGTCTTGAAAGATGTTAAGCTTGACATTAATGAACCTTCATGAAAGTATGAGTGGTCAGGTATGAGAGGTTGGTCATCATTCTCTATGGTTAAGGCAGTTGCACATTCAGCACACTTGATGCAACTTGTAATTTTCTTGGATATGTATCCACTGATATAGGTCAGTACATCATCATGCCAAAGAGTGGAACTGTTTAATAATGCTGCAACTCTCCTATCAGCATTTTGTGTCCCTTCAGCTAGCTTGCTTTCACTTACAATAGAGCAGTTGGCAGTTGCTGGGGCTGTCACTTCATTCTTTTGTATCAGTGCTCGGAGTGCCCACTTAAACTGTTGAGCATTTGGATTGTTATTCCATCCCATACGACTTCTTATGGGATGGAATAACAATCTTGTGGTTTATGAGCATGACTCAACAAAGAAACTACTTTTTGACAATTTCAATTTAAGACAACACTGATGCTTAGTGAGACCAAAAGATAATATGTAAATTCCCACGTTTTTTTACGGAAATGTTAGCCAGGACCAGGCTGCCTCATTTGTTAGAGCAGAAAAACCATAGCTGTATGGCAATTTTCTTTACTAGTAAAATTTCATGTATTGAACAAAGAAATATCAGTAGTTTACTTATCTTTGTACGTAAGTGTCATAAAATGAACCAACTGAGCAGTATGATACAATTTTTGTCAGAAGTCATAAGTTGCATGTTAATAATGTGATGCAATTTAGACATTTGTAGTTATAAAATTGTGTTGCCATTGGAAACAACTGGTATCATAGATGGTGTTGTAGCCTATAGCATAATAAAAACATATACTATAACTAAGTATGATAAGCATAAAAGTCACATATATTTTATTCACAGCTATATCTTATAATAATCTCAGCCATAGCCAGCATTTTTATTTGGTCATGCTATCCCAATGTTGCTGTGTTCACTCACTGTACAAACAATAGATTTCTAATGAAATAAGCAATGATGCAGTGAAATTTACATAGCAAGTGTAAAACATTCATTCTGGATATGCCACCGATGACATCCATATCAAATATTTTATAAGATAATATACAAATTTAATGAACACCTTAGCTCTGGTAAAAAAATACTTTATACAGAGCTTTATAACTCTCTCAAAAAATAGTATTGTAACAGTATCTTGGGTTATGTGTTTGAATGTTATTATGTCAGATTTTGAAATAACCACTGGTAATATAACAAGCTTCTGAACATAAGTTCCTTCTCTTTCGTTGAACCACTTAGCTGTAAGATCTTGTCAGTAGATAATAGTGCTGCAGTGTTATGTATCTCCTTGCTCCTCTTTTCATTCATTCAAAGTCGGATGGCCTTTCTAAACCGTGTTTGAATCTCACATATGTCACATATCAGTACGAGTACAGTGGGAGTGCTTTCTCGAATAAGTCGCTTTTTTGTCAGAAATATTCAGATTGATTCCCCAATCTTTCTGTAAATTGTCAATATGACATATTCCGATGCGCAACAAATCAGTATGGGAGTTAAAGCTGAAAAAATCTGTTTCTCTTAGTGGACAAACGACTTGAGACAACCAAACGACCAATTTACACAATATTTCGAAAGCGATATTTTCACCCGTATTTCAATTATAACTGTCCAATATGGTTTCAAAACACTTGAAATAAAGATTTGTTTCCAATAAAACTTCATCGGAAGAGTTTGAAAACAATGAGAAGAAGTAAATTGCGAAAAACATCAATTGCCCTATAGTGACTCCATGTTTTTTGCCCGGTTCCCACGCCATCTTCGATTTATCATGGATGTCACGCAATATGGCGGCTCGTCAGCAATCTAGTCCTACTATATCTATGGGTCCAGGCCCCTTTGCCCCTCCAAGTCTTATAGAGCTCAATGGTCAAAGTCATAGATATAGTAGGACTAGATTGCTAACGAGTGTGACGTAATATAAGACTTATTAAGACGGCAGCGTGACATTCATGATAAATCCAAGATGGCGCGGGAACCGGGCAAAAAACTTAGGGCTACTATTAGGCAATTGTTGTTTTTTGCAGTTTACTTCGTTTCAGTGTTTTCAAACTCCTCCAATCAAGTTTTATTGGAAACAAAGCGTTATTAATAATGTTTTGAAGCCATATTGGACAATTGTTATTGGAATACGTGCGAAAATATCGCTTGCGAAGTGTCGTGTAAATTGGTCGTTTGGTTGTCTCGAGGCGTTTGTCTACCAAAATAAACGGATTTCGTCTGCTTTAGCTCACATACTGGTTCGTCCACGTTGAAATACATCATATTGAATACATACAAAAAAATGGGAAAATTAATCTTCATCGAAGGGCTTTATCTGCTGCTTTTACTACTTTTACCAATGAGGAGGAACTGGAGGATGGACTTGTAAGCTTGCCATAGGTCTTGAAAGTGGTTAAGCTTGACTTTAATGAACCTTCATGACAGTATGAGTGGTCAGGTATGAGAGGTTGGTCATCATTCTCTATGGTTAAGGCAGTTGCACATTCAGCACACTTGATGCAACTTGTAATTTTCTTGGCTATGTATCCACTGATATAGGTCAGTACATCATCAAGCCAAAGAGTGGAACTGTTTAATAATGCTGAAACTCTCCTATCAACATTTTGTGTCTCTTCAGCTAGCTTGCTTTCACTTACAACAGAGCAGTTGGCAGTTGCTGGGGCTGTCATGTATTGAACAAAGAAATATCAGTAGTTTACTTATCTTTGTACGTAAGTGTCACAAAATGAACCAACTGAGCAGTATGATACAATTTTTGTCAGAAGTCACTAGTTGCATGTTAATAATGTGATGCAATTTAGACATTTGTAATTATAAAATTGCATTGCCATTGGAAACAACTGGTATCATAGATGGTGTTGTAGCTATAGCATAATAAAAACATATATTATAACTAAGTATGATAAGCATAAAAGTCACATATATTTTATTCACAGCTATATCTTATAATAATCTCAGCCATAGCCAGCATTTTTATTTGCTCATGCTATATCAATCTTGCTGTGTTCACTCACTGTAAAAACAATAGATTTCTAATGAAATGAGCAATGATGCAGTGAAATTTACATAGCAAGTGTAAAACATTCATTCTGGATATGCCACTGATGACATCCATATCAAATATTTCATAAGATAAAATATAAATTTAATGAACACCTTAGCTCTGGTAAAAAATACTTTGTACAGAGCTTTATAACTCCCTCAAAAAATAGTATTGTAACAGTATCTTGGGTTATGTGTTTGAATGTAATTATGTCAGATTTTGAAATAACCACTGTTAATATAACAAGCTTCTGAACATAAGTTCCTTCTCTTTCGTTGAACCACTTGGCTGTAAGATCTCATCAGTATAGCCAATGCTCCTGGATAAAATTACTTGAGATGAGGTAAGTTTCCTTCAGTTAAGTTTACTAACTTTAATAGCTTCACAAAGATCTTGTCAGTAGATAATAGTGCTGCAGTGTTATGTATGTCCTTACTCCTCTTTTCATTCATTCAAAGTCGGATGGCCTTTCCAAACCGTGTTTGAATCTCACATATCAGTACGAGTACAGTGGGAGTGCTTTCTCGAATAAGTCGCTTTTTTGTCAGAAATATTCAGATTGATTCCCCAATCTTTCTGTAAATTGTCAATATGACATATTCTGATGCGTAACAAATCAGTATAGGAGTTAAAGCTGAAAAAATCCGTTTCTCTTAGTGGACAAACGACTTGAGACAACCAAACGACCAATTTACACAATATTTCGAAAGCGATATTTTCACCCGTATTTCAATTATAATTGTCCAATATGGTTTCAAAACACTTGAAATAAAGATTTGCTTCCAATAAAACTTCATCGGATGAGTTTGAAAACAATGAGAAGAAGTAAATTGCGAAAAACATCAATTGCCCTATAGTGACTCTATGTTTTTTGCCCGGTTCTCACGCCATCTTGGATTTATCATGGATGTCACGCAATATGGCGTCTCGTTAGCAATCTAGTCCTACTATATCTATGGTCAAAGTACACGCACGCTGTACGTTCGCGCCAGGCTCCTTTGATGGTTACCGAGCACGGCCTTCGACAGGGGTCTGGTGATTAATAAACATAACATTATCTTTTCTCTTCGCGTTGTTTCAAACAAACTAGACTATATTTCACACCAAATAGACTCTTCTGGTTCATTTTAAGCAGGATAGGAATCATGTCAAGGTAAAACAATGCTATCCATTGTGATAATTTATTAACAAGTTCATTTTCATTCCAAGATTTATTCTACTTCTATATAAATCTATTTTATAAACTCCTTATTTGTCTACATCGCTGTTTTATAACTTTTTCCATATCTTCTCGTTAATCTCACCTTATGGTGAGCATGCATATCTCTGTGCTATAATTTGTGCCAAATTTAGACCTACAAACCGTAGTAATGTTGTAAATATTGTGGTTTGTTCGCATACGGATTTTCCCTAAATCGCGGGAAATTATGCGGGGCTTTCCCTGAGTATTTCAATACTCAAGAAAAAGATAGTTCCACATGGTTGCAATAACGAATTAAAAATTTTCTTGACTCTTCACTCACTTTTCAGCTTTTCAAAACGGTAGAATTGTCCATCAATAGTCAGCCAAAGGAAATCATTTCAAAAGACTGCAAGTTTTACAAAATTTTCAAATAAAAAATAAAATTCATTTACTTTTTTAGTGGAATGAATGGATACCAATTATTTTGTAAAGAAGAAGCTTCTAACGATGGTGAGAATAGCTACGTACACAAAGTTGTCTCTATTAACATTATGCATATTTTTATTCTTTTTTTAGACTCCTTAAAGTCTTTGACATTTCACGCTAGAAATGTTGAATTGGGACAACGATGGGGCTGCCTGGATGAAAGCCAACGAGAAGGCTATATAGATAGGGGAAAGACAGATTGCTCTGTTTTAGACCACGAAACGCGCAAGAAACGAGAGTTGAAAAAAATTTTGAAGAAGGTATGTTGATTGAATTAAAATAAACGCACAAAATTATTTTTGTGATCAGTTCCAATTTTTATTAATGCTATCGGTGCCATTGTTTAGTTGGATGCTTTAAAAGGAATGAACATTGATTACTTTTTCGTGGCTGCCGTGGAATCTGGTGTTGAAGTGCATGGCTCAAAGTCTGCCTTACAATACTGCAAAAGAAAGAGCATCCCCGCTTCATTTTATGCTTTTGTAAACAGCTCTGGAGGTTTGTGGTCCTTACTTTACATCATGCCCGTGAGGAAATACATCTCAGGAAACCGAGAACTTGTGATTTTTGTTTCTTATTTAATATTTTAATCTAATACAAACTTTTTGGTTTTAGCAATTGAGTCAAACGACAACGTTCAAACTGTTCCCAAGAATCGCATGGCAAGATTGAAACAGAAGAGGAAATCTTTGCGTGATATTTTAAATCAGAAATACTGTAAGTATGAACATGTAACTAATTTTAAAACTTTTTAGATGGAATACGAAAAGGTTGTTCTTGGTCAATATTTCTTGAAATAAGTACAATTACTTCCGCACGAAATTTTGTAATTTTAGCAGCAATGATTTGTAAAAGAGGTTGCACATAATCCTGCAGCAATTTCAGTAACAATAGCTTATACTAGTTTCAAAAAAAACATTCTAGGTGAAGCAACTGGAATGGACAAAGCAAAAGTGCCATACACTTCTCTTTTCAAAGGGGATTTCAAATATGTAGTATGCGGAATTCCAGAACACGCATCATTACGGGATCCATCGACTATGGGAGAAGCAGCATTGGATTTATTTATTGAAAAATCAAATGAGCTTACGTTTGTGGAAAGGGAGATAGTGGAAGGAAATAATGTTCTTCATGCAAAAAATGTTGAGGAATGTGACAAAGAGCAAGACAATGGCGGCCACATCCAAGAGGTTGTTGAAGTTAGTGGTGAGAATGATGATAATAATCATGGCGAACTTATTAACAACGTTTCCGACGAATATGATGTTGGCCATGGACAAAGAACTGATAATGTTAATAATGGTTGTGAAAATGGTGATGTTCCAGGTGATAGAGAAGATGTTGTAAATAATGGTGGCGATGATGATGGTAATTCTGGGAATGTATTTTGTGGACGAGACGGAACAGTTAATGAAGGTGACGGACACCTCGTAACAGAAAACGCCGTGCCTAAAAAAGTTGATAAAGAACACAGGAAGGGAAGAAGTAACAACAAAAGAAAAAGAAAAGAGGCAAAGTCCAGTGACAGAGAAAGTGTTTCTTGCACAAAGAATAGAGCTAGTCATTTGACATTCTATGACAAATGTAAAGCCTTTCTTTGTCAAGAACCATCTTCCAAAGATAATGGAATGGTGGATTGGGTGTTGTGTGATGTTTGTCAACAATGGTACCATTGGGATTGCGTTGGCATTACGACGAAGCCGAAAGGAAAATTTGATTGCGGATGCAATGTATCTTACTTTACTCATGGGTAAATTATACATCCACTTTTTCTAAACTACGAACTGTTAGTCTGTTCATTTTTGCGCATCACCGATTTATTTGCATACGTATTCATAATAGTTATTAATACGTTCCTCGTGCTCTTAAATGTTTTATTTCTAAAATGTGAGTTTCTTGAACACACACGAATAAATATATTTCATTTCTTTTAACTTTTCCTTGACAGATCTGCGAAAACATTTGACATAAATATAAAGGGAAATCGCTCATTCAGAGGATTAAAGGTTCTCTTGGAATTTAAATTATTTAATATCAGTTGCAGATAAACATACCTATAATATTTTAACATTGAATTTTAGGCATATTTAACAAAAATCGTCAACGGTGCGATACCCAGTAAACGCCACAGGTTATTTAAGCAAATGATCCGTGGGCGAAATCAAGCTCAGACTGAACTCACCGATCTCTACATGACGTGTCCTTTAACTCGAACTCAAGTATAAAAACACATTCTCTGTTAGAAATGGAGCCCCACTAATGTCTTAACTCGTCATTTTTGTATATATAGGCAAACGATCTGTTGAATGTAGTCAAAGAAATAGTCGCAGATATTTTTCGATCCTTTGATGAAACAAATTCAATGAACATCAACTACATGTATAACGTTTTATTCCCTGAGGTTTGTTGTTCATCTAACGCCAAATTCCAAGACGTTTTTTTGTTGTGAAAGCTATGTGACAGTGAAACTATGATATTATCCAGCGTACGTACGTTGGGCGGCTATTACCCATGTATATATAACATCCATTTTCACCATATACTACATTGTATAACTACCAAAAAGTTACATATGACAGTTCAACAAGTATTTATTTAACAAAAAGTTTTTTTCAACGCATTTATTATCCAGCGTACGTACGTTGGACGGCTATTGCCCATGTATATATAACATCCATTTTCACCATATACTACATTGTATACCTACCAAAAAGTTACATATGACAGTTCAACAAGTATTTATTAAACAAAAAGTTTTTTTCAACGCATCTATTATCCAGCGTACATACGTTGGGCGGCTATTACCCATGTATATATAACATCCATTTTCACCATATACTACATTGTATAACTACCAAAAAGTTACATACGACAGTTAAACAAGTATTTATTCAACAAAAAGTTTTTTTCAACGCATTTATTATCCAGCGTACGTACGTTGGGCGGCTATTACACATGATTTCGTAACAACTTTTTAAGTGCCCTTTACGTAAATCGATTTTCTAATTAAAGGATTTTCAAGAGCTTAAAGTGCCTGCACAATCCCCGTTATACATCATCGCTGGTGCTTTCATAGTCGTCTTCACTTGTTTGATCGTCTTCAGAATCTACTTGTTCATATACAACCACTTTTTCTTCGTCATCCAGAGGCGACACCAGATCACTTTGAAGCATGTCAATATTCCCATGAAATAAATACTGTGGTTTGTCTTTGTTGATGTACAAAGAAAACCTTTTTTCTAGATTTATCAACATGCTTTCAATTTGAAAGATCTTCCTGTGTAAAAATATCGCTTCACCGTATTCAACATCAAGTACGTTTTCATGGTTAATAAAACTATTCAAAAAGTCAGTAATCTTGCTGTGCTGTTGAAAGTAGTGACTCCACGTATTTTCCATTTCTGACTTCAACAGGATTTGCTCTTCCTTGGATCGGTCAAGCAAATGGCATAAATCTATAGCCTTCCGTTTAACAGTAAATGGAACTGAACAATCTTCATCAGTAGGTGCAGCTAGATATTCACACCAAAAATCATTGTCAGGATCTTTGACAGCATCAAATGTTAATGCGGTATGTGAATGATTAGAATGTGATTCTTTTGCCTCGTTATAAGCTGCGATATCTTTATTGACATCCTTTGTTACTCGAGTAATTTGCTTCGAAAGTCTGGATGCCAACGCTTGACCATCTGAAAAACAGAACAAACATACAGAGAACATTACAAAGAAGGCAACATGTAAAGTAATTTACAAACATTGCAAGTTGTATGGAACATTTATGAGATACGTAGAGTTACCACAGTATTTAGACTTAAGATTTAGGAGAAACCATCTTTCAACAACATTTTTCCTCATCCGAGACAAAACACGTTTTTCTTTCCTAGACGCAACCTCGCGTTTTGCATTTTCGTACTCTGGGTCAGTATTTTGCCAGCGTGCAGAAATTGAGTTTTCCCTTTCCATGATCTTCAACTGCTCGTCAATTCTAAACAGTAAATACCAAATCATTACAAATATAAGGCACGGTCAGATAAGCACCTGCAAGTTGCATATACATCTCTACTTGTACGTACGTATAAAAACAAGAAATAATTTTTTATTCGATATTCCAACTTATTATTCACAATGTTACGACGTACATTCATAGCTTCAAAATTTTCCCAGTTCATTTTTCTAAATTCACACTGTTTAAGACTTTAATATCTCTAGAAACAAGTTCAACTTTTCGAACATACTTTTTCATCTGATTAAATCGAACAGTCAGTTCACTTGGATCAGTGCAACCATTCCATCGATGATAAAGATCAGCGTACAAGTCCAGGTATATAACGTACTTGCATTTCCAATCTTCTTCTTCTGTAAGTTGTTGAAGATTTACGTATATTTGTTAAAAAAAGTTTTCTGTGGGCAAAACATTTCCACATAATGAGCATCAATAATTATGTGTCAAATCTGTTCCATAGCTACAAGCCATTGTTTCTCAATTACTAACCAGTCTCAACTTCATGACCAAAAAAAGTCGATTCGTCTTTCATCCACTCACGAATATCATCTATTGAAATCCTGTGAGCTTTAGATAATGAAAAAAAGAAAATTTACTGCTTTCATGTGAGTCGTAAATAGTTCATATCCAAAATCGGAGTCAAATATAACCACACAGCAAATACAAACATATACTCACACGGAAAGCACCTGCATAACTTTTCAATATCTGATTTTGCAGTTTCTTCCACGTCAAAAGCTCGCTTCATCCTTCCCATCAGCAAATTGCCTCAAAAAACAAAATTTAATTCATACCTGCTATTACATAATATGATGACATGTTAGCTATGTATATATTCAAACAAAGAAACAAAAACTAGTTATACCTAAATTAATCTTCGTTTTCTTTCCATAATGTAAAAGAGCATCACTGAGTACATCAACTCTGTGACTTGGACGCATTTCTTTAGTCATTCTGCTAAATTTGCGAATGTAAGCCCACAATCTCTCCAACATCTCACCGTCAGTTAGGCCAAATCCTTCTTTACGACTGGGACTAAATTTAACCTTTTACAAGAAAGATTTAGCAAACAATTATTGATTTTTTATCATTTTATCATCTACAATACCATTAGTTATGACAGCATAAAAACCCAGGTATCACCATCTGTTAATACGTATGAAAAATAAAAACAATAACAACTAACTTGGCATCGTCCAACATGGCCATAGCAGTGAAAAATTGGAATTGAAAATTGAAAAATGTCAATAATTGATCCTCCAAATTCTTTTGTAAAAACAAAATAAAGAAAAACATGTGAAAGACTACCTTTCAAAGAAAAAAGTGTTGAGGGAAAGGTATTGACAAAGGAAACAGGTAACAAAGCAACTATTGTCAATTGAATATTACCTGTAAGTGTTTCACCAACATGCATGCAACATCATACAATATGTTTATTTTGAGTGCAGGATTATCAGCATTATCTTTCTCTAATTCTTGGAGAACATAAACTGCATAGCTCAATCTATAAAATATGTAGAATATTTTTTTAAATAATGCAACCACATGTATGCAAAAAGCTTCAGCACTTGCACAAAGCATTGAAAGTAGCAAACCAACTGAAAAAAATAAATTTACACCATAAATGCAAGCATCTTAACCACCTCTTTCAAACCAAGAACATTTAGGTAAAAATAGAGAAAAAAATGTGCAACATACCTCTCTCCATGTTTCAAATTTAAGAATTTTTTAGGAAACTCATGTCGACAGCCTCGCCCAAAGATTGCTGTTTCATCAAGAGCTCTGTAGCGATTCATTGATCGAACAGCATTCCCAGCAAGAAAATCATGACACTCCTATAAGTATCAATATGTAACAAACAAAAAAGTATACAAGAGCTTTATTTCCTAAAGCCCATGGCACAAATTTATTGAAAATAAAAACTATGTGGTAGAGAATGTAAAAAAATCAAATATATTCAAAGCACTGTAACCTCCATGCCTGAATTTTCATTAGAATAACAAAGTATATTAAAGCTACATTGACCTTGTTTGATGTAGGTGTGGTATAACTGGCAACAAATTGATCAACATGTGTCTGATCATAGAACATCAGCTGTTCAAATAGAGGTTTTCCAATACTCTGCCCAGCTTTTTCCTTCGTCCAATAAAAAGAGCATCAAGAGACTCAAAGATCACACCATCAGTCTTCAATAAAATGGTGAAGGATAAAATCATGCAATGTATTTGAGTTCAATGATGCAAATGATGCAGTCAAAAAGGTGTTTAAGATAGCATTGCTAATGTTCTTTTTACTAAATTGTCATTGTTAAACGAGTAATACGAATATACTCACTTTGGGACAAGCAGGACAGATATTTCCTTCATCAAGCTCAGGAAAAACACAGCTCAACATGTTTAGTTTATGTCTGTAAATTCTGAAAAAAACAATGACACAAAGAAAGCAATTATGCACTCTTAAACAAATGACATAAACAAAATACAGTGCAATACAGTAATACTTGAGGAAAAATCCTTTCCCATCATAAACTTTAGCATTTTGATTTCCTCCAATTAAATACATCTCTTAAGATGAGATTCTTAGGCTATAAAATTGACTGCAACTTTCCCAGCAATTCATACGTAGTACAGCAGTGCAATAAATCAGTGACCTACATGCAATTACCTGTATTCTTCAAAAGCATCTATAATGACAGGATACATTTTTGGTGTTGCATAAGAAGAAAATATGTGGTTATGATTAAACTCTTCAAATGACTGACAAATGCTTTTTATTGATGCCTGGCATTCCATCTGCACAGAATGAACCAATTCAAAAAACTCAATTGCAAATGCAATTCTTGGTTTTGTAGGTGTTCCACCCCAAAGGCCAAATTGCAGGAGTTGAACAAACTCGGAAGAGCATGAGCAAAACTGTACCTCAACAGTACAAAAGGTGCCTAAAATTGAAAAGATCCAAAATTATAATTGTGTTGAACCATCCCAGCTAAAATGAAGAAACTTTTACAGCACATTTTACATATAACATACCTTTAACATCAACAACAGAAACACTTCTTTTGTGACGAGCTGTTTGGCATGAACAATCATACACCAGCATGTTCATGAGTTTATATGGCCAAAACATGCCATCCTACAAAGCAATGAATAACCTCGTAGAAATTAGTTGTAATCAATCCCTTTCTTGCATTCATAAAAATATTAGATTAGTGCTTCGTAGCATGTTTCACAATGTAAACTCTCATTTTATTTTTGCATTTTTTATTGCAAGTGTTGAGAGAGTTAACTGTAAACACTTTTATAATATCTAGCTTATAAAGGTTACCTTAAATATTTCAACATGATGACAAATATTTACGGTTGTGTGCATCTTTAACATACAGTTCTCACAATACTTTGCCATTGGACCACAATCGCTGCACCTAAACTTTGCTTCATTATCACAATGAATACACTTCAGATTGCTCCAATTTTTGCCAGCAAACTGAAATGTATTCTTTATAACTGAATGTCGCAAATTTTCCCATGTTTTCTTTCAACTTTCTGGTAATAAGAAGATTCTTCACAATCATGGTGAACATCACTTTCAAGATCACTGTTATCTTGTTCCATTCCCAGTTCATGGCCTTCCAATGCACCACAATTATCAGGACTGTTAAAAGAACAGCTTCCTCTATGATCCTCAGTAACCAATTCTGACAAATCCATCCTCTCTCTCAACATGGCCATCCTCATCATGATATGTGACAGCTACAGTTGCTTTAAACCTTTTATTTGTCCTACAAAATTATCATAAAAATCTATAAAATGAAAATAAATGTTGAAAAGTCTAACAGCTATAAGGCCGTTATTTGGTGTACCTTGGCATCTTTTAAAATTACCAGAAGAAAATCACAAATCAGAAAATATTATCGATATTACCAATGACACAATAACATAAGTTAAACGACCAAAGTACAACGTATGTATCTTCCACTACTACCAGCCAACGTTTTGTACCCGTACTTTACCGGCTATGAGCCACGTCTCATAAGACGAATGGGCTGATTTATTAGTTCTTTGATTTTGAAATTCAATGCTTTCAGCGGATAATAGAATGCACATATGAATACAAGCCTTTCCTCCTTCCCCACCCCCAATCATGTATTTTCCTACGGTCGTGGATTTGAGCGAAACAAATGGTTTTTCAAAAGTCCATAATACGTTAGAAATGGCATAATTACTTAACAGATTGTATGTATATTTTTTATGTAATTATGAATGAATTTTTTCTTCTTGAATTGAAAACAATCTCATTTAGTGTTGTATGTTGTCTGAGAATTTTATCATTTCAAGTTAAGTTATTATCAAGAATGTTAAATTTCTTTTGACAGGAAAGGTTTCCGTATTAATTTTACATTCTCGTTTATTAGAACTTTTAAAACGACGGCGTACTGCTAAAACAGTTCGTGAATGTCGTTTTACATTCTCATTTCTCAAGTTATTAAAGTTTTTTAATATCCATTTAGTACAACCAGTGACGTCATTATGCATAATGAGTCGTAGAAAAAATTCAAATATCCTTCAGTTTCCTGGCATCTTTTCGATGAAATTCGCTCGCAATATTTCATGATTAGTGTATTTGCACACTTCAACGTCAAAGCTTTGTACAATATATTTAATGAAGTGTTTGAATATTTTAGATATTTTAATTTTGTCAGTTAGATGCAAACATAGTTTATTTATAGCATTATCTTTATGAAGATAGACATTTCAATATTTTAAAAACTTAACACTTTCGTCTAAAAAAGGGAAATTTTAATTGAGATCAATCACATCATCTCCAATATGAACAAAAGTGATCATAAAGCAGTCTTTATACTACCTAAAATATAAACGTGTGTCAGTGTAGGTAGTGATAAATGGACAACACAGAATAAAAGAAGAAAATCCTCCAATTTCTTTTGGTCATATCATTTTCTTCAGCAGGCTATTTTAAAAGTGTTTCTCGGTAACACAATTCTTACGCTATTTTACAGTCAGATGAACCATTAGAAGTCAAACTTCCTATTTCACCAAATGTTTATGCAGATCTTGCACGCTGAAAACTACAGCGACGTTTTCGTAACTGTTCAGTTTTTTTATACACTCAATGTACACCACCGACACGACATTATAAACCAAATAACGTTTGTCGGTGATGATGAATCAATAACAGACAAAAAATCTCCTGACAATGTTTACGTGAAACATAAATATGTATGAATTTAATTGGTCTAATCTAAGATAACAATGTCTACAGGAAATTACACAAGTATAAATTTAGAGAGAACTAAGTTTACCTTAAGACTGAGCAGAGTCATTTTTCTATTCTTGAATTCCAATGATATTCTTGATTAGTCTGGAATTTTCTTCAGACTTTTCAAACCTTTTCTGTTGTAGTTGCTGAAATTGTAATGCAATCTATAGAGGAACGGGCACTCATGACTTACAAACATGCACTACCTTTTGGTTTCGGATGACACAATTACAGCACTACATGCAGACGAGATTGATGACTTCCATACCACATCAACAAACAGAACAGCCACATACAATTTATCAAAGATGTCGAAGAAAACGGAACTCTTCCTTTCTCGACTGTTTGGTAAAACATGACAATCAAAACTGGGAACAACAGTTTATCGCAAGCCAACACATACTGACCGACTACTAGACCAATCATCTTACAACCCTACATCACACAAAGCCACCACAATCAGAACATTAACAAGACGTGCACAAATCATATGTGATTCACCGGACGCTCTACAAAACGAAAACAACTATCTCAAACGTGTTTTGACAAAACAACTATAACTCTGACTTTATCAAACGCAACACTTACAAACCCAACGAACCCAACGAAACGAACAACTCAGTGACAACAGCAACGATACCTTACATCAAAGGTACGTCTGAGACTATCTCGCGTATCTTACGACCATACAACATACGTGTCGCACATAAACCAATCACAACATTACGACAAGTACTAACGAACATAAAGGACAAAGAACAACCCAACGAACGACAAGGTGCAGTTTACAAAATAAATTGTCTGACTGCCACGCCTCCTATATCGGGGAAACTGGCAGGAACTTAAACATAAGACTTACTGAGCACAAACGAGCTACTAAGAAACAAGACAAAACTAATCACATTGCCGAACATCACCGAATCACAAAGCACAACATTGACTGGGACTCGGCAAAATGCATCACTTACAGTACTGACTATAGACAACGGCTTACATTAGAAAGTTGGTATACCAACTTGGAACAAACCCCCCCCTGAACAGATCACAGCAATTACCGGCACCTTACAAACGACTTATTCACAATACAAACAAACGATCAACTAAAAACATTACACTTCAAACTAATTCACAATGACAATACACAATTGACACCCACACTTTACAACTAAAAACGTCACACCTAAATCACACATCACAACTAAAAATAAAATATTTCACTTCACACTAATCCACAATGACAATAAACATTTCCTGCACATTTCCTGTACACACAATACAATGACGTAAGAACCAGACAATAAATACGGCTAACCTGACGTTTACTCCTCATTTGACTCTGAAGATGACTACCGCTAAGGTTGTCGAAACGTCAGTCAACAACATCAAAAACAGTCCTTCTCAGGACTTTATTAACCTGGACGATCATCATTTACAAACATGAACCTTATATCAAAAGCAGTTCAGCACAACAATCACCATACGCAATCAAATTTCGTAAGTTCGACGTAAAGGTATTTCTTTCATTTTTTTCGTAATCCTCGATTTATGCGATATGTAATGATATTTAGTAGCCTTCAACAATCAGTTATTACACACTTATCCATAAAAAAACGCAATATTATCTCAAAATACTGTATTACTAGCAGCAATTGCTATATAAACACAAGCTAAAATTTCAAAACTAGGAACCAAAATGGCGGAAATTGATCAGGTGATCAATATTGCCCAATCAACGTAAGCTAAACGGATAACAATAGATGTCCCAACTCTTATACTATAGAGGGCTCTGGTTTTACCCACAACAGATAGTTCTTTTTGTCGTTTTTGTCGTCGTCATGCCTGTCGTTATGAACCTCATTCTCGCCCTTGTCATTGAGGATGCAAGTAAGATTAGGCTGGACGTCAAATTGCGGAAACATATTGATACGGTAAGAAAAATGGCAAAACGATCGAATGAGAATTATTTTATAACATAATCTAAGATAAAATAAGAAAAAGGTCTTTACACCATTAAAACTACGAACCAGATTAAAATTTATGAATTCCTTGTAACGTGCAATTTATTTTTTTATTTCCTTTGTATCAACCAATTTAGGCAAACATGATCACTAACCTATAAAGAAAGAAGTTCATATTTTCTTATTTCACGAAAAAAGAAAAGGCACTTTTCTAATTTTGTCGATGGAATTATATTTTATGATTTTTCCTCCGATAAAGAAGACGTGAGCTCGGAGCAAATTGAAAAAAATGAAGATCTATTGACATTGATTAAAATGGTTAAAAAATTACAAATTCAGAATGCAAAAGTGTTTGAAAAAAGTCTGAAGAAAATTCCAGACTAATCAAGAATATCATTGGAATTCAAGAATAGGAAAATGACTCTGCGCAGTCTTAAGGTAAACTTAGTTCTCTCTAAATTTATACCTGTGTAATTTTCTGTAGACATTGTTAGCTTAGATTAGACCAATTAAATTCATACATATTTATGTTTCACGTAAACATTGTCAGGAGATTTTTTTTGTCTGTTATTGATTCATCATCACCGACAAACTTTATTTGGTTTATAATGTCGTGTCGGTGGTGTACATTGAGTGTATAAAAAAACTGAACAGTTACGAAAACGTCGCTGTAGTTTTCAGCGTGCAAGATCTGCATAAACATTTGGTGAAATAGGAAGTTTGACTTCTAATGGTTCATCTGACTGTAAAATAGCGTAAGAATTGTGTTACCGAGAAACACTTTTAAAATAGCCTGCTGAAGAAAATGATATGACCAAAAAGAAATTGGAGGATTTTCTTCTTTTTATTCTGTGTTGTCCATTTATCACTACCTACACTGACACACGTTTATATTTTAGGTAGTATAAAGACTGCTTTATGATCACTTTTGTTCATATTGGAGATGATGTGATTGATCTCAATTAAAATTTCCCTTTTTTAGACGAAAGTGTTAAGTTTTTAAAATATTGAAATGTCTATCTTCATAAAGATAATGCTATAAATAAACTATGTTTGCATCTAACTGACAAAATTAAAATATCTAAAATATTCAAACACTTCATTAAATATATTGTACAAAGCTTTGACGTTGAAGTGTGCAAATACACTAATCATGAAATATTGCGAGCGAATTTCATCGAAAAGATGCCAGGAAACTGAAGGATATTTGAATTTTTTCTACGACTCATTATGCATAATGACGTCACTGGTTGTACTAAATGGATATTAAAAAACTTTAATAACTTGAGAAATGAGAATGTAAAACGACATTCACGAACTGTTTTAGCAGTACGCCGTCGTTTTAAAAGTTCTAATAAACGAGAATGTAAAATTAATACGGAAACCTTTCCTGTCAAAAGAAATTTAACATTCTTGATAATAACTTAACTTGAAATGATAAAATTCTCAGACAACATACAACACTAAATGAGATTGTTTTCAATTCAAGAAGAAAAAATTCATTCATAATTACATAAAAAATATACATACAATCTGTTAAGTAATTATGCCATTTCTAACGTATTATGGACTTTTGAAAAACCATTTGTTTCGCTCAAATCCACGACCGTAGGAAAATACATGATTGGGGGTGGGGAGGGAGGAAAGGCTTGTATTCATATGTGCATTCTATTATCCGCTGAAAGCATTGAATTTCAAAAATCAAAAGAACTAATAAATCAGCCCATTCGTCTTATGAGACGTGGCTCATAGCCGGTAAAGTACGGGTACAAAACGTCGGCTGGTAGTAGTGGAAGATACATACGTTGTACTTTGGTCGTTTAACTTATGTTATTGTGTCATTGGTAATATCGATAATATTTTCTGATTTGTGATTTTCTTCTGGTAATTTTAAAAGATGCCAAGGTACACCAAATAACGGCCTTGTAGCTGTTAGACTTTTCAACATTTATTTTCATTTTATAGATTTTTATGATAATTTTTGTAGGACAAATAAAAGGTTTAAAGCAACTGTAGCTGTCACATATCATGATGAGGATGGCCATGTTGAGAGAGAGGAAGTGGATTTGTCAGAATTGGTTACTGAGGATCATAGAGGAAGCTGTTCTTTTAACAGTCCTGATAATTGTGGTGCATTGGAAGGCCATGAACTGGGAATGGAACAAGATAACAGTGATCTTGAAAGTGATGTTCACCATGATTGTGAAGAATGAGCTTCTTATTACCAGAAAGTTGAAAGAAAAGAAAAAGCATGGGAAAATTTGCGACATTCAGTTATAAAGAATACATTTCAGTTTGCTGGCAAAAATTGGAGCAATCTGAAGTGTATTCATTGTGATAATGAAGCAAAGTTTAGGTGCAGCGATTGTGGTCCAATGGCAAAGTATTGTGAGAACTGTATGTTAAAGATGCACACAACCGTAAATATTTGTCATCATGTTGAAATATTTAAGGTAACCTTTATAAGCTAGATATTATAAAAGTGTTTACAGTTAACTCTCTCAACACTTGCAATAAAAAATGCAAAAATAAAATGAGAGTTTACATTGTGAAACATGCTACGAAGCACTAATCTAATATTTTTTATGAATGCAAGGAAGGGGATTGATTACAACTAATTTATACGAGGTTATTCATTGCTTTGTAGGATGGCATGTTTTGGCCATATAAACTCATGAACATGCTGGTGTATGATTGTTCATGCCAAACAGCTCGTCACAAAAGAAGTGTTTCTGTTGTTGATGTTAAAGGTATGTTATTTGTAAATTGTGCTGTAAAAGTTTCTTCATTTTAGCTGGGATGGTTCAACACAATTATAATTTTGGATCTTTTTCAATTTTTAGGCACCTTTTGTACTGTTGAGGTACAGTTTTGCTCATGCTCTTCCGAGTTTGTTCAACTCCTGCAATTTGGCCTTTGGGGTGGAACACCTACAAAACCAAGAATTGCATTTGTAATTGAGTTTTTTGAATTGGTTCATTCTGTGCAGATGGAATGCCAGGCATCAATAAAAAGCATTTGTCAGTCATTTGAAGAGTTTAATCATAACCACATGTTTTCTTCTTATGCAACACCAAAAATGTATCCTGTCATTATAGATGCTTTCGAAGAATACAGGTAATTGCATGTAGGTCACTGATTTATTGCACTGCTGTACTACGTATGAATTGCTGGGAAAGTTGCAGTCAATTTTATAGCCTAAGAATCTCATCTTAAGAGATGTATTTAATTGGAGGAAATCAAAATGCTAAAGTTTATGATGGGAAAGGATTTTTCCTCAAGTATTACTGTATTGCACTGTATTTTGTTTATGTTCACTTCACACTAATCCACAATGACAATAAACATTTCCTGCACATTTCCTGTACACACAATACAATGACGTAAGAACCAGACAATAAATACGGCTAACCTGACGTTTACTCCTCATTTGACTCTGAAGATGACTACCGCTAAGGTTGTCGAAACGTCAGTCAACAACATCAAAAACAGTCCTTCTCAGGACTTTATTAACCTGGACGATCATCATTTACAAACATATAACGATACTCCCGGGTTCAAACCATTTACTTTATATAAGGTTCAATTAACTGACTCAAGTAGAGAAACATTTTTGGGCCAAATAACATTGCAAAGTTCGTGCTGATGCAGTTTCAATAGTTTTCTTACTCCAAAGCTTGTTTTTTAATCGAAGATGATTTCTCATTATGTTCTGAAATTGGTCAATCTACAAACCTCTCAATTCTCAGCCACTTCCATACTAAAACAACTACACCAAATCACAGAAACTCTTATGATTTTCCATGATGTATTTTGTATTTTTAGTTCATCATTTAAAAATGAAGTAATTATAATTAGGATATTCAATGAAACAGCTGAGTACAATATATTTTTGGTATTGAATTGTACAAATGTACCCTACTTCTGTAGCTCAAAGTAGAGCATTACTTCTCTTTTAGACTTGTTGATGATATTTTAATTGTAGGTTTTGGTTTATAAGATCACAGAGGCATATCTTCATAATTTCAGCTATTTGGGCTTTTTAATGTATATTACAACTGTTGCTGCCTTTCTCATATATATTAAAATATTGCCGGCTTTCTGATATATATTTAGGTGCTGCTAGCTTTTTGATATATATATTTCACTGGCAATACAAGGCATAGAATTTGAACAAACGGGGCTGAGCTCCCTCCAACACACCCCTGTTTGATCATTAAACACATATAGAAGTTTTGTCATTTCTCAACAAATAAATTTAACTCTTTGCTAAAGTAAAGATTGCATCAGACTCATATACTGTATAAAAGACTACAAATATTAGCATTTATAGCAAACAGACTGTTCTTCAACAACAGAAATGTTTCATATTATAGAAATAATATATTCATTTTAAAGAAATGCTTCACCAAAATTTTCAGCAGAATCCCTAACAAACTTTATTAGAAATAAACTTTAATACTTTATAAAGTGATAAAGGCGAAATAACTTCATATACAGGAATAAAACGTTTAAGGTCAAATGCATCTTGGTCAAATCATTGCATATTTCAATAACTAAAAAGTAAAAAAGTCTGTCATTTTCTGCTGAGCAAGAAAATCTTGTGATCTTTCAGAATAAAAAATATCATGCTTGGATTAAATTGGGGGGGCATAAATCACTCACTACCATTAAATTGTTACAAATCCTGAACACAAATCTCTCCGGACCAAATCTGCATGATTACTATGATTCAAAGTTTCGAAGAAAGTCTTGTCCAAGTATTTGATAACACTGATGCCAGGATAACATTGCCGCTTGCCACCAAGCTTAAAGATCTTGAAAACTTGTTACAGAGTCGGAACATAAGCCGAGAAAACACGTTCACTTACGAAAAATACTTCTTACAATGGGTCACGATCAATTTGAAGCACGAACTAGTAAACCGCAAACGAAGCTCAAACCAATGAAATTAAATTAGGTCTGCCGCAAATCGTTAAAAAAACGCAAAGAGCTTGCTATTATTCGTAATATATTTGATACTACCATGGAATAAGCTTAAATTGCTTTCTTCTTTTGCATATAAACCCAATTTCCAATAGTATTATTATAGTTTCACTTTGCAAGTAGGAACCAAAATGGCGGCTCCGCGCTCGCCCCAGACCGTTTGTCCCAACTCTTATACTATAGAGGGCTCTGGGTAAAACATGTCATAATAATGGTGACGAAGAAATGTCTCCTTAAAATCAATTCCTCCGATCGTCATGATCGCTGTAGTTAACATCGAGGTTCGAAAATTCCCGAATCCCTCCCTCTCTGTCATTCAGTATCACCGTTAAGGCTGCTGCAAACATGACGAAGAATAATAATAACAGAATCAAAACCTAAACAAAAATATGATAAATTATGTTAAAGCCCGTTCACACAATCCGATTTTTTGGATATCCGATTGTTTCGGTTCCGAGTTTTGGTTAGTTTTTAAGACGGTCGGGTAATTTGTTGATAGTTATATTTGTTCAGATATATATAGTCTTGGGAGCAAACATTTGTGTTATCCAGTACATTTATCGATATATTTTGGTATTTTTATTCTTGTTTCAAGACTTTTTTACATCTAATGTTTTGCGCCATATGAAATTTGGAAAGTATGAAGAGTGAGAGGTCTGGGACTAGTCGTCTTTTTTTGATCTGGTCGGATGAAAATAGAGCAAGTTCTATAGAGCAAGATGGTGACTGCTGTGTATTTTCGGGATTAAACAACAGATATATGTCTGTCTACAAGAAAGAAATGTTGTAAACAGAAAAATTACCTTTGGTGAAAGTCATACAATCGTTCAATATTTTCAAATATCAAATTTTTCCTTTACCGTAATGACGCCTGTAGATCGTCACTCTCCATTTGCTTTACATAATTCTACACGAAACAATTCTACGAAATTACTAATAATGTAAACACTTGACAAAATTAACTCCAAGATTACCTGGATGACGTAATCCAATGATTTGACATAATCTCTTTCGGTAGTGACCTATTCATCCCTAATATATAACAACTTTCTAGAAAACAATAATGGCCTTAAGTCTTTGAGGAATTTATATGGATGTTTATGGACAAAAGATGGATGTTCATATTTTAAAATAAAGCTTGCAAACTTACTCTTTGGTTTTTTCTGAAAGTTTTTGATGAATTTGTTCATTTTGTTCTCCAGCAATCTAAAAACAAAACCATTTTCATTCACTAGCTAAGGAGTTCTTTTGCATTCATGTTGCAAAGAACAAACGTTTATTGATCAAACAAGTTGATAACGTATTTTCAAAAGATTTCATTAAGGATTTCTTATATGTAAAGGAAAATATGGCAGAAATACTGGTTGTGTGCGGAGGGAAATATCATAGGAATAATTGTTGAAAAAGAAAAAAAACAATAGAATAACAGCGAACAAAACAAAGTGGATAAAAGCTCAATTAACGTCATCATGAACATACATCTTTTAAGTTATAAAACAACAGTTGTTCTTTTTCATTGACGTCAGAACGAGCAGCTTTCTTGGTAGGAGATAAATCTTCAGGAAGATCTAATTTATCATCAGCATCATCACTGTCCATGTCTCCTTCCTCATCGTTTGCACACGAGGTGGAGTTCGATGTTGATGTAGATGACGATCCCTCGCTGGTACCGTTTGTGGATGCATCAGAGACCTATGGATAAAGGGGATTTTCATGGATGATCAAACAGCATTAACAATCAATAATCACTTCCTTAAAGCAACGTACTAGACAGTTTGTTCATAGAACGATATTTGTAATGAACTGTTATTTCCATAGGAGTATATAAAGTGGTGACAAAAATATCGATTGACGGCAGTTAAAAATCACTAACACCACCATACTTGCTAGGTTAAAAGATCTCCATAAAACATACCTGTACGCGTACGGCCGCCCTCTATAATGTTTCCTGACGTTTTAAAAACTTTTCCTCGACTTCCTTGTACTCCGCAACAGATTTCTCGGCCTGATTTTGTAGATCTTCGTTCTTCAATTTACCAGAAAGTTCATTTATGTTATTTAATCTTTCATTCGACCACATGGGAAATTCTTGAAGAAATCCTTCCATGTTTTCTTTCAGTGAAGCTACACCTTTAGAGGAGTTTCATGCTTCCATATTCATCAATGCCATGTGTTTCAATGCTTGAATTCTCCATTCAGAACACTGCAATGACGTAAGAGATGTCTTTAATGGAAATAAAACTTAACTATACCACACAGTTATTGAGAAGATCCAAAGTTCCACTAGTCTCTTCAAAAGAAGTAAACCAACGATAAGAAAGAAGGAAAGTTTATGAAATGTCATCAGTAACCTAGCCAGCCTGCAAACTTACTCCTGCTACGTAAGTTTCTAAAGATAATCATTGTTCATTTCTTTAGAAATCTATTGTTCTCACGACAGGTCAACATAAAAATATTTGTAACACAGTGGTATAAATTCAGGCTGGCTACGTCAATGTGTATCATGATGATTTACAAATTGTTGTCTTCAAATTCTCGAGTTTAAGTTTTTTCCCTTCTCTTTCTTGCTTCATCTAAGTGGATTATCCATTGATTGATAAAACACGAAATGTAACAGGTCAGACCAATCGTTTACACGAACAAGAAACCACGTGATACAATCATTCAGACCAATAATTTACACAAAAGAGAAACCACGTGATATAAACAGTCAGACCAATAATTAGCATTACCTCTCTGATCATTTCATGAATCTCCATACACGTGACCAGAGCGACACGTCTATCCTCTAGTGCTGTAGTGAATTCATCCAGTCTTGTCTTCAGTACCTTTGACATTTCCTTTGCACCAATGCAATCATCAGTTCTCCACTGAGCTATATTGCTACCATCCTTTAGTAAATATTGAGCTTGGAGTAAACAGTGGCGTAGCTAGGAAAAATAGTCACTCCCGCCAATCCCGCCGCACTAAGGGGGTCCGGGGGTATGCTCCCCCGGAAAATTTTGAAATCCAGAGCCTTGGAAACAGCATTTCCTGCGATTTCGAGGGCGAATTATTTGTTGTGCAATAATTTTTAAAAACCCATTTTTGTTAGCTGTATAAAATAAAGCTAAAAAATGGGTTAGCCACCTTTAGCACCATATAGCTAAAGGTGGCTCAGAGAAACGTTACGCAGATAGACTGTTCACTCCAAGCTCAATATTTACTAAAGGATGGTAGCAATATAGCTAACAAAAGGGAAATGATGATTGCATTGGTGCAAAGGAAATGTCAAAGGTACTGAAGACAAGACTGGATGAATTCACTACAGCACTAGAGGATAGACGTGTCGCTCTGGTCACGTGTATGGAGATTCATGAAATGATCAGAGAGGTAATGCTAATTACGCAGATTATTGATTCCATTAAAGGCATGTTAAGTGAACGATTTCAAGATATTAATCAGTTCGAGTTTAGACCCTAAACCAACTATTTCACAGGAAAGATCATCTTCTCAAAGAGTATAACTTTGGAGAGTCAACTTTCCTTCATTTACGACAGACTTTCAAAAGAGCAGTAATGAGGTTAAATACATCTTCAAATTCAATCTCCAGTCGAGTTTAGGTCAAGTGGTAATTTAAAAATTGAATGGTGTGTTGGCAGTGGCAAGTGCTTCAGTAGAAGTCTTGCTTAAAAGGGTAAAAGCTATTTGAAATAGAATGGGTCAAGGTCGGCTTAGCTCTGTGTAGAATATCTATTCACAAAGATATCATTGAAAAGAAAGAGAATCAGAGGTGTTGAACGAGGTGGTTGAAAATTTGTAGAAAAACCAGGAGGCTGGCCTTTCTTTATAAATGATGGGTATAGTATGTGTTTTGATATTTGTTCGTATAATACATCTTCATTGAGAAAATTAAGCATAACTTTATCCCTGTCTAAATCTAAACAAGTTTAAACTAACAAGTAGAATGCTAAGAAAATCTCTCATGCACTTTAGAAGTCGTATACTATATTATTTTTTGTGCTATACTTCTTCTGTTTATGCAGGGGCAGTGATGAGTAAATTATGTTTTAGGGGACAATTGTCTCCTGCGTAACGTTTCTCTGAGCCACCTTTAGCTATATGGGGTCCGGGGGCATGCAAACCCATTTTTGTTAGCTGCATTCTTAATGTGGCAATCGTTGAAACTGCAACTAGTTAAAAAGGTACTAAAGGTGGCTCAGAGAAACGTTACGCAGGAGACAATTGTCCACTAAAACATAATTTACTCATCACTGCCCATGCATAAACAGAAGAAATTTGTATTAGCACAAAAAATATTATAGTATACGACACTTCTAAAGTGCATGAGAGAGATTTTCTTAGCATTCTACTTGTTAGTTTAAACTTGTTTAGATTGGGGCAAGTAGACAGGGATGCTTTATTCTTTAAAGTTATGCTTAATTTTCTCAATGAAGTACCATGTATTATAGAACAAATATCAAAACACATACTATACTCATCATTTATAAAGAAAGGCCAGCCTCCTGGGTTTTTCTACAAATTTTCAACCACCTCGTTATGCAACACCTCTGATTCCTCTTTCTTTTCAATGATATCTTTGTGAATAGATATTCTACACAAAAGCTAAAGACCTTGACCCATTCTATTTCTTAAATAGCTTTTACCCTTTTAAGCAAGAAAACGACCTCTACTGAAGCACTTGCCAACACACCATTCAATTTTAACAAATTTACCACTTGACCTAAACTCGACTGGAGATTAAATTTGAAGATGTATTTAAGAACCTCATTACTGCACTCTTTGTGAAAGTCCTTGTCGTTGTAAATGAAGGAAAGTTGACTCTCAAAGTTTGGATGTCAAAAAAGGACTATACTTATCTTTGAGAAGATTGATCTTCTCCTGTGGAACTATGCCCTTCCATGTAGTAAATAGTTTAGGATTTACAAGGTCTAAAACTCGAACTGATTAATATCTTGAAATCGTTCACTTAACATGCCTTTAATGGAATCAATAATCTCAAAATAAATCTGTTTGTAATTGTATCTACTATCTGCTCTGGTTGCTGGTGGGCCTACTTTTCTAGTGCAGTTTGGTAAAACTCGGTGAAAGCTTGATCTGTGAAGTGACACAATAAACTGCTTGAAATTGTCAATCTTGCTTATGCCATAGTTAAAATGGGTTTCCCTATTTTGAAGAATGGAATACAAAATTGTGGACTGTTCTAAAATCCTGTAAAAACACACACTAGAAAACAAAAGCTATCAAGATAATGCAGTAAGCCACTTATTTTACTTAATGACTCATCATCCCACCCAGCTGGTTGTTCAAGTACCCCCTCAAAAATATCTAAAAGTTTTTCATAGTTTTTGTGCAATACATTGATTAATCTAGAGCAATAATACCATCTTGTTTCACCAGGGGCAGGAAACTCAAGGTTGTTAGATGTGAGAAAAGCTTTTCTTTTTGGGGCATTGCTTGTAAATGTGCTGAATGTAGCTATATTAATAAAAAAGATTTTAACAGGAGAAATTGATGAGGCTGACTGGCATAGGACCAGGTTCAATCTATGAGCTGCACAATGAACAAAATGAGCAAAAGGATAATCTTGTCAAACAAATGCTTGAACACCATTGATATGGCCAGACATGACAGAAGCACCATCATATGTTTGTAAAACCAGTTTTTCTTTTATATTAGAATACTCACCAAGTTTATCTTTGACAACTTGTGATATTTCTGTGGCATTTCTGTTCATACTTACATCCACAAATCCTAATTGCCTCTCCATAATTTCACTTGCTTTGTCAAACCGAGCAATAACACTTAGCTGCTCTTTGGTGGAGACATCAGATGCTTCATCAACCTGAATACTCATAAATGTGCAATCATTTATTTCCTTTCTGATTTCATCTTCAATAATTGAATCAAGACAGCTGATAAGACCATTTTGAATTTCTGGGAGACTCCAGTAAATCTTCTGTCACCAACTATATCAGATTCTGCTAGTCTACTGTGCAGTCGACGCTCAAATACAGAATCAAACTTAGCAAAACATTCGAGCAACTCTCTATAATTACCTTTGTTCAAGCTACCTTCGGACTCATTGTGACCTCTAAATGGCAACTCTTGCTTTGACAAATACAGCACGGCCTCAGTAACAGTTTTTAAAATTTCTCGATTTTGTCTTACCTCCTCATTGTGACGCTGAATCTCATTTCTTCTAGCGAGGGTCATAAGACAATCAATTCGTTCACTAGCTCCATACGTTTTCCATGTCTTAAATGCAGTCAAATGCGATTTAGATTTTTCATGCTTCTTAGCATCAGACATAATACTCCGCATATCGTTGTAGCCATTCTTAGTCCACAATGGCGATGTTTTTGGGGAAAACATTAGACATGGCCAACAAAACACTTTCTGCAAGGTTGTACTGCCACATGAACGATAACATTCTGTTCGACCGACGATCGAGCAGAGAACGGTTTAGCTAATAAGCTATTTACTAAATCATCATCAGTTGAGCAAATCGCAGTCGCACTTGAAGCCATTGTGTCATACACAAATACAAAATAGCAATTTGAGAGTAAACACAATGGAAAATTAATACCGACAATGACACGTAACTCGATAATCACTAATCACGAATAATTACAACCTCCGCCAATTTAAAATAGCGGAGTTCGACTATAAAAACAGCAGATTGAGCATGCGTCAAGTCCCTTAGCCAACCAGAATTCAAAACTTCTTGTATAGAATTATATTGTATGTTCCGCCTTCTGAAGATGGGCGAAATACGTGGAGAATCGCGCGAGTATGCAATGTGCGAGAAAAGGCGGTTGCTAGGTTACATAACAAATCTTGAGATTTTGCTGTATTACGATTACGAACCACCTAATAAAAGCGTAAATATGAACGAATAAAACATAATATTACAAATTGTTCGTGAAATAATGTATATCTTATGTCCAAATAGAATATTTATTATTTTTTTGGGAAATTTCTACTCCCGCCGGGCGGGAGTAGCGGGACCGCTAGCTACGCCACTGGGAGTAAATAACTCTAAAAAGAAATAATTGATGTAAAATTTGAGGAAACGCGAAATGTCTGAAAATTGTACAGTATGGATAAAGTTGTACAATCTGGGATAAAGATGTATTACATGAAAGAATTATGTACCAAGTGGAATAAATTTGTACAGTCGTCAATGAAGTTCTACAGTTTTGGGACAAATACTTAAAATATTTAAAAAAAGTTGTGCAGTCAGGAATTCGTCAACGCCAAGCTCAAAGTTTTATATTCTCTACAGGTGGACCTGTTTCCTTGTAAAGAAAGGGTTAACAAAGAAGGGGAGGGTTAAGTAAAGGTTATAAACCACTGGTGATCTTGTCTGTGCCTGTGACAAATTGATACAATTTACTTTAGTTTTTACTTCCTAATCCATACCGTAATACCTTAGCAGGAGCCAGGAATTTCTCGAAGTTACCATGGTAACTGAGCACCTGTCCATACGACTCTGCAATCTCCAAAGTTTTTCCAAAGAAGGCATACCGACATCCTGTAGCCACTCTAATACCTAAATGAACATTTAAACCATACATTCCAAAAATCGTGTCGAATACCGATAGCCTATAACATCAATAAATTTGACGCCAATGACTACACAATCCAGCTATATGAAAAGGTCAGTGTAGTCTCGTGAGCATCCATTCTCACGATATCTTATTTGACAAATGTGCCAACTGCCAAGTTTGGCCAAAAAAAGGAAATGTAAATTTCTTGTTTACTCGCAGAAAGGGTGGAATAGCCAGAGAGAATATATTAATTAAAAATTTAAAAGAAAGTTTGGTTCACATAAGATTAATTGCAAAAATTTAATCTTTGTGTAATCGAAAACAGTGAAACCGCACAATTTGTGATGTTTTCAAACGTAGGTTACTTTAAAGAGCAAATGCTCAAGTGAGCATGAAACAACACAAAGTCCTTTTCTTTTTTAAATTTTCTGCCCACTTGTCAGTAAAAGCACTTCATTCGGGTTTTTTGTTATATAATTGTTGATTTTATCATGTTTGTGGAATGGTAGTGCGAGAAACTTATACTTAATACGATGAACTGTACTTGAATTTAGTCAAATTCAACACTTTTATTCGCATTGTTTACATTTACCTAGGCTTACTTTGTTGGTGTGTTGAATGAAAGGTAGAAAGTAAATAACAGCAAATATTATCTTTCAAACTTACCTAACGTCAAAATGACAACACAACATCGAACTATAAGAGTAGGAAATAAAATTGACTATTTTCAATCACTTGAAATGCGCGATGCATTCGCTTTCACAGATTAAACCAGTGTTGCCCAGTGAACTCGACATTTGAATGACTGGAATGATAACCGAAGCCAAAAATTGAAGCCAAAAAAACATTTGTCGTCATCATTCGTCATTATACGTCAGGCTCTAGTCTCTCGCGTGTTCAGTTTAATTTTTTTTAATCATTTTTCCCTTGGTAATGGTAGAGTTCGGATCATGATCAGAGCGTAAAAAAAAAGAAATTTTTGGAATGAAAAGGTTCACGGAAAGTGAATCAAAGTGATAAATCGAAAAGCAAGGTCAGGTGAACTTAGCCGATCTGCTATTACGCTGCGGTTTTCCTTTAAAATATATCAAAGTCTTTAAGGATATTCAATTATTGATATCGAGATGACAACCATTTAGTACTTGAAACACTATCAAAATCGATGAAAATGACAATCGCTTTGTAAAAAGTAAAAATGCGAGTTATAGACTCAATATTTTTTATGAAACTGGATGTTCAAGTTTTCTTTTTTTTCGGAAAAACAGATCTTTAAATCCACTTAAAAGACAAAAAAGACAAACACTGTTTGACACCGTTTGAAAATTTACCTTGAATTTTTGCTTGAATATTTTCTCGTCATATTTTCTTATTGTGTTGTCTTTTTAGCATACAGTGTAATTTTCAGTTGGCTTTTCCTCGTAACAAGTTGTAAGTTACAACGAAATCACTGTAGTAAAGTTTCAGCTGTAAAAAATAACCTTTTGCGAAGAGTTGGCCTCGTGTGTTGTTAGTCGTGATGTTGTTTATATGTTTATGCTTTTGCAATTTGTATTCAAATTTATATTGGCCGTGTATGTTTGGCACTCAGGGGAATGAAACTGACGTACAAACCGCGTGAATATTCGACTTTGAAGGACTGGAACTGACGTACAAACCGCGCAAGAGACTAGGACTTTAGCTTCAATTTTATATCTATAAAATGTATTGTCGTTATCATTCCAGATATATATATATATGGAGTTCACTGGTGTTGCCAGATCGTGAACAAAGTTTACAGATTTGTGAACTTTTTGTTCTTTTCATTTACATTTCATGAACATTAAAAGTTTGTGAATTTTTTGTGAACTTTTCACATTTATGAATTTTTGTATTTTCTTCATATTCATAAAGAAAGTATAGATAAATCATAGTTCAATGAAAGGGCAATCTTCGTAGCTTGACAATTCTTTTAAAACAACGAGGTTTTTAAGAGAGTAATTTCCGAGTAATTCCGAGCGTTTTCGACAATTTCTAAAACTAGGCGTTGTTATTCTTCGCTCTCAACTTCCGTGTTTATCAAACGTCGACTGCAAATTTCAACGTATATTCTAGCTTTACCTTGTAGAGATAAACAAATAATTTCGTCACTTTTTAAATTAATCTTAACACTGAATTATACGGGAAGACGAATGAAATGGCTTACCGTCCTAATGATTTTGAATGTGGCTATGATGAATCGAGATTTAAGAATGCTGTTGATGAAAATTTTCGCTGTGCAATTTGTCTTAATGTTATGAAAGATGCCAGAATGTGCCATAATCAACACAGTTTTTGTCGTGGATGTATTGAAGAACATCTACGAGTTAATGCACAAAGATGTCCTCAATGTCAAGACCGTTTAACTGTAGCTACGCTTCATCCAGTGCGTGTTATAAATAATATGATTTCTAAGTTAAAGATCAACTGCGACTACGCTATTCGTGGTTGCAAAGAATTTATAAATGTTGAAGATTTAGAAAGACATGTTGAAAATTGTGGCTTTGCTCCAGTTTTGTGTTCTAATGAAGGTTGTGGTCTGGAAGTAAACAAACAAGACAAGATTAAACATGAAACTGAGTTATGTGAATACAGAAAGATTCCTTCTCACGATTTTGCGGAGATAAAAGAAATGTTTCAACAAAGTTTTGAGAATCAAGTAAAAATACCAATTGATAAAATAAATGGAAAAATGGAACAAGTTAAAGCTGAAATGGATAAAAAACTTTTTGATGTATGTGGTCTGTCTACGAAAATACAGAAAGAAATGATGGAATCAAGGAAAGAAATAAGACATATTCAACAAAATCTTTCTACAGTGACCAAAGAAATTAAAGAAATGAAAGTCATGATGTTTCAAATATTGGGAAAAATGACTAAAAATGAAGATATTTTGATTGCTGGAGGTGACTCGCATGGTTCCTCAAAGAGTGCTGAAATATTTTCATGGAAGGAGAAGAAATGGTTTGAGATTGCATCAATGGAAAATAAACACAGTGAGGCTTCATCATTTATTTATAATGATAATTTATTTGTTGCTGGAGGAGGGTTTACATGGTCAATGGAGGCGTTGAATATACAACAGTCACCTTTGACATGGAGAAAACTTTCCACAGATCATTGTAGTGCATATATGTGTCATCAAACTGTTGTTTATAAACAACAAATCTTTCTCATTGGAGGACGAAAATCTTACCTTTATTCTTCAGATTTGATCAGTGAAATAAAGATTACTGGTACAACATCTCATGTTTTAAAAGAGTTGTGTCATATGCCTGAACCACGTTGGAGCCATGGAGCTGTTGTTGTTGATGATAAAGTTCTTATTTTTGGAGGAGAGGGAAAAAAGGGAAAAGATTGCAAAGTTTTGTCCAGTGTTTTGAAGTTTGATCCAAGGACTCTTACATTTAAGGAAATGCCTCCATTACCTTATCCATTGACTAAAATGGCAACAGTTCAATGGAGAGATCAAGTTGTTCTTCTTGGAGGTTATGATGGAAGAAAAAGTTTGAACAGTGTTATCATGTATAACTGTAATACAGGAAAGATTACAGTCTTACCATCCATGTTGGAAAAGAGATCCAATTATTGTGCAGTTATAACTGGTGATACAATTGTTGTCATGGGAGGTGAGATTGATGAACGTAAATATCTTAAATCAGTGGAGTGTTTTGAAATGGGAAGTAGTTCTTCATGGACATATCTTCCTTCAATGAATGAATCACGATATAAAGCTATTGCTGAAGTTTTACCAGTGTGCAAAAAAAAACGTGCAATTTTTTCGACAAAAATGTTTCATTAGAGGCATAATCAAATTGATATTTGGTTAATTATTACACAGCGCTAATTGCTAAATTAATATTTTTAAACGTGCAAAAATTCATATGATTTACGACATTGTTTTTCTTTACAACCGCCGATCCAGTTACAAATGTATGAGAAAAATTTTTTGCGCCTGTTATTCTCTCCTTTTTTGTGCAAACTTTACAGCACTATATATTCACCTCGTGGCCATCATCCTAGTACTCAAGCGAGTCAGCATTTAATGTTTCTATCCATTTTTTTTCTGTATTAACTTTTCTGGTAGCTACAACCTTTTGACAAAGATATCAAGAAAGACAAAAGTGAAAAGAGAAACACTAAATATACTTTTGCTTTCTGATTATTAACAGTAACAACCTTGATGTTTATTTAAGCTAAAAAACTTCATATTTATGTAATATTACAAACAATATATAAAAGCAAAAAGTAATGGTGATTCAGGTTGCCAGTTTGGATTAATATTTTGAGCCAAATTTGGCTTCTTTTTTCTCACATTAGGTTTATTTAAAATTAAAATTACCTTTGGGCTATTTTTCAAATTTGGCATATTTAAGTTTTTTGGTCTTCTTTTAAGAATCAAAATGAAAATGTTTCTTGATTTTATTGAAAATACTCAAAATAGCTATGATGTCAAAAAAAGTACGTAATGCTGTACAAAACGACGCAAATGTAAAAATTGACAATAATGTATTACACCCCTATTGTCATAAGCATTTAAGCACCATGTGTTGATTCTTGACAGACTTCCCAGTCTAAAAGTGACAACGTCTGTGAATTTGATGACATTGTGTCAAAATGGCCTAAGATTTTAACGACGTGCATCGCACTCATTAATAAAGTAAAGATCTGTAGAGATTAAGCTTGAAAACTTTCTTCAATTTATGTAATCAATAAAGACGTTTTTTGCATATCATTTGAAAAAGTGATGTGCATTTGTTTTGATTTTAGCCAAAACGATGTGCAAATTGCACATTGCACACGGTGAATTTGCACACTGAGTTTTACCTTTTGGACAAATTATGTATAAGTACAAAATATTCTGTTATTAATCAGATCATTATAACTCAGCAAAACTTTTTAATATTAAGTTGAACAGTGAATATTTAAAGTTAAATATGTAAACCTTCAATGTTCTTATAGCCTTTGATTATTATTTTTAACTATCCAAGAAATAAATGACTTTAGTATTTTACTAAAGACTGAGGTACAAGAATATTTATAGCATTAGTTTTTGTTTAGAATTTTTAAACTGCAGTGTATGGATTTGTCCAGTTGTTTATCAAGTCTTTTTCATCAAAATCGAAATCACTGCCTTCATAACACTTCACTTCAAAACTGGGCAAACATCTTAATAATTCCATACCTTAGCGTATTCCTCTTGAAAGCATTTCAACTTTAGACAATCCTCGAGCTCTCGTTTTCGTTTTCTTTACAAAACTTCCAGCTTGGAGAACACTTGATTCGTTTTGAAGTATAATTTCGAGACAATTTCCAAGGTATATTTCCAGTCTTGTGTTTTGTTCGAGTTATCTGTCTGCTGCATGTCCGACACATGTTGTTCATCTTCAACTTGAAACACAGACATGCGGCTGTCTGAATAGAGGGCGCTCACTTTTTTATCGTGTTCTTCGAGCAATCTTAGACATTCTTCTACCGTTTTACCAAATTTTCCTATTCCAAATTCATCTATTGCCGTCAAAGCCAGCTTTGTTGCACTTCGACAACCCTTCATGAGGGGTTCTTGTTTCTAAAAATACAGGTTTCAAAGATAAATATTCAGAGACACTCCCCTATTCCAAGTTTATATTAGAGACAATTCCCCCTTTTAAGTTTACATTAGAAAACGTTCCCCTATTCAAAGTTTATAATAGAGACACAACAATGCCTAAGGAAAATCTGTTAGCAGCTATGAAAGATAGAGAATACTGGAAAGATGTGGTGAGTTCAACCTCGGCTGAGGCCGCAAGATGATGATGATGATAGATGAACATAGGATTGTTCTATGAAGCTACAACGGTTTAAAAGAATAAACTCAATAGACAAAATCTATGTCGACTAATCTTCAAATCCAATTAAAATAAAGCTTAATTCGATCCTTCGAGAGATTTGATTGCACGTAATCAAGGCAAACTAATATACAAACACGCACAAGGAAGGTTCGTGAAAAACATATCACATGAATTGTGTCATAGCTGAACATCTTATAGTCCAATTTACTGAATGTACGAATCTTCAGCAAAGACTAGAAATGTGTCAAAGTGTACAAAGTAATTAACACGTGTAAAAATGTATAAAGTTACCGGCGCGTGTCAAATTTTAAAATGGAAAAAAATGTACAATGTAAAATGTGATACACATGGCTAAAAATCTATTACAAATTGTTACAGAAACGTGACAATGTTAACGGTATGTATCAAATTACAAAATCGTACAACGTGATAAAATTCTCACCAATCGAAACTGCAGCCAAGCATCGTGATCGTACTCAAAGCTTCCGACGAAGGTCGTGGGAATTTGATCCATTGAAATGGAAGAAAGCACATCATCAAAAGATGACAGCAACTTGAACTGAAAACAGACATTTTCATGAATCTTTTCGGAAAAGGACGACACCAGTCTTTCTACCCACCTACCGCAACATCCTCGAACTCTGGCTGGGAAAATAATCATCGCCCAACCAAAGTAAATTTGGCCCTATTTGGTCTTTTCAAATTTTGCTACAATGTTTTCTTATTTTACTTGATCAATGGTTAAATTGCTGTGTATTATTTGATGCTTACGTAAGCCAACTTCCATTATGTATTCAGCACGATTGCAAACCTGTGTCTACTACCCAGTTCTTTGTTTCGCTTATTTGTAAAGTACTGAGTATAAGTACAGTGAAAGTTGCATAATTTTGCCATTTGCCCGTTTTTAATCATATTCTGTCGATTTCTATTTGTATCATATTCTGTCGATCTGACAAATTTGACTAATTACGTCATAAAAGGTCTGGCAACTGATGTACTTTACACTCCACAAAGTGTATCAAAAATAAAGACCTTTAGTAATAGACGTGATGAAAATTTTAATGCCTATCACTTTGCAAATCCGGAAGAAAGGGGAGGTATTGTCAGCTACGTGCATATATTACATATCTTTTTTGCTAGTACAAATGATTTTCTGCTCCTGGGAAGTTAACTTGTAACAGAAAATTAGGCATTGAAATTAATACAACGTTAATTTGTAAAGGTCTTTTTCTGCTTGATACAACGTTTAATTAAGAAAACATTTTATGTGTTTCTGTAACTCAATAGGAACAAATAAACGTGTTTTCTATTTCCTTTATAAAATGGTCTTTTAAAAAGAATATTAAAAAAACAAATTTGTCGATCTTAATGACACATTGCTTATGTAGAGCATTCAACCAATTAGCGCCCGTGTTTTTAAAAGGCTATTTTATTTTGCAAATTCACTGATGAAGCTGAGTAAATCTCCAAACTTTTCTTGTTTCAAACTTAACCTAACTCGAAAAAAACTAGAGCTTCCAGGATGATCTTCAGAGTCTTTGTTGTCGTCTGCGTTTCGTGCGTCGACAAAAACAGACAAACCTAGTTTTAAAACTTCTTCCTTAAAACAACGAGAATGGAAAAGTTTTTCCACGAATGCAAGACAGCAAGAAACGCCGGGAATGCTAAAAGAGCAAAGCTTATAATAAGATGTTTCGAATTAAATACTTAATTAAGTTTTTAAGTAAGTGTAAACATAAAACATATAAAGCAAGGGGTAAGTCCTCTTTTTTTTGAAAAGCCAGCCAATAGACTCTCAAACCACCCAGAAAACCAAAGGTCCTTAGCTTTTATCTCTCCATAACCTTACAATTAATTTTGATTCGTGTATCATGGGGTGAACATCCAATGACTTAATGGGAAATAAACGAATTTTTATAAAACCTATTAAAAACTATAGTGTGAACAAACAGTTATCGTCTTGTTGTCAAGGATTTACATTAAAGCGATTTTCTTTTTGAACACGATATATTGTTGTCAATGGTTGTGTAGTGGCTACTTTGATTATAGGAACAGTAAAGGGGGGGGGGGGGCACGCCAAGGGTGAAAACGGCCATTGAAGTAATGGTAATAAGTTTGAAAATTCAATTAGCGAAACAAGCTGAAGAATGACTGAAAAATCGCACAATCCAATCGACCAGCAAATGAAGTTCATACCAATCAACTATATACTTAGATAGGTGCGTATGCGTGTGTCCACGTGATTTTAACTATATTTCCTGACGTCGTGGATGAGCTGTAGCTCAAGGATTTCAAAATATATGTTTAAAATCACAGGTCAGTCAGTATATTGATAAGACGGATGATGCAAAACAACAAATAAAAATTTGATTTCTGAAGACTATAAAGTAAATGGTTTGAACCCGGGAGTATCGTTACATGTTTGTAAATGTAGATCGTCCAGGTTGGTATAGTCCTGAGAAGGACTGTCTTTGACTCTGAAGATGATTACGGCTAAGGTTGTCGAAACGTCAGTCAACAACAACAAAAACAGTCCTTCTCAGGACTATACCAACCGGCACGATCTACATTTACAAACATGTTCTGAAGACTATGTTATCTAATTCGCAGTAGACGGTTTGTTGTGAAAAGTCACGAAGATGACATCAAAAGTCACAACGCCTAAAATTGGGAAAATTTCGGACGGAAATTACTACGCAAGAACAAAGTTTGACAGCTTTCCACTTCGCAGAAGTCTCGAAATTTTTCAACTGATAAGATCTTAATATCGCCAAAGAGAGAAGTTTGGTGCTTTAAGAAATTCAATGCAGAATAAGGTTAATAGGTTGCAAATAAAAATATTTATAGATTTGCACAAGTAATCCAATTGGGTGGGTTATTATAAGTGGTCAACAAGCATTTGTGCTTGAATTCTACGCTTGGTCCCAGGTCAATGCTGCTATCAAAAGACAGAAAACAATAGAAGTAAACTTATACAGTCCCAGCTTGAAACAACTACAGCATTAGTAAAGCACCTTATACGTTCTGCCGTATTTCTAACATTAGCTACCACGCATCCAGACAATACGTAAATATCAGCGGTCAGTGTACCGAACACTGTACGTAATGTTTACTTGCCTGGGAATTTGAAGGAAATATAAACATATTCGTGCTATTTATTCGCTGTTGAAATCTGGAATCTGCCATTCCGACATTCCAGCATCCACAAATACCACAACGGAAAAATGGAAACTCGAGATACTAAATAAATAACAACAATACAACGCGTGAGCTGATTGGTCTATCGTTGAGTTTGCATTAAACTGCACGAACCGATCTCGGCTCAGTCAATTAAATAAATTAAAGAGAATTTGCAAATCAATCATGAATACATGTTATAGGAAAAAATGAAACATTTGTTTCAAGTTTATTTGTTTTCATTTCAAAAAAGAAACTGTTCGTAAAGTTGTTTACTGTGTTTGCACTGGGTAATGTAATGCAAACCTAGGAGACTCTCCAAGACCTCAGTCTAAGGTTTGCACTGGGTAATGCAATGCAAACCTAGAAGACTCTCCAAGACCTCAGTCTAAGGTTTGTACTGGGTAATGCAATGCAAACCGAGGAAACTCTCCAAGACCTCAGTCTAAAGTTTGTACTGGGTAATGCAATGCAAACCGAGGAGACTCTACAAGAACTTGGTCTCTGGTTTGCACTGATCTGCTCTCGAGTTCTCCCAAAGTTCTCCTTGGTTTGCATACAGACTATGAAAACATAGTAAACACCTTTTCTTTCTTAATTCAAAATAAAAACACCAAAACACGTGCGCTATTTGGGCTGCAGTTGAGTTTGCATTAGCCTGTGCAAATCGATCTGAGCTCAATCAATTTAATCAATCAAAGAAAATTTACATATGCCTTAATCTCAGTCTAAGGCTTGCACTGATCAGCTTTCGAGTTCTTCCAAACTTATCAGTTTGTATATGTACTGGCGTTGATCCAACGTTGATTGAGGTGGCCATATTCATTTAATTTGCTATACGTAATATGACAAGCTGATTTCTTTTGAATATGAAATTGCTTTCAAAAGAACTTGGCCACGCATAGCAAAACATATGACTATCATTTCCCCCTTCCATTAAAGTTGGATTGACGCCAAAGTAAACATTTCTAAACACGAAAAACATCGTTTATTTTTTAAAGTGCCAGAAATATCAGGGTCAGTGAAATAACTTCTTTGGATAGTTAAATCGATTTTAAGAACGTTTGCAATATATTTGACCTCATGGGGTCTTTGGGCGTACTTAGAAGTATGTGACTTCGCGCCGAAAGTGAAGTAAAATTGAGAAAACGCAATTTTACTTTTAAACATTTCCTTTAACATTCGTTAAAACCATTTCATCAAACTATACACCTATACATCTTAAATTTGTAGTGCAGTTCTTCAAGATTTGCTATAACAGCTTTATTTAGTATTGGTTGACACACATTCTTTAACTCTCATCTTACCTGGCATGCAGATGGAAGGCGACACTGCAGGAATTGGAGAAAGATTAATAACTGGGTAAGGGAAGGATACATTCACTATTCATATATTTCAAATAACGGAAATTAATGAAGTAGAACATGAACATTGACACGTTACGAACATTTATGGTGAAGTCATTTTTAAGAGTTTTGAAAAAAAGAGAAAAGAATTAACATAACTTTAAAAACAGTCAAACATTTCAATAAACGTCATATGTTGAAAATATGTGGAGTCATTTTTTGATTTTGTCAATTGTCTTCGGCAATAAATGCAGAACACTCGACAAATTAATAGTTCTAAGCAAAAATCTCAAAATTAAAAAAATATGACTTAGGCAAAAGTCAGTCACGTGACGATAACGTAATGTGACGATAGAGACCCCTCTCCTCCATCAATTATCGAACTTTCACAGTCCCTGACATGTATGAAAGAACTATCATAGTCAATTCACCAAGGTGGTATGGAATGTATCCACGATGGTTTTTGTATTAGAGGGGAGGGTGTGCTCTAGTTATTATTAGATTTTGGATCCTCCTTGTTGTTGTAGCATGTCAAACTGTTTTTCTCAAATGAGATACCTTTATATTGTGACTGTGAGATTTTCTGGAAAGTGCACTCTCTTTAACTCTTATCTTAATTGCTTTCGCTTAGTTGTTCGGTTTATTAGGATTTGTCAGAAAATTGGTAGTCATTCCACACCCCTTCAACCAAGAATATGAAACGTGCACACCCACTTAACACCCCTCCTAACCCCGATACCCCTCAAATATCCCTGCTAGATGTACGACATAGAGAGTAGCCAGTTCCACTTATTTACTCATGTTCTATATTTTTTTAATGTTCACTCATTTCAAAAACAATAAATGTTCAAAGAAAAGAAAACTAATAAAGTTCTCAAATTTAAATAGAACGACAACGTCACTTGATACCGCGCTACGTCCCTGACTACGTCATTGGCTACCGAGCTCCGTCACTGCAGGTAACGGTGTAAGATAACGACATTGCTCTTACAAAAAGCGTTAGAGTTGGGACGTGAGGCGAACGTTCATACAATGCAGGAGTGATCGAATTCAAAGACTTTTCTTGGAATCCCGATGACATTTTTTGAGAAATTCAAAATGCTCATGATGCGAAAATTTTGATTTATAAATTATAGTTCCGTTCAAGAAAACTTTTAAAATTAAAATAACATATCTACGTAAAGCAACAATCTTTTTTATTGTTAAGATATTGAATTTGGTAGACGGTCTATTTTTTTACAACCAGTGACGTCATAATGCATAACGATTCTCTTAAACCTTCAAATACATGTACTTCAGTCAGTTTCGCGGAAACTTATGATAAAATGTCCTAGCAGAATTTTATACCATTAACACCATTCAACAAAGGCTTCGCTGCCGAGTTGAAGAAAAAATCATCGTATTCATAGAAAAGGGAGTGAGAGCTTTTATGGGTATAATGTCAGTACACAAAGTTAATTGTTTACAAAGCTTGATCAAACTGGAACGAAATGGAATAAGTTCTCTGGTTTAATAGACATAGCTCATAGTTTACAGAGATAAACTCTCATCAAAACTGGATTAAAATTGAGTATGTACTCTGTTTTAATAGACCTAGTTCATTGTTTGCTGAGATAAACTCACATCAAAATTGGAAATAAATGAAATATGTACAATGGTTTATAGACCTATGCAGCTAGTTCACAGTTTGCAGAGACAAACACACTCTTTCAACATTTCTAAGCCTTTTGAAGTATGATCAGTTAATACAACTTGTTTATTTTGCTGTTTGTGATGAAGTATATATGCTGTACATTTTCATAAATACATCACTTAGAATATTTTTCAAATAAAGTCGATATTTTTATTTGATATTGATATATTGACCAATTTGCAAATATAACAATACATGGCATTTAAAGCAAATAAGAAATTTTTTTGACATAAACATGTTTCAACTTAATATTAAGTCATCACATGTTTGTAAATGTAGATCGTACAGGTTGGTATAGTCCTGAGAAGGACTATTTTTGTTGTTGTTGACTGACGTTTCGACAACCTTAGCGGTAGTCATCTTCAGAGTCAAATGAGGAGTAAACGTCAGGTTAGCCGTATTTGTTATCTGGTTATTACTTCATTGTATTGTTTGTACAGTAAATGTGCATTGTCATTGTGAATTAGTGTGAAGTGAAATATTTTTAGTTGTGATGTGTGATTTAGGTGTGATGTTTTTAGTCATAATGTGTGGGTGTCAATTGTGTATTGTCATTGTGAATTAGTGTGAAGTGTAATGTTTTTTGTTAATCGTTTGTTTGGTGTAAGGTGCCGGTAATGGCTGTGATCTGTTCAGGGGGGTTTGTTCGAAGTTGGTATACCAACTTTCTAATGTAAGCTGTTGTCTATAGTCAGTACTATAAGTAATGCATTTTGCCGAGTCCCAGTCAATGTTGTACCTCTCTGATCGTTTCATGAAACTCCATACACGTGACCAGAGCAACACGTCTTTCCTCTAGTGCTGTAGTGAATTGATCCAGTCTCGTCTTCAGTACCTTTGACATTTCCTTTACACCAATGCAATCATCAGTTCCCAACTGAGCTATATTGCTACCATCCTCTAGTAAATCTTGAGCTTGGAGTATTTAACTCTAAAAAAGAAATAATTGATGTAAAATTTGAGAAAATGCAAAATGTCTGAAAATTGTACGTTATGGATAAAGTTGTACAATCTGGGATAAAGATGTATTGCAGAAAAGAGTTATCTACCAAGTGGGATGAATTTATACAGACTTCAATGAAGTTTCGGACAATACTTAAAATATTTAAGAGAAGTTGTGCAGTCAGGAATTCGTCAACGCTGAGCTCAAAGTTATAGATTTTTACCAGGTGGACCTGTTTCCTTGTAAAGAAAGGGTTAACAAAGAAGAGGAGGGTTAAGTAAAGGTTATAAACCACTGGTGATCTTGTCTGTGCCTGTGACAAATTGATACAATTTACTTTAGTTTTTACTTCCTAATCCATACCGTAATACCTTAGCAGGAGCCAGGAATTTCTCGAAGTTACCATGGTAACTGAGCGCCTGTCCATACGACTCAGCAATCTCCACAGGTTTTTCCAAACAAGGCATACCGACATCCTGTAGCAACTGTAATACCTAAAAGAACATTTAAACCATACATTACAAAAATCGTGTCGAATACCGATAGCCTATAACATCAATAATATTGACACCATTGACTATACAATCCAGCTATATGAAAAGGTCAGTGTAGTGGCGTAAGCATCCCAGTGAACTCTACAACAACCAGTAATGAAATGAAGACTGCACACTTCGTAGATTTACACTCGTAAATACGTGCATTTAGAATCGTCAATGTCTGCCCGACGAATTCTTCGAAGCCACAAAAAACGACGTTCCTTGTGTGAATCTTGCAATATTTTGCTCGCATTGGTTTTCACAGCTGGTATGCGATAAAAACTTAATTCCTTATCCCTATCAGCACGCTTCGAACAGCTATAAATTGCGCAAAAGTTAACCAAGAAAAACGCCAAATGCTTTTGCAAACTAAAGCCCCTAGTGAGATTTTGCTAAATGAACATTGCGATGCCATCTCTGTAATCACAAACGCTCTATTTTATAAAAAAGGTTGACTCTACACACAGCATGATAATTTACGTTTTCTCATCTTATTTCTACACAAATAACTATTCATACTGAAAATCAAAAAGCAGCTTTACTATATGCACCGACGCGTGAATTGCACTTCTGAAAGACCGGTGAAAAACAACGACTGCAAACAGCCACGAACGCTTCAGATGAAATAAATCAAAAAAGAACAAAGAGCACACAGACTTAATGATGAATGCAAACATTTAATTTTACTGGCAAAGCATACATGAAACAATACCAATTTAAACTACGTTTATCTACACAAGGATGAAACGAATTCTTATTAATCTTTACACTTCCACAAAATCCACGATGGGTAGAGCAACAGGGACGTTAAGTAAAGATGTGACTAGGGCAAGTAACGGAACGACGACGGTAAGTAGTAGAACGACGACGGAAAATAGTTGAACGACGGCGGTAAGAAATGGAACGACGACGGTACGAAATTGAGCGACGGCGGTAAGAAATGGAGCGACGACGGAAAGTAATGAAACGACGGCGTCGACCGGTACGACGGCGGAAAGTAATGAAACGACGGCGACGACTGGTACGACGACGGAAAGTAATGAAACGACGGCGACGACTGGTACGACGACGGAAAGTAATGAAACGACGGCGACGACTGGTACGACGACGGAAAGTAATGAAACGACGGCGTCGACTGGTACGACGACGCCAAAATTTAGACGAGCGTTTTTCTTGACTTGGATCATCTTTCACATCAGGTTCACTATAAAATACAAAGTATGAATGTCATTCAACTGTCACACGATGAGTAAAGAGATAATTAACGTTCTATAGAAACTTGATAATATTCCAAAGCATGCTTTGCTATGAAATCAGAGCCAAGCACTTGGTGATAAAGCGTCATGTGCTTTATATTTCTGGTTCATTATGTGTGGACATTAACAAGCTAAGTGCAGAGGTTTTCATTCAACAATGTTCGTTCTTAATCATTATGAGGTTTAGAAGTGAAACGTAGTGGTTCATTTTGTGTGTACATTAACAAGTTAAGTACATAGGTTTTCATTCAACATTGTTCTTTCTTAATCATTATGAGGTTTAGGCGTGAAATGTAGAGGTTCATTTTGTGCGGATATTCACAAGCTAAGTACACAGGTTTTCATTGAACATTGTTCGTTCTTCATCATTATGAGATTTAGACGTGAAACGTAGTCGATATAAAGAGTAGCTACTCACTCATCCTCTGACCGTTTTTTTTCATCATCTTCATCTTCTTGTAGTTCATTTTTGGGGGTTTTCTCAATGGAGATTTTTTCATCAGATTCTAAATGAAAACAATCATATTGTTCTTCAATCATGAATTAGCTTGAGCTGATGAAGAGAAAAAAATTATGATGCATATATGAAGCATAGAATATGACGAACCTTTCAAAAAACCATCTTCAGTTTGATCGTCATCTTGGCTTGCGACAGCGAAAGCAATTGTACAAAGTAAACCAAAAGCGAGGATAAGTTTAGTTATCTTCATGGCCAACTAACTCTTTTCCTTTCTTCTTCTTCTTCCAACAGCAGCTAGAATGATATGAACTAACATCGAAGACCGGTTTTGGCTTTTTTTATTTAGAGAGCTGCCAAGGAAGGTTTTTACATCATGTATTTTGTAAGAAAGTAATTAAGAATGAGGAAGTAATCAAAGAATCAGTAAGAAATCGAATAAGGAAATAGTTTTGAGGTCGACTAAAGTCGCAGCTTGTCTACATTTTCCCATCAATCAAGCTTATTCACGTTTATTTGAAAAAGCCTTATGTAGTTGTGATAACCAGTTTGATTAAAAATAGCTCAACTAACCAAGAGAAACGAGTGTTGAGAAATTACAAACGAACGCTAAGCCGTATAGAAATAAGCCGTTTTATTGTAACTGCTAAAAGTTATCATTCTAGTAGTCACCGGAGCTGCTTTATATTTTGAGTATTATTTCTTTGTGGGTCAATTAACGTATACCTTAGTTACGTATAAGCACTGAAGAAAGGCCAAAGAGGTTATTTACAATCAAAGTAAAACTGAAATCTACTAATTTGCTAAAAAATCAGAGTTGACAGAGAAGATTGCCTTTAGACATTTACAAAAAACAGACATCCTTCTATACTCCAACATAAACATGTCGACATTCAATAAAGTTTTTGTCTCTGCGTGTATAAGCAAGAAATAGTGAAGCAAAACAGGGTATCATTGAAAGTTTCAAGCAAATAAGAGTTGGTGGACTTTATTTTTAGTGCATGGGATTATTAAAATTGTCTACGACATGGTTGTTTGATTTGGTGGAATATGCTGACTTTTTACTCTATGCTGTTGTACAGTACTTTTAGTCTTTTACACTATCGCCCAGTCTCTATTAGAGCAAATGGTGTTACGAAACAATTTTACAAAGCATCGAATCATCAAATTGAATCTTATTTGTTGAAAAATGTTTAAATTGTGGACTTTTTATTAGATACGGACACCACAAAAGTCGGCTCAAACGTTGAACATAAACGTTCTTTATAGTCAGTGGCGGATTAATTACGGGGCCTGTACGCTAAGACCAAGTTGTGGGACTTTAGGTAATAACTATTCCTCCCACTATGTTCAGTTTTCCTTTGCTTGGGAAAAAAGCCAATACTTCATGAGTTCTGAGCATTGCACATTCGAACAGTAGATAGTACGAAAGCCATTTTTCCACTGCATTCGATTGCTCGTAAGATGTTCAACAACATAAATGATCAAAGTTAAGCACATTTAGCTGGCCCAGAATAGAAAAAATGCCAAATCCTAATTACGTCTAGATACAACTGACCTCTCGAAATCGTGGGCCTGTAAACTTAAGCCTACTTAGCCTACTAGATAGTCCGCCCTGGTTTATAGTTGTGAAAGGTGCGACTTTGGCTGGTATGTATGGGAACGTTTTCTCTATATATATTGACAACTTTTGTTACAAAAATTCAAAGTTTAATTAAATGAATGTGTGGTGATTTGTAGCTAATTAAAAAATTCCTTCAGTTCTCTGTTCCATACGACACGATGTTTTTTTCTCGCGGAAATGTGTGGGAGTCATTTGTTGTCACCATACAGGATGTCCTAAAAAGTGAAATTTTACAGAGTGTATAAAAAAATGCAACCTTTTGAAATCATGCCACGATTGGAATCAGCGTGTTTCAAGAGGAATTTATCCCAAGAACTTTGTAGTGGCGTATCCATCTCGATTATTTAGTGGACAAGAATTTTATGTTTTCGCGTAATGTGTTAAGTTCCTTCAAATTGATTGTTTTTTATGCATTATAACACGCAAATATGAATATTTGCTACCCAGTAATCGAGCGTTTGAGTTAAGCCATTCGTAATCGAACAGTTAATTACGGCGTAACTGTATATTTACCAAAATATTATAAACTGCTCAACCGTCAACGTATAGGATTATTACAGAATGTATTTTCAAGGTAAGGTGGATTACCACGTCACGACATGTAATGACGGCCGGAAGTGAAGGACCGAGAAAAATATGTATGGCAAACCAGAGCAGCGACAAAGTGCTAATTACGATTGTTTGCGGTATGGTTGCTTGGTTTGTGAAATACTTTTAGAGGTGCTATAAAGAGCACTTTTACACAGTTACTCCGGTTCGTGTTTGTGCAAATGATGTTGTTATCATTTTACGACTTTGCATCACATCGACACTGCAAAAGTCGGTACCGAAACGTATAGAAAACCCTATGGGCTAGGAATATTGCCTTTTTCATTGGCCATCTCATTTGTTAAAGTCTGAGCTTCAATGTTTGCTAAAGATTTGTAATTAAAACTTCCTATGACAACTGTAATTTACATGTAGATAGTTTGTGTATACAACTCATTTAGCTTTACCATCCGCTTCAGCATACATTCGACTAAAATTAAACAAATTTCCAGGAAGCATTTGCGTTTTAAAAATTCCAATACTTGCTTATAGGAGGATTATAGTGTACTTCATTTATAAATTAGATTGTTTCTGTACAAGAAAACTTCCACACTTGAATATATGTATAATTGGAGCTTTGGATGAAAAGTTTAATCCTAAAAGTGATGTGTTGATAATGGCAGTGTTCAATGATTGACAGAGAACAAGAACAGTTTTTACATTATCTAAAAGAAAAAACTAAGATAACATCTTCATGTGTTGGTAGTGATGCATGAACAACAGACAACGAGATAACAGTCTTTACACTACTTAAAATATTAATATGTGTCAGTGTTGGTAATAATGAATGAGGAAGGAAATTTTAGAATGTCGATTAGAGCACAACAAATTGTCTTTAAAAAGGCTGTAACACATGGGACTCGGGATTATACTATTTACGTGTTTTAGATGTTTGGGACTTGCAATGTGCATGAATTTCAATTTGCATGTTGTGTGTAATAATTTTTCCGTTTCTTCAACTGTGTAAACTGTGTGAGTTCCACTAGGGTGATTTAGAACATTAAATACTATAGTTGTACGTTCTGTGGTTGGTCGCAGTTCTGTGGATTGATTTTATGGTTTCTAACAAGTGAATATGAATATCTCTCCCCCTCAAGTAAGAAAGCTGGCTACGTTAGAGTTGAGCCGTTCGTAATTAACTGGTTATTCCTGTGTAATGAAATATGTACCAGAATATTGTAAATTGCTCAAAGTTTTGGATTAAAATTTATTTTGAATTGCAGCTTTAAAGTTACACAGATAATTTATTCTAATGCACGATATGGCTTCTATATAGGCAAATTATAGTATTGCAGTTTTTTTACCATATAATCTGTAGTGTCTCTTTTTTGGGACACCCTACCTCGCTGTACTTCATTTTCGAGAAATAGTTCAAAGTAATATGTTTGTTATTTGTTTGTTTGTTTGAGGTAGTGAAAAGTCAGAACATATCCATGTAACCCATTAACTATTTACTCCGTCATGCACAACATTTACTGAAAAAAATCAGAGATAGTGAACAACCAAAGGAGTGAGAAGAAGCAGCTTGCAAAATAAACTGATACTTAAGTTCGACTGTGTTGAAAGCAATGGTATTTTCTAACAACGGAAAATGTTTCTTTAAGACGAATGGCATTTTTTGAACTGGGACAAAATTGCAGCTATCTCGAGTCACTGCAAATGACTTTAACTTTTATCATGTTAAACGAGTTAGTGTCTCAATCATTTAGGCAAAAAATATTACTTTGTAAAACAAGTGATTGACTGAATATTTTATTATACCTTCAGAGCTAATTCATGAAATACATCCCTGTTTTTTATACTACTCATACCTACTTAGGTTGATCTCGCCAATGCTTTGTAAAACTAATAAAAACACAGAAAGCCTCATGTTCTATGATTAGCATCTACGGTTTGAGGTATATGTACAAAATTGAATCTTTATACCAGTACCAAATGTCTTTCTACCATCAGGAATGCGCCGACGCGTCGATCTATATTACGCTTGTCTTCCGTGTCCCATTGTAAGAAACCAGTTTTTGGCCAGCAGTTTTAGGGCAACGTCCTTTGTACCGCATGAGCATCATTTGAGAACATGTTGGTAGACCACGCAGGTGGCGGTAGCCGCCATCATGACGACAACAGAAGAATATTTTGGTATTTCTATCATACGTTCCGTCTGGGACCATTCCGCTTTTTCTATTTCGGTTGCGTCTGTCTTCATCGTCCCAGAAAATGTAGCTTGTTTGAAAAGATTGTTTGAAAAGGTTCTTAATCAATATGGCCCACACATATATAAACATATGCTGTTTAGTTGAACTTTTTAGTTAGAACCCATGTCCATAAAAGAGCGAGCGAATGATCCCAGACGGAATCGAGTACACAGAAACTGTACATCACTTGCTAATAAATAATAATAATGGACTCCATCGATTTCGACGTATGAGGGTTCCACGAAGTGGAACATCCTGGTTACTGAAATTATAGTGAAGGCAGTTGACCAGACTACAATCACTCGTACTCTTCACGCAACCACAACACTGATATCAGCGTGACACAGTGTGACAAGGCTGCAACATTGCAGATGCAGGTACAGTCCATCCGAGGACATAGTTTCCTCTACCAAATTTCCCTCACATGGCTTTGGTCAACCCGGGCTAGGTTTTACAGACACATTGCCAAATGTGCCACGAGCCGGAATTGAACCCGCGCCGTCTGGCTTACAGCCACTCCCACTCATGCCATTAACCATTCAGCCACTCGCCCCTTGCTAATATATAATGATACCATGGTTGCTATGTTTAACCTATAGCCTGCAAACAGGCTACGAAAACTATTTCATGCTTAAGCCCGCCGCATGCTGGTGAACTTGTCGCGCGTACAAGTTTCTCGCCTTGGTGAAAATTCCTTGGGCACGACCCACCACATCTGAAGATGCAATACGATCCTCTAGGCCATGGGTTGCTCTGGTGAACGTAGTTGTTCTGTCTGCAATCGCCTTTGCAGCAGAAACCCCATTGGAGATTTTTGGGCAGACCGGAGTTTTTGGGCACCCAACCAGAGATTTTGCGGTAATAGTAATCGCCACCACGGTAGTCTTCCATGTCGTGGTATCGATGACCAGACCTCTATCCTCTAGGACATTTACCGTTGCTAGGCATTGGAAGGCAGTATTTTCCATCAGGCCATCTGCGTGCTTTGCATTGAACAAAAATACAAAGAAAGGTGATCAGTAATGTAGCAATCATGTTAGATGTTTGAACTTCACCAAATATCTTTATTGTCGTTGCTTTATTGAGATGTTAACATTAACAATTCTCGTTACCCAATGTTGAAACCCGTTGTTCATCGCTATTTTATGTGCATGATTTTTTTTACACTCCGCACTCACAACAAAGACTCTATAGAAAATGTAAAATCAAACTCGGATAAGTGCGGTATTCAAGTATTAACATCCTACAATCTAGACCATCAAAAATTTCATTAGAGACGCCGTTTAACGTCGATAATATATTCATATATTCATAGTCAGGGATTGTAAAAACAATTGGTTTCAAAAGAATATTCCCACCAATTATCAACGTTTCGGTTTCCTTGTCCATAATTCATATTCAGTGTTGGACTTTGTAGACGCAAGTTTATGTATTGACAATCTTATTTGTTAAAGGTAAAGCATGAAAGTATGTTAAAGACTTGTTCTTAAAAATACTTTGACAGCTATATTGTAAATACAGATTAATTATTTGTGCAAATTATGTGTTTAGCTTCATCTTCCGCTTCAACTCACCAAACAACAAAACTATAGATAAAATGCAAACTAGTGTTGTTTTGCTTTTGAAAAACAAAAATACATGCTGTGAGAATAGTGTATTCCACTTAAGATTAGATCGTTGCATGTAACAAGAGTTTACACTACATACATAAAATAATAACTAAGATGAATGAACAGAGAACGGGAACAATGTTTTCATTATTTAAAATATAAACTAAGAGTATGACAGTGCAGTTTGTAGGAATTAATTACAGAAAACGAGAATAGTTTTTACACTACCTAAAATATAAACTAAGATAACGTGTGTCAGTGTAGATAGTGATGAATGAACAACAGAGTACGAGAACAGTCTTTACACTGTGTAAAATATATACTAGAAGAACGTGTTTGAGTGTAGATTGTGATGAACAACAGAACAAATGTCTTCACACTATTCAAAATATATACTTAGATAACGTGTGTCAGTGTAGGTATAGTGATGAATGAACAACAGAGAATGAGAACAGCCGAGACTTTTCAAGATAAAATAGCGGCAGCCGATGAATGAGCACGTTAACTTTATTTATAATTATTGCAAGTATTTTATTGCATTCATTGCCCATAACTCATTACGTTATCTTAATCCATTTATGCTTTTCACGAAAATGCACAACAAGATGATGAACAAGGTAGCAAACATTTTAGAGACTTGATTTCAAATATCTTTAATGCCTTTGTTATATTGACTTTGTTTTGATAACATAAAGATTTCTTAATACTTATTATGTCGAGTACCGTTTGTTTCGCTTCGTTAATGAAAAATGCTTCAGCACTGAGAACAAAAACGTCAAGTAAAATGCAAAATATACTCAAATTAAATGCATATGTATTGAATATTATCATTGTAATGTTCGTGTCCACGATTCCAGCGTTGGAGGTTGGAAACTAAATGTTCTCTTTACGTATAGAATATCTCAGTTGTTTAGTATACTTGAAGCTTGTATGTATGTTTGAGATTTGTAATCAAAAACTTTACACGCGTCTACAAGAAATAAAGATATTTATGCAAATTAATGTATTTAGCTCTAGTGGCTTTAGCATCTGCTTCAAAATGCTCACGACCAAAAATAAAATTTAAAGACGTGTTTGCGTTTAAAAAAATCAGTTAAATGCGATGAATAGTGTATTTTTTCTGTACTTTTAACATTTCAAAGTTTTGAAAGCCTAGGGTGAACAACAGAGAACAAGAATAATCTTTACACTACCTAAAATATAAACTACAAGGTGTGTCAGTGTAGGGTAGGGATGAATGAGCAACAGAACTCGAACAGTTTTTCCATTAACTAGCAGGAATCGAATTCTTAAAATGTAGAATAAAGGCCAACGGTAATATTACAAGTGAAGTAATATTTACATGTTTAGATATTGGTCATCCAGCTTAAAACAGTCTGTTAGTTGAAGTTCTGACTGACGTTTTCACATCCTTCGCGGTGGTCATCTTGGGACTCAAGTGAAGAATCAATCTCAGGATTGCAGTATTTGTCAGGTGCTTACGTTACAAGGTTATTTGTGAAAAAATGTGTGGGTGTGCAAGGGCCAATTCTACTGTGTATATAAGCTGTCAGTTGTAGCGTGGTGAAACGACTTTATAGCGACTATTTTGAGCAGTCATTTTAAACCAAGTTTAGAGTTATTTCTAAGTTAGTATTACCGTGTCTCAAAGTCTCTTCGATAGTTTCTGTACACGCAAGAACAGGAAAGTATTCCGTATTCGAAGATAATTTATCATAAACCATAAATGAGGTCCTCTCTACATATTTAGCTCAAACAAAATAACTAGTCTTGTATCGTTCAAACTCAACAACGAAAAATAATTTGTTCATTCCCTAACATTTTAAAAGGGGAGGTCTATCGTCCGTATTCTAAAAGCTCACTGACACTCACACTCATTGCGTGCGACATAAATTTTAAACTCTATCTAATCATCGAGAAAGTCATTTCTCCATCTATGACAAGATTTTCTTCAAGATAATTCAAATCAAGCAATCAGTTGAGTTAAATCAGGTTCTTCGATTAATTATGAAGTGATTTTGAAGCTCCACTTATTGAGCGTGAGTGTGAGTGAGCTTTCAGAATAGATTATTGTCACTCTTGACATACTATAAATGACGTCACTCTTGCAATACGATAAATGGCGTCACTTTTGCACTCTAATATATGATGTCATCTCGACGAGCTTGCCATTAATTTCCAGGGGTATGAAAAGATTTTTGCAGGTTCACGATCACTTCGATGCCATAATTTTCGTTTTTCTGCAGTGATGGAATGCTCGCACCAAACAGAAGTAGCAAACTTTTCTTTCCAATCCGAAACAAACTGAGAAGGAAAAAATTTCAGTAAAAAAATTGTCCAGAATGGTCTTAAGAAGGAAATAACACAATACCACCTTGGGATCCCAAAGTTCACTAGCTATCCCCAAATCTTTGCAACATCGTACCAGAGCATTGGACTTAGCTGCTTCCATTGCCTTACCATACACCATATTCCCTTGACCGTAAAAGGTGTGTTCCCCAACTGACTGAGACACATATCGACCACAGCAGAAAAGTGCATATTCACGTGTAATCAACTGACTCTTATCCCTCTCATTCTAAGATATAAATGAAAGCACATAGGCAACTAAAAAATTGGAACTATCCAATATTTCATGTTTACTATTTTTTAATAGTTGCAAAAGACCCTTCTGAGCAAGGTTTTTTATTCCTGGGAGGACTTACATAATATACTTAGTTAAACTGTTTTCTGTACAAATAAAGATTTTGCCTTGAATATGCTATCTGTGGGGAGGGGCTTGTCTCCTCTTTTCCCCACCTTGAAGGCACCTATACCCAAGAGATAATAGGTCCAGGATGCAGGTTTCGTCTTGGTAAAAGAAAATGACCATGACATGCAGCTTTCGAGCAGGTGAGGAAATGCCCATAATTTTTCAATACACAATAATTTATTTGGTAAAATTCATCATTCCACATAGAGTGTCCAATCCCCTCTCACTTTAAAACAGGCTTTGTGTTCACTGTTTGCTAAAATGCATGCATTGTAAAATTAACAAACCTGGAACTGTAATGATTCTCCTCTTGGTAGCAATGCCCAACCACCAGGACCAAATGATTCATTAAGAATCCTTCGATACTTTATCTCAGGCAAATAAAGAAGACCTATAATGGTGATTACATGTTCCATTAGGACAAAATAGGGATAAAAATGGACAAGAGGGCATCATAATGTGTTTTTTGGTGTTGTATCATGAATTGGTAGATGATTTTGTAAAAAAATTTACCATCTGGCTTTATTTCAATGTCATCGTTATTGATGGGGGCCATCAATATTTTTGAAACTTCTTTAGGAAAGGCCTCTTTAGATGCACAATGAAAGGGATCATTTGATGTGAAACTGCAATAAAGAACATAAACACAGTTTCAACTTGCGAAAACAAAACCTGAGCTATCTGGGGTCTTTTTATGACATCATTTGGTCAAAGCGTTGTCATCATTCCATAACGCACCCTATTAGGGATAGGCGTGGTCAAAAATAGGGTACGAAACTAAAAATATAAATCATCGACAATTTGATGGTCTGTTAAAATACCTTGAATAATAATTGCTATCAAGATTATCTTCGTCACCAATACCGTCTTTATCTGTCGAGTAAAACACTCCAAACACTTTATTTTGTCTTTTCAAAACAGGTATAAGATAACGGATAAATCGCCCAGTTGTTGCCGCCATTTTTGATTCTCGGAACGATCCGGTAGTCGCTGCATGGATTCCATCAATAGAAAGTTGAATGAAGATGAAGTGTGTCACTTTTGAAGAATTTAAAACTGTAACTTAGTATTTTTCTCTAAAAAATCAAAATATTTTAAACTATTTAAGCGTATAGATGCCTTAATACGACTGAAATAGATGAATAGAAATTTTATAAAAATACGTCATGGCGGCTTGATAGATAACAATGAAGGCATTACTAAAATCGCGAGAAAACTGGAGAAGTCTGAAACGATAATGTACTTCCCTTACTTTGATTGGTCAAATACACCAACGTGATCAATTACAACGCCATCTGACGCCACTTCCTTCCAAACGTTTCTTGCACGTTTACTTTATCATTTAGGAATTCAGGAATTTAGTCAAAAATCTCTAACATTTCTCACAAGAATAGATGGGAAGATCCCAAAAGAGCGTTACTCATGATCACGATTATTGTTTCAAAATATCTCAAGAAAAAAACGAAATCGAAATGGTGATGGAAACCCTCAAAAAATCGTCTCCAAGAAAAGATTCATTTTGTCTTTCGCCGACAAGTAGCAGTGACAGTGGTATTGATTCCATCGCTAAAGACTTAGTCAATGGCTTTGGCGAAGAAGGTGATGATTTGTTAAATTTTTTACTTGACAATGCTATCAGTGATTTAGACTTCAAACATGAAAAGCCGCTTGTCTCGAAGGACGAAAAGCGTAATGAAAAGACGCCATGTTCTAAGGCCAAACTGAACTCAAACTCAGACGAAGAGCTGCAAAAGAGCCGAAAAAATGCAGAGAACGCCAAGGAAAATCGTCGAAAGAAGAAGTTGTATGTTGAAGGATTAGAAATGGAGGTTGGGTCTCTCAGAAGAGAAAAGGACTCTTGGACAGGAAAGTCAAATATGTTGGAAAAGAAGATTGAGGCTCTGGAAAACGAAGTGGATTATTTGAAAAGTGTCCTGGCCAATCAGAGCATGTTATCGAAGTTGATCAAAGGCATTCCTCAAACTGCTGGTGTTTCATTGTCTACTTCTCTGTGTTCATTTAGGAAGTCCTCGTCAATGGATAATGAAGACATTTTAAAGAATAATGGAATATCATTAACGGATAGCGAAGTCTCCTCAAAGGATAAAGGAGTGTGTTCCAGAGATAATGGAGTGTGTTCCAGGGATAATGGAGTGTGTTCAGAAAATAATGGGTTGTCTCATGGGAATAATGGTGTGTGTCCAGGGGATAATGGAGTGTGTCTCTGGGATAATGGAATGTGTCTAGGGAATAACAGTGTGTGTTCCCACAATACCCATGTGGATCATGAAAAGGTGAAGAGACATGTTCAACAGTAATGAAGCGAACTTTGTCAGAAGATGATGTCACTCCCAAACGAAGTAAGTTGGCTCCTGGTGGAGTGTGTCTTCATGTCAAAGAAAGCAAAGTTTCTTTGGAGTTCTGTCGACATTGTAGTAAGATGGCCAATGATTGATGACAATTGATCATTATAGAGCTGTCTTTATTACATTATTCATCAAAAAATCTTTTCAAGATCTTAAATTGTGGGTATTCTTTATGCTTATTGTAAATAGTTGTTACATTGCTTGAGCTTTTCGAATTCAAAGAATGAAAGCACTTTATGATTACGGTGTGGAATGGTCGGCTTCAGTAGTGCAAAGTGCTCCAAATGGTCTGTGAAATTTCATTATTGTTTTAAAATTTGAAACTAGAGTGGAATTTTACTGAAACATAGTGTAAAAAAAGTCCTTGACTGTTGAGAGTATTGTAATTTTTTTGTGATTTAAGCCCAACTTTTGTATGTAAAAAAAAGAGGAAACCAAATTGTTTGACTTGTTTCTTTTGTTTTATCACTTCATTATGCCACACTCGAAAAAGATTTTTTTTCTGTTTCAGGTCCCGATGATGCATTTGTTAGTGTCTTTAAGATGACTTGCCCTTTTCACTTGGTAAGTGTTTGTGTACCATCTCCCACAACACTGCATGGTCTTAATGTACAAATAATTTATACCATATTTTCTGGCATATAATTTGTAGGTTGTATGTTCATAAAGAAAAACATAGTGCAAATTTTAAGGTATTGCGGTAATCTTTAGACTATTGTTCCATAGTGCAGGAAGGCTGATATTTTCATTTGCAGAATAAATAGGGATTGTTTACCACAGTAAACTAAGCACCAGCAAACATAACACAGATAAATTTAACTCCAATAATTTATGATTTGCTCAGACACAATTATTTCAAAACAGTATGTTACACTAAGATTAGCTTTTCACAAATAATTATGTTATCAAGTATCTATTGTATGAACAAAATGTGTTGTAAAACCTTCCTAGACACTTTAGTGATCTTTCCAAACATAAAGTTACTTGCTGCAGATTATCTTTTGTATTTTTTCAAAAGTATTTTATTGTCAAGGAGGTAATACACTGTGTATGTCGGTTATATGCCAGAACTTATGGTTGTGATAAATTATTTATGTTTGGCTGAAAGTATTGGTATTTAGTATTTCTTATTGCATGATTGTATATTAACTGTATTTTCACAAGCATTGTTCGTGAATTTTATGCTTCAGCACATGTCATAATAGCATTGTGTTTACTTCATGCTTCAGGGCATGTTAAAAAGTCAATGTGTGAATTTCATGCTTCATAACCTTTTTAAAACTCAACGTGTGAATTTGATTCAATTTCTGTTCATTTATTTGATTTATTTGACTGCTAGTCAGCTATGTGATCACAGCAGCTTGTGACCATTACTGTGATGCTAAGAATACTTAGAAACAAAATTTTACGAATGTTGACTTTTGTCTGACACGTGAGATTTCTCATCTCAATATTTTTTTAAAATGTACCATCTACTAAACATGAAGATTTTGAAGTGGGTTTTTTTCTGACATCTTGTTTAAAAATTTTCTTCCAAGCGTTCATCCATTCATGGCAAGGGAATGGTTGAAAACTATCTGATGTGGCTTGTGTTTCTCTTTTGGTTGTATGAGGTAGTGTATACTCCTTCGGGACTTCAAGATGGGGCACTGCTACAGGCCAAAACTGAAATGTTAGTTGGAGGGAGGTAGTGTAGACTGTCAGGAGTTGGGGTACTGCTAAAGGCTAAAACTACAATACTAGTTAGAGGGTGAGGGTGAATGTGTTTTACAGCTACTATTATGACAAACCTAACAATTCTAATAGTTGGTTCTCAGAAATTGCCACATGAGTAATTTGAGTTAATTTCATTGAACATTAGTTTCATGATAGAGAGGGTGTTCAAAAAAATGAAACAGTTATGGAAAGGTCCATGAATTCAACAGCATGCAAGATTTGTAGAAACTTTTGGTGGAATAGGTAGTTAAACATACAATGCTTCATTTGACAGTAAAAATGTTGTGAGCAATAAACATTTTTAAGAGTTTTACAGTCAGATGAAGCATTTGAACTCCAACTACCTACGTATTCCATCAAAGGTTTTTGCAAATTGTGCATGTTAATGAATTTAGGGATGATTTCCTACTCTTCAGTATTCTTTTAATACATTTTATATTTATATATGACTATAAGAATAAAGATTTCTCTTGTCTTGAGTTATTAGTTTTATTAAACTTTCAATTCTGTGCTTCATGATATTTTTTCTTCTGTGCTACCTACAGAATAAAAAATGTCATTTTTATTCATAAAGATATTTGTTTGGTAGTTATAGTTTCAAGGGTATTGTGAATGGAATGCCGTTATTTTTATTAGAGTATGTTATTCTAGTTTAAGTGATGCTAACATGTTTTCATATAAATCTTTCTTCTGAAAAGTGATCGAAGCTCGAAGTGGAAAGCTTGATGAAATTATAAATTTCACTTCAAAGAAGTCGCTTCTCAAATGAATATGCCAGCATTACTGCTATTCAAACATAACTACATATTTATTATATATTTATTACTTTGTGTGCGTCTTTTGTGGGTCCGAACAATAGGTTACGTCACATGCTGCAAATACATGTCGATCTTGGAAATATTACATGAAGTATTCTCAAATTTCTGCAGTACGAAGATTTGTTTTGTCCCAATTTATTGATTTTCCAAGGAATTTCGTCTGCAACTACCATTGCTTGAAAATTGGTTTTCTTTCTGAAAAAAAAGTGAGAGGAACGTTGCGCAAAAACTATTAATGACCCTTTTCTTTGTCCAAATTTTGGACACCTGTTTAATACGTGTCATATAAACATTAAAATATGGCGAGCAAGACAGACAAATACTCAATATTATTACCAACTTATAACGAGAAAGAGAACTTGCCTCTTATCGTTTGGCTTATTGTTAAATCATTTGAAGAAAGGTAAATCTTAAAGGTTCTCATTTGATCGATTTATGAGATTTTAATCTCCAAACTTTCCTTGTAATGCTGTTTATTGTGTTGACATTTCTTCATCTCTATCGCGTAGTGAAGAGAGCCATGATTTTGAAATCATCGTCATCGATGATGGAAGTCCAGATGGGACTTTAGAAGCTGCAACACAACTTCAGAATATCTATGGCAGCGAAAAAATAGTAAGATTTGCTTGTGTATGAGTTGAAAGGTTGTACAGCTACCTTTGTCATCACTGGTACATCAAGGAGAATGGTTTGACCTCGGGTTTGTGGCGTGTGTTTGTAGATGGTAGTACTGGGCTGTATATTTTTGTGAAATAACATTCTAAGAGTTATTCATTGGTAAATTGTGTCAACTGGTACAATAGATAACTGTGACCATTTGATGGTTGCAATTGCTAGATGTAATATAAACTCTTTACTGCAGGTGTTGAGGCCAAGACCAAAGAAGTTGGGATTAGGTAAGACAACAGTGGGGTTAAAGTTGGGATATTTGGAATGATAAACGAGAAGTTTGGAAAGGTCATGTTTACACTGATTAGGTTATTTTGTCCTTTACCAAGCTTGATGTAGACTGTAGTTATGCATGCATTACTATGTTCAAAGTGCATTGATTACTTTAAGTGGTGCTGATGTAATTTAGGGACAGCATATATTCATGGTTTGAACCATGCCACAGGAAATTTTGTGATTCTCATGGATGCAGATCTTTCGCATCATGTGAGTTTTGAAATATGTGTGATTTTGAGAGATACTTTCAAATGTTTACAATAGTTTTGTTTTGTAGCCCAAGTTCATTCCAGAATTCATAAGGTATGACTTTGATTTCCTGTTTCCAATTAAATAGACACTGATTAAAAAAAGTAATTATAGTGTTACTCATTGGTAAGATCAGTTCATAGTGTAGCTTGGAGGCAGAATTGCAAAAGTACATACTGTTTCATATCTGGGATGTCAAAGTTTACCAATAAATTAATTTTTTCTAAAGTCTGGGGAGAGCATATCAACTTATGAGTAAATATATTTAAATGTAAAGATATTGGTTTCAAAGTGTATAATGGAGAAATTGTGACAGCTAAAGCTAGAACTGCTTCATTTCTAGGAAACAAAAAGAGGGTGACTATGATGTGATATCAGGCACACGATATATAGGAAGTGGTGGTGTATATGGCTGGGATCTCAAGCGGAAATTGATTAGGTATTTTGGAATGACAAAACTTTCTGTGGATTAATAAATTACAACAAGTTATTGATCTACTCAAGAACGCATGCTGATTACAAGTTGTGTGTAAGAGTTACACTACCCCACTCCCTCCATCTCCCACCTTTGTTAGCAATTCCTGCTAAGTTGATGCTTTTTTCAGTCGAGTCGCCAACTACATAACTCAAGTATTGTTGCGACCTGGTGCCTCAGATCTCACTGGAAGCTTCAGGTGCGATTTAACTATTAGAAAATTTTGCATCTGGTTTGAAGCTATTTTGTTGAATGAAGTTTGCTATACTGTGCAGGCTTTATAAGAAGGATGTTCTTTCTCATTTGGTCAACTCGTGTCAGTCTAAAGGTTTTGTATTTCAAATGGAAATGATTGTCAGAGCCAGACAATTAGGATACACCATTGGAGAGGTTGGTAATTTATATAATAAATATTAAATTTGTAAAATATTTTATGAAAATCAAACCACCACAACCACTCACCTCATATTTTATGATCCTGATGCGGTTTTCCTGATTAGAACTGTGGGTATTGTAGTTTCGTTGATGACTATTTTAGATTCGTCGATTGCTATTGTAGTTTCATTGATTACTATTGTAGTTCCGTTGATTACTATTGTAGTTTCGTTGATGACTATTGTAGTTCCGTTGATTACTATTGTAGTTTCGTTGATGACTATTGTAGTTTCGTTGATTGCTATTGTAGTTTCGTTGAAATCTTGCTATTGTAGTTTCGTCGATTGCTATTGTAGTTTCATTGATTACTATTGTAGTTTCGTTGATTGCTATTGTAGTTTCATTGATTACTATTGTAGTTTCATTGATTACTATTGTAGTTTCGTTGATTGCTATTGTAGTTTCGTTGAAATTTTGCTATTGTAGTTTCGTTGATCGCAATTGTAGTTTCGTTGATTACTATTGTAGTTTGTTTATTAGAACAATGGTTATTGTAATTTCCTTTATTGGCATACGGTTAGTGTAGGCAATGGCCATTGTGGTTTCAGGAATTATAGCAATGGCCACTTTTATATAACCAAGCAATTTCTCAAACGCTTATGGGATAACGATTGTTAAATTATTTTGTACTAACAGTTCTTAAATGTGATGTTTAACATAAATATGTTTTCCCCTATCGTTAAGGTCCCCATAACGTTTGTCGATCGAGTGTATGGTGAATCAAAATTGGGTGGAAGTGAAATTATATCATTTGCTAAAGGTTTACTTTACCTTTTTGCTACTACTTAAGGAACGAGTGTGAAAAGCATTGGCAACAAAATGTGTGTTCAGAAGTCGCGTTTCTTTATTATAAAATACAATCCTACATTAGTAAAACGCAATTGTTGAAGATTGTTTTTCTCTTCTGTTGGATATTCAGTTAATTTATGGCTAGCGTTCGAAATAGAAAACATTTTCCTTGTTTCAATACAGTTACAGAAACACGCAGGAAAGTTTGGGGAAAACGAGAAATTGCGTGGCAAGCACGAATACGAAGTGCAAATATTTCCAAGCAATTTCGAGCGAGACTTTTACAAGACTGAAATTCCCGTGTTTCTATACAGTTATATAGAAAGGGGTTTTTGGAGCATTTCTACCCTATTGAAATGTGTTTCAAGCAAAATCCCTGCAGAAAAGTGATTTCGAGCAAAACCGCTATAGAGAGTTTTATCGAGCATGCTCGAAAAGAAGGATATGCAAATGACAACGACACCGTAAAATAACGCCTTTGAATGGTTAAGAAATATTTTGCTTTTGCAAAAATATAACTGTATCATGCCATATCATTAACTCTTCATTTATCTCACTTGTCCTGTTTTAAAAGAAGAAATATCTGACCTCGGTCTTTAGTACAAACCTCACCGTACATGCTCCATATGTGCAAATAAAACTTCGTCCGATTATTTCTCCGTGAAGACTTCGCGCTTCATTAATAAAAGCTTTCTCAACCAAGTCAGTTCGGCATATCTAGAAGACTTTAACCCAAACTGAAACTTTTTTTATTTGAGCCATACATTGCCAGATATACGAGATATTTACCCAAGTGTAGATACCATCAAAGTCAGATACCTGATATATGTAAGTCTGTACACCAAACAGGAACTTTCAATTTTAACCATAAGTTCTCAGAGTTATTTATGTAATTGTAAATATCATCCAGGTCAGTACCTGACAACTGGAGTTTATAACCCAAACAAAACTTTATATTTTCACCATACGCTCCCAAATATGGGGGATATTTACACACTTGAAAATGCCATCGAGTAGCTGATGTCTAGGAGTCTATAACCCCCAAAACCTTTCTATTTGAACTATGCGTGCCCAGATATTTGTAATATCACACACGTGAGAATACCATCGAAGTCAGTTTCTAATACTAATATAAACCAAACAGAAACTACCATAAAACGTATATAAACCGAACAGAAACAGGTATAAACCTGATATAAACCGAACAGAAACTGGTATAAACCTGATATAAACCAATCAGAAACTTCAATTTGAACCATACGTTCCTAGATAAAGAGGATGTTTACAAAGTATGAAGAAAATTTTATAGTTACTTGGATATCTGATACATTCATTCTCGAAAATCGCCAATTTACATCAGGCACGTAGCCAGAACGATAATTGGGAGCGGGAGATATTAATTTATAATCTGTAAAAACAATGGATTCCAAAAGAAACTAATACGCATGTCATGCATTTATGAATATGCCCCCCCCCCTCCAATCATCGTTCTAGCTACGTGCCTGATTTACACGCCTTTTGCGACAAACGTGTGCCAGAGTTAAATAGTGATGCGTTAATGTTTACCACTTTGTAAAAAAACGAATATTTGCGCTTAATATGATCAAAATATGCGTGACAAAAACCAAGCAATCAATCCAGTTCTTGATCAGTTTTTCGTGCACCCAATTTCCATTGTGTAGGAAAACGACGCGATTTTTAATCACAGCACAACCATATACTGTCTTCTAAAAGTGCGGTTGATATGCAGTTTTTCACCTGCAATGTTTTTACCGTGCATGATGAAAATTAATTGAAATTATATCGAAATTCGTAATTCGAGGGATCTGGTGGTATTGGCGGGGCTTCTTCGGGAATTTTGATGTTCTCCAAATCAAGCAAACGCAATTTCAATTCCATACTGACGAGTTTGTCCAAGTCGGCCTCCCACGTTTTCGAACGTAACTAAAACGAAAGCAAATTTGATATAGTTAATATTTTTCATACCCAAAGTTTACTTACTCACCCCCTGTAAGAAGGATAAAATTGGTATAGAGAAGAGGACGTAGACATTATAGAAGAGGATTGATATCGAACTCCCAAATAACTGTTATGACATCATATTGCATAATTAGTTTTGGAAATAGTACTTTTCCTAGACCTTTAGTTATAGTCTGGGAGACAGCCGGGATTCAACGAAACATTAAATGATTTTGGCAAATTGAAACAATCTAATTTTATAATCTAACTTATATGTACTTTTTACTCATGAAGTTTCAACTCCTTTCAAATATATCGACGATGCCAAAAAGTGACGGTCCAGCAATGTGACGATCAGCATATTTGCTTGATGAACAAACATGAAAATCTCTACACTATGTATGTAAATAAGAACCCTTTAACAGAAATCGACAGCCACGTGCCCATGGCTATTACATATCGTTGTAACTAGCACAAAAACATTTCTGTTCCTGGCAAATTGGCATAACTCCTACGTGCACACTAATATGCACCAGTGGGATCGCACACTGATCAGGCAATGAAATTTCACAATAGATCAATTTCCAAAGGTCGTTTTATACACCTTGCTTAACATAATTCTATTGACGAAGTGTAAATGAAATTATAAAATAATCTATGGAGTCCATTTTGTAATTCCATATATGAAGTACAATCATAAAATTTGGTGTTTGAATTTTGAGTACTAAACACTTTCAAAGCACCTAATTTCGCTGAAAATATTAACATAGTTATTTTCGTGCTATCTACTCACTTTCTTTTCAAGTAGAATACTTAAGCCATCCACCCAATTATCGAACTAAATAACGAGAAAGGTACGATTGAAGAATCACAGAAACCTACAGAAATATTCGGCTACACGGATATGCGGCTAAATAGCTACAAATTACTTTAAATGTTTGCCTTTGCCTGAGTTTTCCATTATTACTCAAAAAGCATTTTGCTTAAATTTGTTCCTTTACCGCACTTTACTTTTTCTCTTGTCGTTCAAACGTTCGTTGAGAAATTCATATACCAAGGTGTGAATATTCGTATATTCAGCTGTGCCCTAATGATCAGCATGGAAAAGCTGAATATTTATTTACACACCCTCGAGTGGCATTTAAGTTTCGGTCCCGTATACTAACCAATGAAAATGGGCTTTGATCCCGATTCGGCGATTTTATTGGTCGATAGATGAATTTCGCAACAAACAATTGAACTGTCTTGACCACTTACCGTGTCTTGGTCAGGAGCAATAAAGTTTAATGGAGATTTTTCTTTTATCGTGAGAGAGAATGCCCATTGGACTTGGGTCTAAAGAAAAAACAATAACATGTTACTTAAGCGTCATTTTATTTTGTTCCTGAATTCAAGAATCATTTTCGAAATTTTCACCTTTTTTTGTCTGTTCGCTTCCTGCGTGTGAGGGCAATCAGTGCCCGTTAGTAAATCGTCTATTTCAGCTATCGCGACTGAAAAATACGGACAAATATCAAAATTATAAATGCATGTTTTCAATAAAATAAATAGTTGTCACGTGTATCGTTCATATGATATATATGTAGAGTGTACTTTTGTTGGCGATTTTAATTTAAAAAGACTTCAGCAGGCAGTGTTGAATATAAGAATATTACCACCCTCCCCCAAAAAGTACGTTATCATAAACGTCATCATAAACAAAGTCGTCATGCAAATTTAACATATGAGTTACATGAAACACTACGCAATTATTTAATTGATGTTTGAAATATCATCAATTGAACACCTGCGTCTTGTTTTCATAATTTCATATCTTTGTTTAACGTAGTATATGTTTCATCCTATATTACAAATTATAACTTGTGAATTCTAAATCTTTCGCGGTCCCTGCTGATGTTGAAGAAACGTAACTCGGTTATGCACACGTGGTCGTCGAAAGCGGGGGGGCTTAGAAAGAGGGCAGTCCCCCCCCTACCTTGCATTAAAATAGAGAATGTTTACTGATAGTCTATAATGTTTATAAAACGTACGTAGATACAAATGCAGTGCTGAGTCACGCACTTTTTGCAATTCTTTTATTACATTCACGATTGGGCGACGGGCGTTGCTAAAATTCAAAATGGCGTTTACCTAGCAACATGTTATATATTGGTTCACCTAATTTTTAAAATATGCCCCCCACTTCTATGTTGCTTCCGAGTTCCAACGCGCCTGGTTATACAAGACAACTGGCTTATCCTTGCATATAAATGGAACTCAATAATGTTTCATGACTGTGAAGGACAGAAATATACAAACCTTTATTCTGTAGTTGATCAGCGTTTGGTTTTGACGTTTCGTCGCAATTTCCATAATGCAAAAATCTTCTGTTCTGTGACAGTCTGCAATACCAATACTTGCTCTCTAAAGCATCAAAAATAGTGGGACTTCAAAAAAATTGTTCTAAGAACAATACTTTTGGGGGACTTAAAGTGTCCTTATGAGAAAAAACTTTTATTTCCTAAGCCTAACATATCAGTGAAAAATTTTTCAATTTGCTCAAATCGTCTTCTTGATGTGGCGGTTTTTTAAGTTGCCTTTCAATAGACTTGTCCGTCGTCGCTCGAAGTCTGGATCTAGCCAAATACCTACGTCATCCTAGGCAGTTGGTCTTTGTATCTTGTATTGATGAGTACCTTGCATGACGTCACAAAAGTAAGTCGTTCCAGACTTTTTGGACGACGGACAAGGTCATAAAATGGCACGATTTCACCAACTTTTTATTGATACGCTAGAAAAATCACCGAGATTTAATATCGCTGATAAAAATTTTGCTGAATGCGGGACTTTAGGTCTTGGATATGGCGGAAACATTTCACTTTCGTCGAGGAATAATACATCATATTAGATGATCAATCGAAATTGGCTCAAAAGAGGTTGCGGTTGCACGAAGCCTGTGTAGGGCAATGGGGAAATCCGCTTGACATAATTTACTCGATAGCTTCAAGACACCTTTCAATCTACTGGACAATCAATAGAACAAAACGCTAACTCAAAGATAACAAAGTTTCATTATTGTTGAAAACATATAATCACATACGTTTGAAAAAGTTACTAACAAGTGGATAAGGTTATTTGGGCTTCGTGCAGCATCAACCCACCCCTCCCCCCCAAAAAAATAATGTACATAAAAACCTTTATTTGTTTTTCTCTTCCCTGGCTTTTCAAATCTTGTCCCGGCAATGAGAAAATTAAATCTCTGCAAGAAAATCCGATGATTAAACAGAATCGTGCGCGAGTTTCACTTGCTAAATAAATGTAAATTTTTCGTACTTGGTCTTTCATCAGTTCTAACAAATCCGGCAAAATTTTTTTACGCAGATGCCTAAAGAACGGGAAATGAACAGTCAAAAACAGGCATCCACGACACCAGTGGCGTAGCCAGCCCGCAAATTTCATCGTGATATGTAAATTTTATATCATTATCATTATTCATTTCTTTAGAAATCTAATGTGTTTACAGTGAGTGAACACAGACACGACCAAACTTGCGCGCTGGTTACGCAAAGCCAAAACAGGAGTTAAATTTCAACGTGTTCTCCTTGGGAGAAAATAACTCCTGACATACTTACGCAATCGGTTTTGATTGAACATTGATATTCGTTCCGCTACCTTGAATCATGGAGCCAATAATAGTTTCCACCTTCAGGCCATTTATGTACGTCTGAAGGGAAAAATCCAGGAAATCTCAGTTAGTGTTTTCTAATTTTGTAATGAATATTAAAGTCATGACATCACTATACATAATTACGTCAGCGATAATCATCGAAGTTTTGCATTCTAATACACAAATTCATCTATACGTTGGAAGTTTTTGTGTTTTGATTCTCCATTATTACAGTGCTCGATGCGTGTGAGCAGAGCGTAAATATAGATGAAGAAAGCGATAAAATCACCATAAACTACAATTCCCTCCGCCAAGCCTGTTTCGTGGTTTCTCACTCCTAGGAAGATTTAAAATCGCTTGAAGTGTGAGAAATCACGGCTGTAGTTTTCGGTGATTTTTTTGCCATCTCGATCTACATTCATCTACATACGTATTTATTAAATTATATACCAATGTTTCAATCTTGCAAAGATTTTCAAACCATTTAGAAAATGATGCTCAATAAAAGTTATTATTACTCAATGTAATCTCATTATGTTATTGTCATAATGAAAAAAGTTAAATATCTCTTAGAAAAAAGTGAACCAACCATTGAACTAAAATACATTGAACGCTGCCTAAAACAAACAATTGAAGCCAAATTTTACACTCAGACACGCGAGATTTTATCCCGACACGCGTGTGTAGTGTTTCTCTCGCGGAGTGAAAATTGATTGACGACACACGCGAGTCTGGGGTGAAATCTAGCGTGTCTGGGTGTAAAATTTGGCTTCAATTGTTTGTTTTAGGCAGCGTTCAATGTATTTTAGTTCAATGGTTGGTTCACTTTTTTCTAAGAGATATTTAACTTTTTTCATTATGACAATAACATAATGAGATTACATTGAGTAATAATAACTTTTAATTGAGCATCATTTTCTAAATGGTTTGAAAATCTTTCCAGGATTGAAACACACGCGAGTCTGGGGTGAAATCTAGCGTGTCTGGGCGTAAAATTTCGTTTCAAAAAGCATAAGGGTTTTTTTATTACAGGTAGCGTTCCATGTATTTTAGATCAAACGAACCAACACAATTCCGTTGAAGAATTTATCTGCTTTATCTGCTATCAAGGCTTTCTAAATTGCCTTGGCAATGCAATCAGAAACCTATGTGATGGAGTTTCATGCCATGAACTATTTAAATGATCGTACTTTGAAATTTTCAAAAGTCGGGTGCTTCTCTTTCAACGTCACGTTAATCTGTTTTTCAACAACGGTCATAACCTAACAAAAATCCGAGGAAAAAAAACGAATTGAATTGTAGACACGGTGAATACCATCCTTTTAAACAAACATGGCACATCTGTAAATAAAAATTCGTTCAATATCAAAAGGTAGAATATGGGGGGAGGGGGGAGAGAAGAAAAGGAACGCGACTGTGGTTATACAAAGCACGAAGCTACTCACCCGTGTAAAGTCTTCTTGTTTTGCTTTCATTTCGCGCCAGGTTTTGCCCAATAACATAATGCAAATGCAAAAAAGCTCTTGAAAAGGGGCATCCGTAGAGAAAAATATCGGATAAAACGCATTTGACGTCTCGTCCGCTAAAACAAGAAACATTACAATCATCAGTTATATACGTATGAGGTATACCCATGTGTATACCCATTTTACCGTTCAATAACTCGTATAGATCCCCTCTACTCGTAAAAAACCCCAGAAACTTGGTGGTAAAATTTTGGAGTAAAGAGCTCTTTTTGTACAGCTCTGCATCGGACCCGAGAGTAATCTCAGCTCCCAAATTTCGCACAGCATGATCTTCACATGCCGTCATTCCTTCCTTCTTCACATGCCGTCATTCCTTCCTTCGGCAAATGCCGTCATTCCCTTCCTTCTTCACATGCCGTCATTCCCTTCCTTCTTCAAATGCCGTCATTCCTTCCTTCTTCACATGCCGTCATTCCTTCCTTCTTCACATGCCGTCATTCCCTTCCTTCTTCACATGCCGTCATTCCCTTCCTTCTTCACATGCCGTCATTCCTTCCTTCTTCACATGCCGTCATTCCCTTCCTTCAATAATCATATTAAACTAGCTCACATCCAGCTTACTTGCCAACGCTACACATGCATTGGCAGACATCTCAAAGGTGCACGTTTTCCCGCACGAGCGTTTGGGGAGAAGGAGAGTTGTGGGGCTCTAATTTACGACACAAATAGACTCTTGAAACCTGGAGTAAACAAAGTCTGAGTTCTAAATCAGACAATTTATGCAAGAAAGAAAAGCTGTAAAATACATAAGGACAAAGTACGACCTTAATCCGTTATACTACTGCCCTAACGTAGAACAGACCACAAACTTACGTTGTTCACCGACATTCAACAGACGACAAACTTACGTTGTTCACCGACATTCAACAGACGACAAACTTACGTCGTTCACCGACATTCAACAGACGACAAACTTACGTTGTTCAGCGACATTCAACAGACGACAAACTTACGTTGTTCACCGACATTCAAAAGTCCACACAAGAGCTTGACTAGGGCAATGCTTGATTTCGCAAAAGGACATTCGTGCCCATCTCCTCGACCCAGGTTCCCTTTAACGACCTGAGAAAATTAAAAAGCAATGTGTTACCATAGTGAAAACGTCACTCGCTTCACAACCCCCGAAAAATAAATACCTTCTCGTAGGAATCAGGATAATTTTTGCAAAAGAACATCATACAATCCAAAGCTAACAGTCCGGGGGGTGTTTCACGAAAATTCTCTGACAATCTTTGACAATGCTAGATGTAGATAATTATTGAATCGTGTCAGTTGCGCATTTAGATGCTCCCCCCTTCCGAATTTAACGTTAGAACTAACTTCGAAGCCAAGTTTCTTGTAGTCGTTGGATATTCTCATTTGCACATCAGAGTGACTAGCACTGTAATCAAACACTGTCTTGCGAAGCGTCTCGATTTTCTCTTTTTCCCTCTGACAATATAGTGGAACATAAAAACGCGATCACTCCATCCGGGGATTTCCGCGTCATGCAGGGGTTCTGGGACGCATTCGTGATGTCCTCTTACCTGGTCGTCCTCTCTCATCACCATATTCATTCTATGTTGCAGGAAGTTCAGAGTCAATTGTTGATATGTGTAGAGTTGATGAGCCATATCGTCACTAACACCTCGGGAGTTTCGTATCATGTTCTATACAAAAAAATACAAAAATGGTCATTTTTATTTTCAAACACATAAACTGCCATCAATCACATAAGCATACTGATCAGGCATTAAAATTTCAGGTACATTAATTTCTTAAGAACTTATTCTTTGATACACCCCGTAGAACACATTGCTGGCGCCCATATATTGTAGGCCACGCTTATATACTTTAGGCAACGTCAACTGGACTTTATGAAGCGTTCCCCCGCATCCAAAATTTGCAAAAACAATCACTAAATAATTCGTGTTTCATTTTAAAAAGGAAAAAATGAAATAACGACACTCTAAATTCACGACGACTTTGATGGCGATGTGCTTACATTAAATCTTTCTATGACTTACTGTCAATAACACATTTCGTACACCAATCGACCTTATTTCGTTTGATAATTCCTGCATAAAACACAAAAAATATTTCTTCGGTTTTCATCTTTTCCTTACGACAAAGAATTAAGAGCCAGCAATATAAGATAAAATACACCCCAAAAACATCATCCTTGTAAACACAAGATTTGACATACATTGACAAGAGAACCTTAAGTTTAAAAAGTTATGCTTTTTGGAGTATGTTTTCTATTATATTTTTTAAATTGTCGGCTGGAAAATGTTTTTGGAGAACAAACAAATTTCATACATCCCTGAGAGTCGATGGCGTTTTCATAATCAAAGCGTTTATCAGCGATATTGTGTTTATCCGCACGTCTTCGTTGACGCTAAATGGAATTATGGCGAACGTATTTTATGATGACTCGGAAGACAGTTGAATTGAATTTAATCTCACTTTTGTAAATGCTGTTTTAAACTTTCGATTGTAGCGTCTGCAGATACGATAGCATAAAAGTTAGGGCTGAAAAAGGCAAAGCGTATGGTGATTAGTTTTGTTTGGTCAAGCAGACTGCGGCAAAAAGCTAATTTTCTACCTGTTTTGCACAATGGACTCTAATATTGATAGCGATCGCTTGAGAACGGTGGGGTCCGTTAGGGCAGTCGTATTTACGAAGCTACATAACTAGGGAGAGGAGAGAAGAAATTTGATAACTTTTTCATATCAATTCTTGATGGTGGAAAAGCAAAATTGAAAGCATTATAGCAAGTAGTAAGACTACCACTACGAGTACGAAGTACATTGAACTGAATATAACTGGAATGCCACTTCCCGCCAAAATTTGACTCCAGCAAGTTAACTAGTCGCAGTAAATGGAATGGTAACCTTCCAGTTAATATTCAGTTTAATGAAGCGGAAATTTCGTTGTGACGTATGAAACACGTTGTTTTGTGCAAAACCCGTGGTGTTATAACCAATAAGAAGTCTTTAATAGCGTTGCATGAGAGGTCTACTATCGTAGTCGTACTCCTTGCTGTTGCCTTTGGCAAGCGCTTGTTCATTTTAACAAACCTTTTTAACGAAGGCGTTATATATGAAATTCCACGAAACGATGTTGTGTTCCATGAGTTCTTGAAAGGATGTCAAGACATGCGCTCTTAACTCACTAGAACTACAAAGAAAATAAAATCCACACTTCAGAAATAAGGGAATACGATCACAGTACCACATTCTTTTGACAATTCTTACTCTATTCCTGTGTCAATCATTTGTAACAATATTGTTAATCCCTCCAGTTTGATAAATTCCAGCGCAAACGATGAATCCTATGAAATATTTTTAAAGTCACCATCCAGCACATTAATTTCTTTAATTGAGGGGCTTGGGCACAGAGTCGTGGACGAAACGTTATTTCGATGGGGGTCATTCATACACATGTGTATTAGGAAAGTGTATAAGCTTTCAAAAGAATTCAGTCCATTAGTTTTTGCCATGTAGTTTTTGCTATGTAGTTTTTGCCATGTAGTTTTTGCTATGTAGTTTTTACCATGTAGTTCTTGCCATGTAGTTTTGCCATGTAGTTTTTGCCATGTAGTTTTACCATGTAGTTCTTGCCATGTAGTTTTTCCCATAGTTTCCTTTTTTTTTTAGTTTTGTAGTTCCATGTAGTTTTTTTGTAGTTCCATGTAGTTTTCCATGTAGTTTTTACCATGTAGTTTTATGTAGTTTTGCCATGTAGTTTTGCCATGTAGTTTTTGCCATGTAGTTTGCCATGTAGTTTTTGCCATGTAGTTTTTGCTATGTAGTTTTTACCATGTAGTTCTTGCCATGTAGTTTTTGCCATGTAGTTTTACCATGTAGTTCTTGCCATGTAGTTTTTGCCATGTAGTTTTTGCCAAGGGGTGCATCATACAGGTTGTTCATGTACAGGTCGGGAAGAAATTTGGGCGACATGCCATACTAAACTGAATAAAGCTGAATGGCTAAGGGCTACCTTGTGCCATATTACGATGCCAGCAATTTTACCTTTATCCCAAACTTTTCATGCAAGGCTTATAGAAGGATCATTGGGATGGTAAGCTAAAATGAGGGACTGGAGGTAGTATTTGGCTTCAAACAAGTACAAGCACGTTAAAGTAGCCTTCCAGTTACATTTTTTAGCTCAATGGCTATGCCTATGGTTTAGCTCAGTTTCCTAGCAACTCAAGTCAAGTATGCTTGGTAACAATTCAAATATAGAATTTTCACCTCCGATACTGCAGCCAATCTTGCTAAAGCATGTTTCTGGAGTTCGCTGTCAGCCGACTTTACATCATCATACAAAGTTTTTGCAAGTTTTGCCTGAGTAAAAAGCACAGAAAATACATTCACTTGACATCTGTTTGACTTTACATTTCAGTGGATGGAAAATATATATTACTGCCTTTCCACATTAGTTATTTGAAATTTGTTATTTTGATTTTGTTCCATGGTATTTTTGTATGAGACAATATGGTGCTATCATATAAGACCCCACTTTTATAATTACAAGACCACTTTGTCCAATAAATTAGTTCTCATTACTATAGCAAGATGGCAAAACTTTCACTCACAGGGGAGGTTACCAGCACCAAGACGGCACCATTCGTTAACTCATTGCGATTCTGAAATATACGATCAAAAGTGTTAGCGAACATTGCTCAGTGATGCATTCATACATGAAAAATTATTGCAAACCTGTTCATTAATATAAGTATTAGTGTTCTCATACTGCAATGCAAGCTGATCTGGGTCAGGGATGTTCCAACTACAGATATAGAAAGGAAAAAATTCACATTATTATGTAAATTGAGCAGTCGATATTGAGCCTGAAATTTATGAAATACTTGGCCTACAAACAGAGTTGATAGATTGCAAAAATTGATTTGATAAATTAAATTTCAAGACAATAAATTATTCAAAACAAGACCGTTAGGCTCCTCTCGAGCAGTTCACGCCGCGCCCTTCCCTCTCCACTTAATCTATGAAATATTCATTACAACATACAGAATGCTTGTGCCCTTTCCTCAAAACATGAAAGAAAATATTGCAATTTACTTTTTGCCCTGCCCGTACAGTTTGCCCGAAATACCTGATTTTGACACGTAAACTTTCGCAAAATGTATCAATTAATATTCAGTTAAAAGAAATAGTATCAAAGTTGTGACGAAAGGTTCTTCGAACGATAATTTTCGTCGTAATTTATAAGCAAACGATACAATAAACAAAAGTTTACATTATTAGTGGCTTCATAATTAAAGAATAGAAGCATGCGATGAGTATAATTAATAAATTATTGATAGAAACTTCATGATTTAAAAGCAAGCGAAGTACTGTCGTGTGTCCACTTACCCTTCGCATAGTTCGTTAATTATATCCTGAAGTTGGTAAGTCTGGAAGAACACGAGATTCAAGTATAATTCATTGAAAATATACGTTGATAACGTAAGAAGAAACTGTAAATTCATACGAAAAGTTATACAACGAAAAGAGAAGATAAAAAAGCACGTTACCTGATTAAAATGTAACAAAGACGACATCAAATGAGGGTATTTCTCGGGCGGTTTAACAGCCAATTTTACAATATTAAGATCCGGCATTTTGATGCTTGTTCACAGAGTTTCCCAGTTGATATTTTGTGCGAAGAACTTTGCCAACAGCTATGTTCTAAATTTCAGTAAGACTTGCGACAGATTCTTTGCGACTTTGGAATATTTCTTGGACGCGAATTCTTTCAATAATTAACTACCCGCTCACTTCGTGATCGCTGTGTTCATTAAATCACGGGCGTTCTGAAGATATTTTTGCCGAAGAAATGTGTTTTGAAAATTGACAGGTAAAACCAGTGACCAAACTACTCTCGCATATCACTCACACAGAATAGACATTATATGTAATAATATTGGACTTCCGGTGGTCTGGGTAGGTGGATATGTTTGGATAATGTTACATGTTCTTCGAACACGGTCAAGGGGTTACCGTATTTGCATTGAACTAAAATACATCTGAAACGTAACTCCTTATATGCACGTTTCTCATGAGCATACAAAAACCGTGTTAGGATTTATGTTACTTATAACTCCTACAGGTTTTCCTATTGATTGGCTAAAGCCAAAATACAACTAAAATTTGTCACCCCCCTGAAATAATGCGTGGTTTTTTTCGGCGAGCGATTTTTGTTTAGGCTTCTTGGCAGTAGAAAAACGTGAAAAAATTATTATTTGTCGTTTTTTTACATATTTTGTGCTTTGGAATTGTATCATGATTAGTTCATGCCACAGCAAGATATTTTCGAGGAGAAACATATTCAGCGAGAATCGAGGACGATCGATCGACAAATTAATACAACTCTACAAGACGGAACTGAATGTTAAGAAATATGAATGCCATATAAAACATATTTGAATATTCATAGATTTTATGCACTTTTTTCGAGTATTATTCCTGTCCTTTTACGTTTTATCAATGTTCCAGTGATATTATTTGTTTGATGACACACAATTTTTCTTGTTTATTTCATTATTGTTTTTGTATCAACTACCAAGCTTATCGGCCCGCCGTGATATGCATTGTTTTCATTTTCTTTTTCTCCCATTATTTGCTTTACATAGACAAAATACGAATGTCGCGTTTCTTATTTGAAAAATGTTTTTGCGAAGATCTTTCACTTTTCTTTATGACACTGAGCTATGTGTATATTTGCAGTAGGTGTATTTTCATGGCGTGAAAAATGCTTCTAAAAAAACACATTTTTCTCCTTGGCAAATTGCTCAATTTTTACGAAACCTGGAACTACAGTATTTAGATTGTTTGAACGTTTGGGTATGCCTGGAACTTTCAAAAACTCAGAAAAAGCAACAAAAATCGCGCGGACATTTCTTAACTTTTGTCTTTGCTTCAAAATTTTATTCGACATTCTATAATTTTGACTAATATTCTTCAAAGTCAATGGTATTTTGAAAAACTACCGCAAAGTTCAATTTTGAAATTTTACAAATGTAAAAATGCTATTTTTTGAATTCTTTTACAAAAGGACTGGCGCGACTTCAAAAATGAAAAAATCTGGCTTCATTTGACCCCCGACTTATCGTTCCAGATGTATTTCAGTTCAATGCGTATTTGTCGCTGTACAGCCACCACCATCGAATAAGGCTGCCCTCGAATTAAAACCGCACCTTGCCTTTCCAGATCATATGTTTTCACTCTTCAGTTGTTGCGCCTGTGAATATCTAGATAGTATGTTTGTGGATGTAGATTGTGTGCAAGAATGAGATGAAGCGATATGCAAAAGTAGGCAAGCTAAGTCTGTGATAAAAATCGTTTCGTTCCAACGTTACTCTTTTATGACTGCAAAAGATTTCCCTAACGGGAAACGTAATCTTAAAAAAAAATTCAAAGCCAGATCACAGCAAGTAAATGGATCACCATTATAAAAATAAAACTTGTAAAAGTCGTTTTTATAAATTAAACTGCTTTGGACTTTGATTACAAGCAGTCCAACTTGTTTCCTGCCTGAAATGTTAATCGCCAACCGGAAACCTTTCGCTTTAGAGAATTTTAATGCAAAAAAAGAGTCAACAAGCTACATTTTACCAATTTGGATGGACAAGTCATTTTCAATAGTTATCTTTTCAAACAACCGATGTTACATACATTGAACTATTCTGTTGTTTCCAATCATCGCGATGCAATTTTTCCCATTTTTTCTGTTCTTGAATATACCCCACTAACCCCACAAACAAGACTCGTATCTCTCTTATGCTTCTGTAATTATGCAAAGATCTGAATTTCCATTAAAAAAACTTTCATCATCGCTGCTGAAGCAAAATAGAGCTCCTTTAATTTATACCTCGGAAAATTGTTACACAAGTACTAGTTGCAGAGTTTGATCCATGAGGTTAGCTATAAACATATACACAACTATAACTACCATTGTCTATTGGTTTAAGCAATAAGATCACTTCAGATAAGCTAGACGCTAAATACGATCAAGAAAGAAATCAAAATGGCTGTGATGATGAGTCTCCTGATTTGATGCCCATTCCTTTCAGTTGCACTACGAGAAATTCAAGAGTTCGAAATAAATTTGAGGTTTTGCAAATGCTTGGAAAAAGGAGAGTTTGCTTGTCAAGGTAACTTTTTATTACATAAATCGTTTAAATAGACGGTAATTTGGTCATTTGAAGGAAATTTTGTACGTGATTTGGAAATGCTTTTATACGCTTAGGTACATAATAAATTGGAAGGCTGTCTCTATGCGATCAAAAGAATTCCTTTGAATTCGAAAATGTGTTGTTTAATCGCAAAATTACTCGAGAAGAGAAATTACTTTCAAGATTGAATCATGAAAATATTTAAGGTAAAAAAAATTACCATCCAAAACGAATCAAAATTTTATAACATAAGGGTTGAAAGCGAGGTTCAATTTAGAAGATACAAATTGCCTGGCTTATGAAATGTTATCTTTGTAGAAACTTTTATAAAAATTTAGATAGTCCCTTTTTTCCATGAAGCCCATAGATGCTTTTCTTCATGATGAGAGAGTTATATTGTATGAGGAGGCTCTCCTTCATCACAAACGACAGAGTTATGAGAAAGTTACATTGTAAAACGTCACTAGTAAAAAACGTATAAACTTGTTTAGAGTTGGTTTGAATTATAAGTCGAAAAGCAGAAGTTGTTTGAACCTTTGCAGTATCGTTGGATGTTCTAGTTTCTTTTATGAGAAGAATTCTTGTAAAGAAAAACAAATTTTGAAAACAAAAAATCCCGTTTACGGTCCATGCCTCCCGATAACTCGAGATAGTTTAGCACTAGAGCGTCGCATGTTAATTAAGGGAACCAGATAATTCTTGTTTGCCAAGAAGCCAATTGATGGTTTGCTCAGAAAGATATAAACCAATAAATATATCCTAAAACATGTTTAAGGTTGTCTTAACTTATAAGTGTCATAAAAAGGCACAGTTTCAGAAGAATTTAGTTAAAGCATTGCTTGCTTTATTTTAAAAAGATAAAATTTGAAAGCAAAAAACCCCGTTTTCGGGCCATGCTTCCCGATACCTTCTTATATGTAAGGCACTAGAACGCCGCATGTTAACGTTTCGGTAGGAGATTTCGGCCCCTCCACGCTATCCTACTTGGGAGATGCAATAGCAAGCTTCCGCCCATCAGACACCGAGATCACCTGCAATAGGCTTTGCTCGGGGTACGCAGGGAGAGTGCGGTCGCTATTTGTCGTTGCTCTGACCATGAACTTGGAGAGTTGATGAAGTTGACTACGCGTGCTCAGATTAATTCTCATTTAATTTGGGAGGATGCGAGCTCAGAAATTGGTGTTTTTTGTGCGCATAGCAAATTTTCAATTATATATTTTGTCATTCTCTTTGTCGTCTTAAAATTGTTTTGACAAATGCATACAAACTCATGAACACTTTGTTACACCACTTTGTAATATCCGTGACCATGTTAGAGTTGTTTTTATTTCTTTCATAAGTTTGTGTGTGCATATTTGTGCATAAACAATAATCTAATATTTATCACAGATATTATAATTCGTTAATTAAGATAAAAGAAATACTTGAAAATGAAACTTCGAATCGTGAAACAAAATCAAGCATGACAGAGGAGAAACAACGACGCCAGTTTGAAAATAGCTTGATGAAATTGAACAGTAGAAGCACCACTGGCACGCTAAAGAGTTTTGGATGAGGACTCGTGGACCAATGAAAACACAAATGATTCCAAGCATGTTGACGACGATAAATGCTCTAGCAAGGTCGAGGTTCGAATAAAAATCAAAGTCCATTAATAACACTGAGTCTACTGAAGTTATGTTCAAAAGAAATATCGATGAATCAATATACAGTTTGGAAGGTCGTTGGCTCAGGTGCTATATAGTAGTGGGAACTGTTCATGATGTTGCTGAACATATGTAAAAATAACTACCAGCGTCTTTCCTTTAGGACGAGGAATCTGATTTAGAAAGTGAAGAGGAAGCAATCACCACAAGAGATTTGCAAGAAGACTCAAAGTGTAATCTGCAAACTTTGTACATTATACTATTGTTAGAAGAGTACTCAAATGAATGTTAGTGACGAGGTGTAATACAAGGACCAACATGAATGTTAGTGACGATGTAATACAAGGACCAACAGAGAATTCTAATGAATGTAAGTGACGAGGTGTAATACAAGGACCAACAGAGAATGTTAGAAGAGTACTCTAATGAATGTTAGTGACGAGGTGTAATACAAGGACCAACAGAGAATGTTAGAAGAGTACTCTAATGAATGTTAGTGACGAGGTGTAATACAAGGACCAACAGAGAATGTTAGAAGAGTACTCTAATGAATGTTAGTGACGAGGTGTAATACAAGGACCAACAGAGAATGTTAGAAGAGTACTCTAATGAATGTTAGTGACGAGGTGTAAAACAAGGACCAACAGAGAATACGGCTTTTCTGTGAGATTGTAGAATGATTTAATTGTTCACATTCATTCAGAGGTAGATACTTTCGATTATTTTATGTGTTAACTGTATGTATGTGTAACTAAACACGAAAAAATTGTGAACAATTTTAGTTTGCTGAATAAATATATATAAAGACTTTTTATTTGCAATTTTTTTTCTAATTTTTTTCCAATAGGGTATGATTCAACTAAACGTGTTTAGATATTCATGGTTTTCTATTGTTACATATTTTAGGTGTTTTTTTTTCAAAACGTCGAAGAATGTCAAGAAATTAGAGTTTGATCTATTGATGAATTGAAAAGCTAATTTAAATTCTTTATCTTTGTCAAAAAGAAAGTAATCCTTCCCGGAATATTTATCACGCATTTTTATCACATCTGTTTCAAAAAACTGAAACATAGTCAAGACTAAACATACATTTTCTGAGCACAATAAATAACCTAGTTTGGGTTGTTTATCAAAGAGAGGTGTTAAAAAAAATGCACCCTTTAAGGGGGCGTTTATTTGATACGAGGCGTTATTGTATTATTTACGGTATGTTCGTAAAATGCCAAATTTTTATGCAAAGCAAAGTGATACAGGCAACAAAACTTTATGCGCAATACAATGCAGTGTATACACACGTTATATTTACTATACAAGCTGTACAAGGCAAAATAAACAACGACTATGTGGCTCGCAGTAGGTGTAATTAACCTCTATTTAATAAACAAAACAGTCTATAATACAATCTACTTCCGGTCAGCTGATAAAATTTTCTTTTCCGTACACACTAACAAAGCTTTCGTATACTTGGCCAGTTTTAAGAAAAATCAACGCGAAGATGATGGACTTTAGTCGGGGAAGAAATGAAACTACAGGCTATAACAATACAGGACTTTCCGGCTAAGTGTTTTGTGATATTTGAAACGTGAAGAGTTTTGGAATGGCGGCCAATGATCATGAGATAGGGACAGTTATCACTTCTCTAAAGGAAGGCACAACTATGACCAAATTTATCTCTGGTAAGAAACCAGAGACTCGGACCTTCGTGCTGAAGTTAGACGAGTTTCAAATTGGTCTGTGCAAAAACAATGGCAAGGAAGAGTCCACTGGTAAGTTCGTCCTAAGTTTACAGATTTTCAAATTACTTGAGTTCGAAGACTGTTTGTTCTGCTCTCCATTCTTGTCATTAAGTCTGTGATTGTATGCAAATCGTCGGTATAAAATATGTAACGGGAAATGTGGAAGTTCTTTTTAAATGCTCGCTTGAAATACGCAATTAAACGAGACTCTTTCACTCTCCCTTTCTCAATAAAATGTCGATCATTTTCCCCGAAATTTTTCAACATCCAAGTGTTACATTCGTTAAATTTTAACGAAGCAATTACCAAATACCTTAAAGTCTACCTCAGACATATAAGGCATGCTTGCTATGTGTAAACAATCTTCGAATGACTTGATATTGGCAATTTGGCATGTAGATTTGCAAGCAGGAAGAAGAAACACAATAGTGTTACATTATCGAGTCAGGTGAATGAATTCTTTCTCTACATGCAGATGCTGTTCATGAAAGGTTATTTAAATGGCCTGCTTTATGTAAATGAACAACACACCCACATATCTTTGAAAAAAGTAGGAAGTTTGGAGTATTTGACATTGAGCTACCTGCTATGTTGTTGACAGCAGGGGGGAGGTGTGAGTATGAAATTGTTCAATTCCATGTGATAGACCTAACACAAATACAACCTTTGCAAACAGCATGTTTTTAGTTGTTGCAAGTGTGCGAGGCATGAAATTTGTTTTAACCGATGATTTTAACTCCCTTCTGTTGGAATTGTATTTATCTTCATTCACAGTTTGTCGTCAAATGCTTGTGGTAGATCAATCTGTTATACCTAGTTGCTCTTGTGCATAGCGTCATCTAAGCAATTTACATGTAGTTGTGACTTACCTGGCACGTAGCAGGCTAGCAGGCATCTCTTTTCATTAACGTTTGTGATATAGCAACTAGATTTAGAATTGAACTCCATGGCAAGGTGTTGGGAAAGTTGCTTGCCAGCTGATAATCTTGTGAGATTAAGATCAAAATCAATAATCAAAGGCTTGTTTCAAATGCTGAACATTACAACAAGTGGCAAATACATTTGAAACAAAAGACAACAAGGAATTTTATCTCATTTTTCTTTGTATTTAATGCATTCAGCACATGTGCAACTAGATTTTTGAAACAGGCCTAACCGCTGGGTTTTCATTGTATGAATTTAATTTATAAAACAGACACAATGAATTACCTGTGCTGATTGGTCTAGATCTGTGTTTGCATTAGCCTGTGCTGATTGGTCTAGATCTGTGTTTGCATTAGCCTGTGCTGATTGGTCTAGATCTGTGTTTGCATTAGCCTGTACTGATTGGTCTAGATCTGTGTTTGCATTAGCCTGTGCTGATTGGTCTACATCTGTGTTTGCATTAGCCTGTGCAAAAAAATTAAAACATTAACTTTAAATTTGTCTGTTTCGCATTATTGTTATTTTATAAAAGAAATAAAAGATGCTTTTCATGTTTGCACTGATTTATGCAAACCACTGATTTATGTGTAACTCTCGACATTTGGTCTCGGGCTTGCATTGATCTGCTCTCAAGTTCCCCCAAAGATCTCCTCAGTTTGCATTTAAGCCTGTGCAAACACAGTAAACATCTTTTATTTTTTATTTGCTTTCTTACTTTTGCCATCAATGATAACATGTGAGGTCATTTCTAAACGTATGTTCTATTTTAGTGGATATTCAAGAAATAAAAGAGGTTCGCCGTGGCATCAGTAGCAAGGATTTTGATCACAATCCCGCATTTTCTAAAAAACTTGATCCAAACAGCTGTCTTGTGATTTTCTACGGCATGGAGTTCAAATTAAAAACATTAAGCTGTGCAGGTAATTATGGAGATGTTGTCTATTTAAAAAGTCATTGTCGTTAAAGATATTTTTAAAGTCATTCATTACAGATGTTTTCTAAAGAGATGGTGTTTATGGTGATGTCATAAACAGAGATGTATTGCTATTAAATAAGGTTTTGTCTATTGAGAGGTTATCAAGAAGACGAATTTGTTTTTAGAAGTGTCTTTTCTTGAGACGATGTCAAATTTAAATATGAGTTTTGGCTACAGAGATGTTTTCAATAGAGATGTTATCTGTCGAGATTTTTAAAGAAATGTTGTTAATCAACAGCTCCATTTTGAGATGTGTCTATTAATATTATGATAAAAACATTTCAGCTCAGAACAACAAAGAAAGAGAGTATTGGGTCATTGGTTTGATCTTTTTAATGTATGAAAATCCTTACATATCACAACCAAATCTGATTTACAGGTAATTTGATGATTTATTTTGACCATATTTCTATGTCATTTGCTTCAGAGAGACAATACCTCATAAATTTTATTTCTTTCAGATGGTTGCTGAAGGAATGGAGTTTACTGACTTCTTCAATCAAGAAAGAGTAAGAAAAAATATTTTTTGGAGAGGGGTCGGGAGGGAGGGGACTGGCATCCATTGCAATACGACATCTCTGGCGAACTTTTTTCAGTAAGAAAGTTGAAACACGCGGACATTTTTATATTTTACAAGGCCTTTAAGATTCTATATTCGTTCAACTGAACGCGTTTGTTTTGATTTACTTACCGAAATTTTCATCAAGCTTGCAAACGTGAAGAGCGCAGTGACGTAGCCTGCTCGCAGGTTAGATCGTTTCATGTAGATCTGCGTCATTATTATCTTCTTTAGAAATCTATTGTTTTAACATCGAGTGAACGTCGAAACATTTTTCCGGCACGAGCAAACTGGCCGACTGGCTTCGTCACTAAACGAGCAACCAGACTCTAATTAAAACAGGATGAAAACATACTTTACAATTAGTAAAATAGAGACTTTGTCGTTGGGACAGATCTAAAAATGGTTTTAATGTTTGCAATTGCCATGGTGGCTGACCATAATTACTTAAGAGTTCTAAAAAGAACTGTTTTAAAGATAAAAGACATTATGCATTTCGGCAGATTACTCATCAGATGTCAACGTCTGCTAAATGACAACCTAAAATCAATCAAAATTTATACTAACAAGAAAGTTAACGTCATTTCCAAATTGGCAGGTGATGCTTAAAACAGGGATGATAATGACGTAATGCCCTTTCGTTGGCAGAGGACGAGATTTGTCAACTTTTGTCAGCCACTAAAATTTCATAACACTCAAAGTCAGCTGTCACATATCTACATGACCGTATAATGTTTAAAATGTCTTAGAATTTTGACGTCATTTTGTTGTTTTGACGTTTCTTATATATTTTATCATATTTTACTCTTAAAGTCACCGTATAATGTTTAAAATGTCTTAGAATTTTGACGTCATTTTGTTCTTTTGACGTTTCTTATTTATTTTATCATATTTTACTCTTAAAGTCACCGTATAATGTTTAAAATGTCTTAGAATTTTAACGTCATTTTGTTCTTTTGACATTTCTTATTTATTCTATCATATTTTACTCTTAAAGTCACCGTATAATGTTTACAATGTCTTAGAATTTTGACGTCATTTTCTTCTTTTGACGTTTCTTATTTATTTATCATATTTTACTTATAAAGGATAACCATGAAAGAAGTCAAACAATTCCTTCAAAGAGCCAACATTAAAATGAATAACGCTCGCGTTCGTGAACTCTTCCAGGTGTGTTGGACGTTTATTTTTTCTCTTTCGTTATAATAAATTTTCGAAGCAAGTTTTTAGTTAAACAAGTTGATGTATTTTCAAGTATGGATTTTAACGTTTTGCTCGAGAACTGTGAGAAGCTTCACTATTTGTTGAGGTTTTCGGTTCACTGTATTTTAATCGTCTTGTCTACTGTGAACTATGTTGTTATATATTAAACTGCAGTTCTAGATTCTTTCATATTTTAATATCATAGATAATAACATCACGTTGTTGTGATGTACTCAGGTATAGTTACAAGATAATCATTGTCTCCATTGTTCTACTTACTGAACCACAAGATTAACTGTGAATAATGTTGATATTTTAAAACACAGTTCTAGTTTCATTTTTATATCTTAATGGTGTAATAGAAAATAACATCACGTTGTTTTGATGTACTCAGGTATGGTAATAAGATAATCATTGTCTTCAATATTCTACCAACTGAACTAAAAGATAAACTATGGATTATGAGTATAATACAAAACACAGTTCTAGTTTCATTTTTATATCTTAATGGTGTAATAGAAAATAACATCACGTTGTTTTGATACAAATTGTGCAATATTACTTCTGCTGCAATATTAAATCGATCGTCTCATTCACGGTCTTACATGACGTTTCTATTACCAGGATGTTGATACAAAGAGACTGGGGCACATCAATTTTGACGGTTTTCGCTATTTATACAATGTTTTGATGTATCAACGAGAGGTGAAGTCTATAATGTTAAACATCAATATTTGTAAAACATGACGTCCAACAAAAGCTTAATACTACCTGAAATTTATGATTCAATACAGCCACGGCGGCAGATTGATAATTTGAGGGCTCATATTCACTTACGCATCCTTTGCTTTCTTAAGTTCTCTTGAGAAAAACAATTGCTCAACATAAAATTCTAACCATAGCTTTTGAGTAACGAATAGTAATTTATTTATTGTAACGTTTCGTCTTTACTATAAATTATGATAATTTAAATAATTTACTACGCATTTCTTAGTCGATTGTTCTGCTTAGAATTTCATGTTGAGAAATTGTTTTTTCAATACGTATCGGATTCCAGTCCTGAAAGTCACCTGCTATTATTACGTTGTTGTAAATGTACATAGATCGTCCAGGTTGGGATAGTCAAAATTGTCTCTGAAGATGACTACCGCTAAGGTTGTCGAAACGTCAGTCAACAAAAACAAAAACAGTCCTTCTCAGGACTATACCAACCTATACGATCTACATTTACAAACATGTAACAATACTCCTGGGTTCAAACCATTTACTTTATTATTACGTTCTATTGAAATCAATCGTGATTACGGATATCAACACATAAATATTTGAGTATAGCCTCATCTCAATTATAATTTTGGCGCCGTCCCTGTAATATCACGTGACTAAATATAATTTTATTAGCTTAGCAGACCCATATTTGGCCTTGATGATCCCGGCAGACGTGTAGTTGATCTAGTGTTTCTTATTTATATAGATTGCTTCGAACTTCTACAGCTTTAGGAATCAAAGGTGGCTAGTTCTTTTTGCATTTCTTCGCATTGGAAATTGTCACATTTTTAAAACTCTCCATCGAAATCTCCTTTACAGAAATCAAATTCACTTAGAACAATTTCAGCGATTTCTTTTGGAGGAACAGAAGGTAGCACGATAATGGTTTTGTTTGTTTCATTTGAAAATAGCGCGAATCTCTACCCATAATCCCCTCTTTTCAAGCCCACTGCGATTGTGAACCTCCACTCATTCTACAAAAAGCTCATCTGCATATATGCCATTTACGTATTTTTCACTATGTAAGCAACTTCAGTTTTGATAGTTCAGCCACCTGCAAATAATTCTTGACATTTGTAATTTGTTTACAAATTATTCCTGGTATTTTGTAATTTTGACGTCTATCGGCTACAAATAACAGCTTCTGCAATTGTAAGAACTCGAATGAACCGCCTGGAAAGGACACATTAGCCGAGTTTTGTAATGTTTTACATCGAATATTCTTATTTCTACGTGTTTCAATTAGTTGAGGTAATTAACAGGAAATTGTTAAATTTACTTTTCGCATGATGACCAGAATTATTGAGGCCTCTGTTAGCGTTGTCTTCTGCTTTGCATGATAACAGCAAACTTTACCTTGATAATTTTGAATATCACGCTCAACCTCATCTGATAATTATTTAATTTTCAAAATCGTATAATGTCCATATATCACTAAAGTATAATGTAGTACATAGGCTACATTACCACTACACCTCCCCGTGTATAAACACGTGACAAGCTTACGAATTTACGAAGCTCAGTTGTTTCGTGTTGCTTGCTTTAGGAAAATATTGCTCAGGATATTAGTAAGGTGAAGGAATACATGTCGAAATGTTTGGGCGTTGAAACGAGGGAGCATCCTTTTTTTAGTATGAACCAAGTAAGTAGCTACACTTAGAAAAAATTAGTAGGCTGCTCTATGTTAAGCGGGGGCTGTTGAGATGTAAGAAATTTTTTATTTGCTGGGGCGGAGGGGAGAAGGCGGGAGATCGGAGCAGTGTCTGTCCATTTTTCCGTTAGAGGTTTTTGGATATGGAAGACAAAGCTAAAATGTTCAACTGCGTGGCATTCATGGATGACGATTGTAAAAATTTTTTACTAGATTTTATATGATGACTCCCACCTGTTTTACATGGTTGCAAAGTTTAGGACCGGGGGGGAGTGTTTCAGCTCAACCGACCGAATCTGTTACAAAAATTTGCTGATCTGACTGCTGCGAATATCCTTGAAAACTGTGAACTATTTATACTTTGCAAAAATTTCTAAAACCATAGAACAAATGTTTTAGGCTGTGGGAAAAACTTTATCTTGGTTCTTTCCACCCCCCACCCCTACACCCCCACAGCGCAGGAACTGCTCGGACGAAGTTCCTCTCTTCCATCTCATGAAATAATCAATTCTATCTCAGTGTCTTGAACTTTGTCATTTTCTTTCTTGTTATTTTTCTCCAGTTTATCGATTATTTATTTTCACGAAGCAATTGTGTATTGGACGGTACGAGTGTCGAAGTTTACCAAGACATGACTAAACCATTGAGTCACTACTGGATTGCATCTTCCCACAACACGTATGTTATAAAAATACCTGAGAAATTGTGTTGAGAAAATACTCGAGAAATGACGTAATGTATTTCGTTTTGTAAAAATATTTCTCTCATGGGCCTCTCAATTATTTTAGTAGGACATCATTGGCGGCTCTGGGATTAGCTCAAAATAAGTTATTGAAGCTCGTTTTCAATTCAAAATGCTTTTTTAAAAACGACGCTGTTGGTTAGAAATTCGTAAATAAATTTTTAATGTTTTTAGAAATTTAGTTTCATCTTCGTTAGTTAACTAACAGACCTCTCATGGAAACTAGCGATGTTTCGAATGCGAGTAGTGTTTCTAAATTGGATGAATCAGACAGTAGCTATGAACACAAACTACTTGGCGCTTAAGATTTATCATTTATGTAGCGTATTGTACTTCATTGTACTTAATTGTTCTTTGAACCAATCGCAAACCGTGATCAAATAAGTAGAAACGGACCCGAGTCGTCGCTACTCTGCATGCACCATAGTCTAGACACTGGTGCATTTCTTTTTTTTTGAAACAAGCGTTTTTCTCACTTAACTGTATCAACATCTGTGTGTTAAAAACAACAATGTTTTCTAATGTTTTTTTTTGCTTTTTCATAACATAGGTTCATCATGCTCTTGTTAGTCGAATTGTTTTAAAATATTCTTGCCAACATTTCAACCTAGATATCTGACTGGTGACCAGTTTTCAAGCGAGTCATCGGTCGAAGCCTACGTGAGATGCCTGCGAATGGGTTGTCGTTGCATCGAATGTAAGACGCTTGTAAATCCCAGCTCTCGACCACGCGGGGCTGTTAATGGATGTTGATGTATAGTGATGGATATTGATGTATATTGATGGATATTTATTACCATTATTAGTGGATTGCTGGGATGGACCGGATAACCAACCCGTTATTTATCACGGATTCACCCTCACATCAAAAATTAAATTTGTCGATGTCGTGAAAGCCATCAAGGAAAATGCATTTGTCGCTTCTGAGTAAGTTTGTATTACTGTGTAAGGTTATGGATCACTGGGTATTTTTATGGATCACTGTGTAGGTTTATGTATCATTGAATATGTTTAATATTTCAATGTTCTACCAACTGAACCACAAGATGAAATATGGATTATGAGTATAATACAAAACACAGTTCTAGTTTCATTTTTATATCTTAATGTTGTAATAGAAAATAACATCACGTTGTTTTGATACAAATTGCGCAATATTACTTTTGCTGCAAAATAAACTCTCATAAGTATATTCTCATCAGAGAATATAATTAATATTATTATTACGACTGATTGCCCCTGTGGGCTTGGAAGTTCAACAGGTAGAGCGGCTGACTACTATCCCGAAAGTGCGAGTTCAAATCTCGTCCAAATCACATGTTTTTCATGTGCATATAAATAAACCGTGTTAGGAATAATTTTAAGAGTATGTTTATGTATCATTGAATAAGTGTGTGGATCACTGTGTAAGTTTAAACCATTAAAGGTAGTTTTTTTGAAGAATTTATGACTCGAAAATGTACCATATTCTTGTTTATCATTCGTCATTGTTCTTGTTTTCCACGAAGCCCGTGGATTCTTTCGTTTATGATGCATTAAACAGTAAATGAGAGAGTCAGATTTTAAAACATATCAACGAATCAAAAATGTATAAACATGCTCAATGTTAGCTTAAACTATAAATCAAAAACGTGGAAGTTGTTTGGATGTTTGCAGTATCTTTAGGTGTTTTAGTTTATTTTATGAAAAGTAGACGTGTGGACGAAAAAGCTTGAAAACAAGTATCTTGTTCGTGGAATAACTTTTGCTTAAAGTGTCACGTGTTAACATTTTGGCGGGAGATTTTCGGCGACTGCCACGTTTTTTTTGTGGTATTTTAATACAAATATCAGCCCAGGGGGTAGTCAGAGAGAGTGTCGTCACGTCATACGTCTGCACTTACGATTATTGATACCCGCCCTTCGCTGCTATTTGACATATTGGTATTTAGCTAGATATATATACAGATAATATTAAGGCTGCTCGACAATTGTGGTGTGATTCTACTCGTTGCCACGCATGCTCGGACACTTTAAGACTGACCGAGCCATTAGATATAGTTCGTTGTTGCCAAAACTATAAAACTCAAAATCGGTGCTATGAACTCGAACAGTGGGTCAAGAACAGCGGCGCATGCTCAGATTATTACTCCCATAAATTGTGACTGAGGGAAGCTGGTTCTCTTTGAGCAGTGCCAGGAAATCCAGTTACTGTTGCTCGCTCAATGGTTTTTATGGTTTTATTTTTTAGCTATCCTCTAATTTTATCCATTGAAAACCACTGCAGTTTACTGCAACAAAACATTATGGCAAAGACTTTCACAGATATTTTTGGCGGTAGGTACATCAGCATTGTGTTTGCCGTAGTACATACCTCAATGGAAAGTTGAAGTAATTGCTCGTTATCTTTGTCTTTTTTTTTTCGTAGATATGTTACTGTGTTTTCCGTTAGATCCTAATGAAGAATGCTTACCATCGCCCGAACAGTTAAAACATAAAATCTTAATAAAGGTGAGTTTTCGACGTTCGTAAAGTTTGCGATGTTCATGTCATTGGTGTAGCCAATCCGCAAATTTGGTCGTGCTTTGTAAATTTCGGATCATTGACATTATTCATTTCTTTTTACAATGAGTGAACGCAAAAATATTTACATTACATGAAGTGCGAGTCATGAAAAACCTTGTGGGTTGCCTACGCCCTTCGTTCTTGTTAAATGCGACTTTTCAAAAGTCCAGTTTATTGTTCCATAGTTGAATTTGCAATAGTCTGTGAAAATTTATCTGAGCTCAGTCAATTAAATCAGTTAAAGAGAATTTGCAAGTCAATCATCGATACATGTTAGAGTAAAAACTAACACTTTTTTTAAACTTATCTGATGTTTTTCGTGTTTGCAAAGGCTTATGCAAATGACGGAGACGTTTGAGAGAACTCGCGAACTTCGATTTCGGGCTTGCACTGATCTGCTCTCGAGTTCTTCCAAAACAGTATCAATCTTTTATTTCTTAAGTGAAAACTGCGCGAGTCATGTTGTTTTGTCAAATACCTAACCCAACCCTGATTCCAACATTTGTAGTTTTATTCAATTTAATTTGTAATTCGATTTCTTTTCGAACAAAATTTTATTTCAGCACAAGAAATTACCCACTGATGCTGACGTAGACGATATGGTAAACATTGAACGTGATTTCACTTGTAAGTAGGTCAGGCTTTTTTGATGAAGTACACATGATAATTTCATCTTTTCTTCTTTATCTATGCAAGGTTTAGTCGACGGCATATAGAACTACTACACTCTGATTTCTCTTTTTCTTCTTTATTAATCTTTCCTCATTGTGCAGTTATCATGAATGCAAAGTTTAGTCGAAGGAATATAGAACTACTACACTCTGATTTCATCTTTTCTTCTCTATATTAAATTTTCTTCATTATATACAGTTTTTATAAATACGAGTTTTTGTAGAGAGTTTGCCGCAGAATTTATAACTTCTTGTAAAATATTTATCGTAAAGTACTTTCGTTTGTGTAGAAAATACTAAATTAATTTTAACAGTATGAAATAGACACTTGTCGTGACTCTTGTTATTATCGATTTTAGTCATGGAAGATGAACTGAGTAATTCGACGAAGAATGGTATTTTATACCTCGAAGATGAAATGGATAAAGTATGAAAGAATATTTTGTAGTTTGAATTGAGCAGATGATGCTTTTTTTTCAGAATTCTCTATTGCTTTTAGTAAGCTAACACAGGAATGCTTAGGTGACGAGACTGTACAGTACCCATGATGTCATCGTACCTTTATATAAACGTTTACAACCCAATGACCTAGAACCCAGTCTACTAGATAACTGACTCCGCCGATATTGTATAGTAATGAGTGAGGCAAGCCGCCATCTTGAAAAGTGGCAAAACTGATAATATTTACGACTAATATCTGCTTTTCCTGTGTTGATATAGAGTGGCAAAATTGATAGTCTAGGTTTAATTCTTTAAATGTTTGATAGGATGGTTTTTTAAACTTTGTTTTCTCTTCTTTTTCATTTTGAGTTTTGCTTTTTGCCACCTTTCAAGATGGCGTCCTTGCCTCACCTTGACGCGGTTGTTAGACATCTAGAGGACTGGGTTCTAAGTCATTGTTACAACCTGACTTGATAACCATGTTTTCTATGAATTGTTTAACAAAGTATTTTTGTGTGTTTGCTTTGTACAACAGGTATGGAATAAACATTTCTTCGTGTTGTATAAAAACCGTCTATTTTGGACGGGAGAGACTAAGTCCGAAGACGACGATGAGCCTGAACAAGACGGACAGTGGGACGGGCCACTCACATCAGAGGTAATAATCAAAATAAACCGATTTTTCGACCATATTATTTTCGACTTTATTTGGCCACAATCGTCATATCCTATATTTTCCTAACTTTAGTATTTATTTGATAGTTTATTACTCGTCAATCACTTAGTTCGAGATTTTTTGAATTTCTGTTCCGAAGATAAATTTGCTTAGTTTTGTCTTCAGTATAGCTGTTGGTGATACTGGCAGGGACTGCAATCAAACCTGACATCTAGCCACATTTCACCTTTCCCACCTCTCTATTCCCACTCACTACAATTCAAATTGACTGTTGTTATAGCAGTAGAAAAGTCAATCATTTGCAGTCACTCCAACCTTCCTTCTGAGAACTACACATCTTTAGTGTTTATATTATACTTTTATCGTTGAGTTTGATATAAATCCAGCTAATTGTTCTGATTTGTTTAGTCTTCGAGAGACGAACTACACTACGGTGAACGGTAAGCAATCGCTTTACATTATTAATTGGTCATGCGGTTCAAATTTTTCTGTTCTTTACTGCTCGCTCGTACTACGATAACAATAGAATTGCAAGGAGAAATAAATGAATAACAACAATGCTCTGAAATTTACATCACAGGACCGAACTTAAGCCTGGTTCACACTAGTCGTAAGAGCCGGGAAAATCGTAGTGTTTTATCATATGCGACCATCCCAGTAATTTATTGATAAGTGTAAACATGGAGAATACCAGATCCCAGATAATCCGCGTCAGATTCGTAAATATCGGGAAAATAGGAATTGTTTCTATTTGATTACGATGTCCCAGTTAAACTGCGCCAATTGGGAACTCGTACGACAAATTACGACAAGTGTGAACATGAAATCCGACTAGAATTCGACACTCGCGACTTTCAAAATGGCGGATGACCAAGGAGTGGAATTGCGTGCTTCTTTAAAAAATCTTTTCAGTTGCTACAAAGTCTCAAAACGGCGATCCAAGTATCTACAACCCTAGCAGTGCTCAGTTCAAAGACAACAACATAAAAATCAATGCATGAATAGAAATCGTATCCCTTCTTTTGAACAATAGCTAACAGCAAAGGAACTTGTCTATGCCACACGAAACCTCTATTTACAGCAGCCATGTTTAAAGTTTTTTACTGTGCGTAATATGCAAGTGTGAACGTTTCGGTGTTATACATCCCTGACAAATCTTTTATCTATCAGTGTAAATACGTCGCCGATACATACGACTAATGTGAACCAGGCTTTATAATAGCTGGTTTCGCTATTGATTAAACCATCAATGTGTTGAAAGTTTATCGAGCTTCGAGAATACATATTGAATATATTTTTGATGTATTGTCTAGTTGGTTTCATCAACGTATCGGCAGAGAAGCGGCTGCCAAACTAATGCGTCAATACAACAAAGGAAACGGATCTTTTCTGGTTCGCGAGTCTCAAGCTTTTGTTGGAGATTTTAGCATCACGTTTTGGTTGGTATCTTGAATTAAGCGATAGTATTTTGTCGTCCCTTGCCTTGCTTGTATATCCCGGTGTTTTTGTTGTTGTTGTCAAATGTTCCCCGCGCACGTGCAGTTTTCCCGCGCATAGGCAGTTTTCCCGCGCATGGGCAGGTAAATTTAACTGTGAACTTCGTTTGTTTGCAGGCGAAATGGCGAAGTTCAGCATTGCCGTATTAAAAGCAAACAAGAGAACGGTCAGGCGAAGTACTATCTTGTGGAACCGGTCACTTTCGACAGTCTCTTCAGTTTGGTCAATTACTATCAAGTAAAACCGCTCAGAACACCGCAGTTTGAAATCACATTAACAGAACCCATAGCCCAGGTGCGCTTAGCCTCTTTTCCTGCTCGTCTTTCTTGACTTATTTTAATTTAAACTTTTATTTTTTGTAGCCGAATGCGCATTTGGAGAAAGAGTGAGTTGATTTGCCCAATCTTTTGATGTTCTTCTTTACCGAACACATAGTTGGAATGATATCATCTTTTTTAGATGGTTTCACGCCAATTTACAGCGAGCCGAAGCGGAGAATATGTTGAAGAGGGCCCCGAGCGATGGATCATTTCTTGTGAGGAAGAAAACAGACTCTGAATTTGCTGTTTCTTTCAAGTATGTTATGGCCCAGAATACAAACATACAAAAATTGATCTCCAGCGATGAAATCTTTAATTTTTGTATCACTGATTTTCGTGTAAGGGCTATACGCTGTTGATTCGTCATTCTGCCAGGAAACCGATAAATGCAATTTATTATATGGCAAGCGCCACTTCCGGCAAAATGGCGCGCTTTGATTGGCTCAGAAACATTTTTGCCGGTTCATTATTTTCCCGTAATCGACCACGGTCCAAAACGCGTAATTTTACAGTCAAATGACAAACCTTCGTAAAGCAAAACGCAAAAAAAAAACGAAACAAAAAAACATTTACGACTGTGAGTCGAAGGAAAAACACTCGGAAAACAGTGTAACTATCCGGAAAATACAATCTGAAACGATTTCTTTTTTACTGACAAAAACTAGAAAAGTATAAAGCAACGCGTCGAGAAAGAAAGAAGGCTTCGTTTCAGGTCAAATAATGCTATATAATAAACCTCGCTTTCTCGGTCTTTACTGAGAAATATTGGACCTATGTCTTTTTGACCAAACCTCGCCAGGACTTGGTCTGTATAAAAAGTAAAGACCTCGCGCTCGGTTATTAAGGGCTTAGTATGAAGGCTTGTTTTCAATAGTTGTCAATAACAAATTTTCGCGGGAAAATTTGTTTTTAAAATTTGCAGCTAGTACGTGAAATACTTTATTTAGGCCTACGCATTAATCTTTACTTATTTTGATTTTTTCTCTGTCTGTTTCAGAGCTGAAGGTAAAATCAAACATTGCAAGATATATCGTGAAGGAAGACTGTACACCATTGGTACAGCACAGTTCGAGAGTCTAATAGAGCTCGTTGAATTCTACGAAAAGCATCCTCTTTACAGAAAGATAAAATTGAAGCATCCAATCAACGAAGAGGTAGATCATTGTGATTATGTCGATACTCGCCTCGCTTTTGTTGATATCTGTTGCAATGTAGTTTAACCCTGATTGGCCCAACTGCGCTCACGTGATACAAACTACATGCAGTTTATCTTGCGCAGTATACAAACCACGACTATAAAGTTGGATGCCTCGCTTCGTAAATTAATACTGGCAAATTGTACAAAACAGACTTATAAATTGCTATTGTTTAGAGAAATGGCATTCCAGCGCGTTTATTTAGTCCTTTTATTGATATTTTCTATGTTTGTCCAATTCTTATGAAACTTAAACAAAAGATTTCTAAAGAACTAAGTTGTGATTATATTCCAAAATAGACATATATGATAGGACTCCAACTTATAAACAGACTATGCAATTGCTAAACAGACAACTAATCTTTTATTTCCTTTTCTGCTATCGTACTAACACACTTAGTCGTCTATAGGAACGTTGATCATGGTTCTGCTACTAGCTAGCTACGTCTACAAGACTTGCTTCGTTATGCAAAAATTCAATCTTTTTGCGAACGATTTGTGTTTTATAGAATATTGAAAAAACTCTTATCTCACTATAGGTTCTACGGCGCATTGGAATTGTAAGTATGAAGAAGTTTCATGGTTGAAAAGAAATATTTTGAGTTGACTCGTTTTTTTCACGATAACAGATGCCGGACCATGATGCTGTTGATCCATCTGAAGTTTACTTAGATCCACGATTTAACACTAAGGTTGATTACTCTCATTATTTTAACGTCTTTCGTTGTTCTTTTATGGTGTATTGACTGTGTATGTAGTAAATGAAATGAAAGTTATTTTGAAAGTGTTTTTCTACACTTTCAGCCCGTATGTCGTGCCTTGTGGGATTATCAAGCCCAGAGCAACGATGAAATGAGCTTTTGCAAAGGGGCGTTCATTACTAATGTCATCAAAGAAGATGGTGGATGGTATGAAAGATTGTAGTTCTGTTTTTAGCTTGTCTTTTTCAGCATGGGCGCCTTTGTTGCTCAATTCGCTTTTATTGAAAAATATCAAAAGATATTTATCAAATTCTACAGATTAAAAGCATTCTTAGTGTATTAACAATTGACTTGATGTGATGCCATTGACTTCAAATGACATCATGTGCAATTCCTCTGATGACATCATCATCGTCGTCTTTCAAACCTTTCACTTGTACCTTGTGTTCATTGGCTAAAATTTTACATGGCATTGTATGTACTTTTAAGGTGGCGTGGGGATTTCGGGGAATACCAGGGGGCATGGTTTCCCTCCAATTTTTGCGAGGAAATCAATGTGATGGTGGAACCGGCAAAAGACTTTAGCGATGTAAGATTAGCTAGCTTGTGTTTTATTCAAACGATCTACTTCATCTTGAATCTTTTTGTTTTGTTCTACTCCGATAGGACCAGGACGTCAAGAAGGTGTTGGGGGATCTTCAAAAAGGCTCTATGGATATCAGGGGATGTAATATCGGTAATTTGTTCATGTCCGTTTTCATTTCAGGGGCTCATTCAGTGCCTTAGAGGCTCCGTTAAATCTGTTGTAGACACGATGCTGTGAAAAGTATGATGTAATAAAATAGGTTTTCAAGGAATAATGCTTTTTAAAGGATTCTTCCGTAAAGACTATATTTACGACATGCGTGGCTGCAATTGAGTGCAATTGTAGAACTTCTCCCTCCCCCCCCCCCGCCGCCCTTATTGTAGCTTAGGGCTTTGATCCGTACGCTTTTTAAATACAACCCCCCTGTACTGACCTCATATTTTGTGTCATAATGTATTTTTCAGAACAGCTTCCACCTCGTGGTGGCCTCAAATGTATATTCTCGATTCAATCAAATAATCAACCTCCGCTCGAAGTTGCAGCAGAAACGCCCGAGGTATGAAGAAGTGTCTTTGTAGGCAGTTAGTACTTTGTGTTGTGCCAATATGTTGTCCTTGCTTGCCACACGTACGCGTTCGAACCTATTTTTATAGCTTAAGGGTATTATTGTTTTAAATTATGTTGCGAATGCAAAGTTTGCAAACAGTCGCATAATATTTGAGAGAAAAGCCAAGAATACAAGATACCTTGACAAGAGAATTAAAATTTTTGCTGACAAGTGAATATGAAACTAGGCTTTCTTCGAATGGTTTAATCTACCCGATGCGAGTATCGTAAACATTATTTTTTGTAATCGACAGGTTATTGGCGCTGTTTTTTCTTAGGTCGTTTCCCCCACGAGTGTCACTGATAAAACGAATAGTCAAACACGATTTTCTTTAATAATATAATATACAAATATATATACAAAGTGTATTACAATGTGCCCTCCCGGCTATCACCATAGTAAAATGGTGACTCCTGCACTTGGGACACAGGACGTACGGTTACACATTGTATGGATTGTATTGTAGAGTCACCAGAGCGCTCAAACCTATATAGGTGAGCAATGCATAAAGCGAATGCGGTGAACGTCTCTTTATGAGACTCCCTACGCAATCCGAGAGCGCTCAAACTGCGCAAGCGCAGTGAGCGTAATATACAAAGTGTATAACAATGTGCCCTCCCGGCTATCACCATAGTAAAATGGTGACTCCTGCACTTGGGACACAGGACGTACGGTTACACATTGTATGGATTGTATTATAGAGTCACCAGAGCGCTCAAACCTATATAGGTGAGCAATGCATAAAGCGAATGCGGTGAACGTCTCTTTATGAGATTCCCTACGCAATCCGAGAGCGCTCAAACTGCGCAAGCGCAGTGAGCGTAATGTCCAAAATTACTTGTACATCAATAGCAGCAGTTTTGAGAATAACAGTCGATGTGTAGCATGGACAAAATATCGTCCCAATCGCTCAGCTAAATCTACGCCATATTGTAATTGAGTGGTCCCAAGAATCGGGAGTGCAAAATCAAAAACCGGCTTCAATTTCATACGTAGAAGCTCTATCCAGGTACTAATTTTTAAGATCAGTGTATCTTACAGATTTATCGTAATCGGCATTGAATGTCTTTCATAAACTTTTGTAAATTTTTGTAAATTTTACAATGAGGAAGGTCTTTATTTTAAAATAACATGAAAATCAACCAACATATTGACGACTTTATTGTTAACAGGAAATGTCGTCTTGGGTACATTGTATAAAGGACGCCATGATTTTAGCTGAAGAACGCGAGGAAAGAGTTCGAACTGCGATCAGGGAAAACAAGATCGATAAAGCTCTTTCTGATTTGGTCGTATATCTTCAGACTGTTCCTTTTCATCTCGAGAGTAAGTTAAAAATTTATATTTCGGGGGGGGGGGATAATTTCACATAACAGTAAATCACTGAATTCTTTTTAGGGGGTGAGGTTGCTTTAATACAGATGTACATTACTGAATTCATGCCGGGGGGAGGGGGGGTAGAATTCTACAATATAACAGTTATCTATTGAATACCTATTGGTGTGTGTGTGTAGACGGGGGGTCGTAATGCTTTGAATAGTTGTAGATAACTGAATTTAAATCAGGGGGTGCTTTAATATGACAGTAAATCACTTATTTCTTATCAGGGGTGTGATATTGCTTTAATGTAGCTGTACATTACAGAATTCATGTCGTTGGTTGGTGTGTTGCAATCCTTTAATATTGAAAATTGCTGAATTTATCAGGGGGGGGTTGTAATGGTTCAATATAGTTGTACGTCACTGATTTCATATCAGATAAGGTGCTTTAGTCTAACAGTAAATTACTGAATAATTTGGGGGAACGATCGAAGTTTGGGAATTTTCTATCAACCTCCTATCGAAATGTAGCTTCCTAAGAAATTTTCCCACTGTTGTATCGCAACAATCATTTTATGTTTCTCATCGTTACAGAAAAAGGAAAACATTATGAAATGTCGTCGTTTCCCGAAACGAAGGTGGATAAGTTCACGAATCAAAAGAATTCTCAGAAATTCGTCCAATATAATTTACACCAGTTTAGCCGCGTGTATCCCAAGGGGACTCGGGTAGACTCTTCAAATTACGACCCGACGCCCATGTGGAATTGTGGGGTGCAAATGGCTGCGCTAAATTATCAGACACCTGGTAATGTATAAATCTTTGAACTGAATTTATAACTGGGGACGGCTGCACCTTATCCATTGGAGAGTAAAATTTCCAATCTTTTAAAAAAGATGTTTACATTTTTTTTGGAACAAAGAAATTTTGTAACTTAGAAGCGATATCTCATTTCAGCGATTGCTCAGTTCAAATCTTATAGTTTTCCTTTTCAAGAGCTTTAAACATTCAAAAAATGAGCTATCCTGTGGACAGTGTTATTCGGCCTTTATGCTACTGGCCCGTGGATGGTTATACGTAGATAGAGATGCGTATATATGTACGAAGCCATATTTTACCATCAGACATGCGTGTCTGAAGGTAAAGTCCTCGCTATAGCTTACTGTTTTTAACAAATTTGCTATTGGCCGCACGGCGAAGGACTGGGACTCGCTGTCTTGCCAGCTTTCAATGTTAAACGGGAAGTAGCACTCCAGTTTTACTCAGCTCAGTAGTATGAATCTATCCATACTGTGAAGTTACGGTAGCAGGGTGGGATTTGACTGTTCTCTTGAATGTTGAAATTTCAGATCGAGCAATGCAAATAAATCATGGAAAATTTCTCGACAATGGATGGTATGTGTGTGTGCTTTTAATGATATCTTCATTTACGTAAAGATTACCCCTAAAATTTGCTCTGCCTCTTTACTGTTTTGCTCACGGGACGTCACAGAACCTTCTTTTACTCGCTTCTAAAATGTTTAATTACTCATGAAAATTTATTGCATGCATAATTTCAAGCAAATTTGGTCAATAATGGTGAAAATGGATGCAAGTAAAGAATATAGTATAAAACAAACTCCGAAAAAGCAAGGCATCTTGAGACTGCAAAATATGCATCAAAACAAGACGAGAAGTGAACTGTAAATTTTCGACTTTAATTCAAAGTCATCCTCAGACAGAATGATATTTAAAACCATACATACACATCTATATTTACAACGCATGAATTAAAGTAAACGGAAGTAAGCAATAGAAATTAAATAGTGTGATATTTACAAAGGCAGAGTTCAAAGAGGTGTATGGTGAGGAATATAGTCATTGGAAAACGACTGACCGTAAATTCTTTATTTGACTTATCACTAGAAATGTGTTATCTTATCACTAGAATATTCTTGTTAAAAAATAGTTCATTACAGTTTTTGAAGGTCTTTTAATTTTGACGATAAAAAATTTCTTTTCGTGTGTGCCATTTTGACGAGTAAATACGGTGCGCGTTTTTGTTCATGAATTTCTGCTGTCAAATCTGAGTAAACGTACAAGATAGTTAGTTTAACTTGTAAAATTTCTTTTTTCTTTATGCTCCTTAGCTGTGGCTATATTCTCAAACCAGACTGTGCTAGAATCCCAGAATTCGATCCGTTTGATAAGACGACAATATCGAGTGACATTAAACCTTTAATTATCAAGCTCACAGTAAGTATTTATTCGAATATTCAAGCCTCTCAATTTGCTAGAAAATATATATTCATTTTCTTCACTTTTAGTTCATCGGGGCCCGACACTTGCCGAAGGTTGGCCGAGGTATAAGTTCACCTTTCGTTGAAGTCGAGTTGATCGGCGCAAGTTACGATAACTATAAATACAAGACTGGTACAAAATGTAAGTCTTTTGCCGATTTTTCATGTTTTCATTTTCTTACCAACAAAATGAGATCGTTGTGGAAATTTTTGTGTGTTTTGTTGCAGCCGATAATGGCCTCAATCCTGTCTGGAGTGATGCCATCGAAATGGCCGTCCTCTGTCCCCCCCTGGCGTACATCAGGTTTGCTGTTTACGATGAAGATATGTTTGGGGATCCAAACTTTATTGCCCAAGCTGTTTATCCACTTTCGAATCTTAAAAACGGTAAATATTCTTTTGGTATACTGTGTTTTATGATTGAAGTGATTATAACGATAACATGATTTTTAATGCTATCGAAGTATCTTACAAAAATTTTTGTGTGAACTAGGAATGTTTGAGACCCAAATTCTAGTTTCTTTCATAACTTTATTATCATAGATAATAACATCACGTTGTTGTTATGTACTCAGGTATAGTTACAAGATAATCATTGTCTTCAATGTTCTACCAACTGAACAACAAGGCCAACTGTGGACTAGATGATATTTTAAAACACAGTTCTAGTTTCTTTCATATCTTAATATCATACAGAATATGTCACGTTGATATGATGTACTAAGGTACAATAACAAGATAATTTTTGTGCCAGTAGTTTCATCACGCTAATTAGTGTGAAAAGATATCTTTCATTTATCCGTCGGGTTCAATGACACAATAAAATATTCAATAACAATGTTTTCTTAAGGTTATAGATCCGTTCCATTAAAGAATTCCTTCAGCGAAGAGTATGAACAATGCGCGTTGTTGATTCACTTGGACATCACTTATGCTGGGGTGAGAATATTTTTATCAATAATTTGTTCTTTAGTGTTTGTTTCACATTTATTTTACTTTTTGGATTTTTAGCGCTAACTACTATTTTATACAACTGCTTGGGTAAATTGAACTACTTTTCAATTGCAATATAGTTAAAAGTACCCAAGAGCCTTTTACAATCGGCCCCAAGATAAGAATTCTGTGTTGTGTTTTCTACGATACGCGAAATTCATTCCCAATGTCGGCCATAGACTAGTGTAATAAGATTAAGTATAAGGGTTAGCAATGAACGATGTTTAGGGCTGTTTACATGATTTCCGGCTAACCAGGATTCAGTGAGGCGTGGAATGATTTCGAGGCATTGAAAAAAGGCAAAACTTTAAGCGTAAAAATTACAACTGTTAAGAGCCGCAAGTCATTCCTGCTGAAATTCATAAATTATGCCAAATTGATTGTTGCAATTTTAAATGTTTTGCGTAGTTATTAAATCAGAATATAAATTTCTCGGGAAGATTTATCTGATGACGAGTATTGTATCGTTTCCATCTGCCAAAATCACTTAACGCTTGGCTGAATCCCGGCTACCCGGGCTCACGTAACCAACTCTTTAATTGTAACAGAACGCAATTTTAACCTAACCTGACTGCATATGATTGTTGAACTTCGTGTAACATAAAGTATTGTGTTTCCTCAGGGAGAGGAAGAGACTCTGTATACATCTATTGCTGACTTACGTGACCGTATTGCGGAGATTTCATCACAGATGCACGAAGAAGCTGTGGAGATCACACGTGCTAGTAATGATGGTCTTGGTCCACCTGTGGAGGCGGGCATCCATAAAATGCAAACTTTGGACGCTCAACTGAGAGAAAAACAAGAGGAACTGCAATTACTCATTCAGAAACGCGGATCTTCGTAAGTTAGAAAATTTCTATCTTATTGTCCTTTCAATTGACATAATGTCCCTTGTTGTCCTTTTCTATCTCCATCTATCCATTGCGGTTACATAATGATATCCTTGTTGTCCTTTCTATCTCCATCAATTCATAGCGGTTAAATAATGATATCTTTGTTGTCCTTTTCTATCTCCATCAATTCATAGCGGTTAAATAATGATATCTTTGTTGTCCTTTTCTATCTCCATCAATTCATAGCGGTTAAATAATGATATCTTTGTTGTCCTTTTCTATCTCCATCAATTCATAGCGGTTAAATAATGATATCTTTGTTGTCCTTTTCTATCTCCATCAATTCATAGCGGTTAAATAATGATATCTTTGTTGTCCTTTTCTATCTCCATCAATTCATAGCGGTTAAATAATGATATCTTTGTTGTCCTTTTCTATCTCCATCAATTCATAGCGGTTAAATAATGATATCTTTGTTGTCCTTTTCTATCTCCATCAATTCATAGCGGTTACATAATGATATCCTTCTTGTCCTTTTCTATCTCCATCAATCCATAACGGTTACATAATGATATCCTTTTCGTCCTTTTCTATCTCCATCAATCCGTAGCGGTTACATAATGATATCCTTGTTGTCCTTTTCTATCTCCATCAATCCATAACGGTTACATAATTATATCTTTGTTGTCCTTTTCTATCTCCATAAATTCATAGCGGTTACATAATTATATCTTTGTTGTCCTTTTGCTCACCTCCTATTTACAAGAAAAGTTGAAGTTTTGTTTCATTTCTATAATTGTTTCTAGGAACAATGCTTCAAGACAACACGTACACCAGTCAACGTCAACGGATGTGTAATTCTTCCCAACACCGCTCAATGTATGGCTTCATTCCCCGAAATTTCTGAGAGAAAATTCTCTTTCACAGCGTAATCTAGTCGCACTCACTTTTCTTCCTTCTAGCGATATGATATTTTACAAGAAATGTGCGGAACGCATATTGATAATGTATTATAATTTATCATCATTTGTCTTCAACTGGTCAGGGTTTCGAATTTTCTGCGTTTCAAACGTTTCAACGTCACGTTTTTGTCGCACGGATAGTGCAATTTTCAACTGGTAAACCCTCCGTTTGCTCAGGAATATTTAAACATCTTTATTGACAGGTTTTTGTCATGTGTTTGACATGTTTATTCCATTGTACTTGGATAAAATGCTGTAGAAATTGAGAATTACGTGTGCATGAACTAAGGGAGTTACAAAAATTGATCTTCGACTTGATGTCATAAGAAAGCAATCACTCAAACTTAGCAATGGCACTTGTTTCAAGTTCGAACAAACATTGCGTTTGTCAGTTGAGAAACGTGCACTTTTGTTTGACAAGCGTGACGTTTGACACGTTGAGAAAGTGCAGTAATTCGTGCCGCTGACCAGTTGAACGCAAATGATAGTGGCTTCGCCTAATCGTATTGCCTTTATAAGACATAGAGACAAGGAAGTAGATCCTAAGATATTGCAGCAAATGACTTCGTTTCTATCTTTCCTGTCTAAACGCTTTTTATTTTCTTCCTCACAAAATACAATGGACGCTGTGACTTCAATTATTGCTCGAACATTCATGCTGTTCCTCAGTCATTAAACTGTCTTTGAAACATAGAATTTTGGCACCGTTTTCTTGTGGGTGTAAACTAAGACCAAAGTGGTCTAGAATTTTCGTTTGAACCGTAAAAAGAAGAGTTTTAACAGCCGCTCTGATTACTTCTAGCAGTTTATTACCAAAGATACATCGTATCGGCAGAGTATTATGACACTCGAACCCAGAATGATCTTTTCGTGGTATCCATATCTAGGACTTAAGGGAAGATCATCTACTATTGCTCATTCTTCTGCGGAGGCGTTTAAATACGTAATCAACTGGTCACGTTTTGGCTATGTTTGTTGATGAGGCGTATGATAATGAAGATGGCTTTTTGGGGGTGTTAAATATCAGAGCGAGCAAACTTATAATGAATTTTTCTTAACACAACAAGAAATGATTTTTGCTTTTTTTGGTCCTTTGGCGAGGACTCGTTTGATAACGACCGTGGGTTGGGTGTAAATATTTTTGGTTACCGCTGACTCGATTCACCTGCGCCCACACGTTTCAGCGAAACACGAAGAGGAGTTTGGAATTTCCTTTACTTTTTTACTAATGAAAGGCATTGAGAGGTAATTGCTTTGGAAATTCAACTATCTTATGAGCTGTTCCTTGTACAGATCTAAATTTAGACAAAATAAATCAAAGCCATTGATTATAAAAATAAATACCTTATCAGCAATATGTTTATCTTTGTTTGTGAAATTCAAAAATGTTTCAGGTGTTGGGCTGTGATAATGCGCCTATTTTTTTTAAAGCAAAGCCCAAAATAGCAAATATAATTTTACTAACTTCTTTCAAATAAGTGCGACACAGAAATCGCCCCCCTCCCCTCAGTCAATACCAAAGTAATTTCTCCGTCGATTTCCAATGCAAGATCTTTCACTGCTGAAATATTTCCAATCAATAGAGTGAAAATACAGTCTTGGAATAGTTATCAGGTGATTTTACGGGAAATGTGAGTGAGGTTGAAAATATACTTAAATAGTATTTCTTCGCCAAGCAACACAGCAACGACACTACACGATTGGCACAAGGTATTAGGTCATTGTAATTATGGAGATATTAGAAAACTAGAAAAGGTAGTCAAAGGCATGAAGATTACTGACTACAGCGAAATAGAATGTGAAGTATGTACCCAAGACAAAATGTGTCAAACCAGAAATACGGAGCCAGATCTGAGAGCAAAATATCCATTAGAATTTGTTCATTGTGATTTAGCTGGGCCAATTGAGCCTACTGCTAAAGACGGCTTTAAATATGCTTTATCATTTGTTGATGATTTTACAGGAATAACAATGATTTATTTCTTGAGAAGGAAAAGTGATACACTTGAGGCTACGAAAAAGTTCTTAGCTGACGCTGCACCTTATGGCAAAGTTAAGAGACTACGAAGCGACAACGGAGGTGAGTTTGTTAATAGAGAATTCAAATTTTTGTTAAGAAATCATTGTATCAAACATGAGACAAGTGCACCTTATTCTCCGCATCAAAACGGCACAGTAGAAAGAGCATGGCAAACTTTATTTAATATGGCAAGATGTCTCTTATTAGAGGCAAAGCTACCCAAATATTTGTGGACTTATGCTGTGATGACTTCAGTCTACATTCGAAACAGGTGTTTCAACTCACGTTTAGGAAAAACGCCCTTCGAGGCTTTGGTTGGTAAGAAACCAAACTTAAGCAACATGCATGTATTTGGATCCACTTGTTATGCATATGTACAAAATGCCAAGAAGTTAGACAATCGCGGTCGAAAAGGAATCTTTGTTGGTTATGACAAAGAAAGTCCGGCATATTTGATTTATTATTCAGAATCAAATAAAGTAGAGAAAGCACGATGTGTCAAATTTCATGATAAATTTCAGGCAGAAAATATAAATGATATCGACGATATGATTTCAGATAGAATACAAAATGCAGATAGTATGAATGAAACAGAAGAAAAGCCAAACAATTTAAAAGAACAAAAAGATTTTTCAAAAACAAACAATCCTGAATTGAGTAGTGACACACACGCACAAGGGCAGCATGAACAAGAACAACTAGTTAGATGTCCCACACGAGAACGAAGCAAACCAAGTTATTTTGGACAAAACCAAACAAACGATAGTTTAAGTCTTACAGTAGACTATTGTTATAGGGTTGAGGACATTCCATTAACATACAAACAGGCTGTTGAAGCACATGATGCAGACAAATGGCAAGAGGCCATGAATATTGAAATGAAAGCCCTAGTAGAAAATGATACATATGAGCTTGTACCAAAACCAAACGATAGACAAATAGTGGGGGCGAAATGGGTTTACACAATTAAGACAGATGAAAATGAAGCGGAAACGTATAAAGCCAGATTTGTAGCCAAAGGTTATTCTCAAGTGCAGGAAATTGATTATCAAGAAACATTTGCACCCACAGCACGCATGAGTTCAATTCGCACACTACTACAACGCACTGTGAACAAAGACATGATTATTCACCAAATGGATGTCAAAACCGCTTATTTGAACGCACCTATTGATTGTGAAATTTTCATCGATCAAACAGAAGGCTATGAAAAGTTAGGTGAAAATGGTGAAAAATTAGTTTGTAAATTGAAGAAATCACTTTACGGTCTTAAGCAAAGCGGCAGGAATTGGAACAATTTGTTGCATGAATTTTTAGTAAAAGAAAATTTTATTCAATCACTTGCAGATCCATGTTTATATGTTCGTACCATTGATAGTGAAAAATGTGTTATTGTCATAATTTGGGTGGATGACATCATTGTAGCTGCAAGCGACATTAATTCTTTAAACAGTATAAAAGATTCTTTGAGCAATCGATTCAAAATGAAAGATCTAGGCGAATTAAAATGGTTCTTAGGAACAAAATTCGAAAGAAGTGAAAATTGTTATAAAACGAATCAAACACGGTACATTCAGAAAGTTCTTTCAAAATTTAAAATGTCAGATTGCAAACCAAAACCGACACCCTGTGTTTTAGGAATTGAAAAAGTTATGAACGAAGAATCACCGGTACTATCAAATCCAAAATTGTATAGAGCAATGATAGGAAGCTTAATTTATATGATGACCGGTACACGACCAGATTTGTGTTATGTTGTAACGAAACTGTCTCAGAAAATGTCCAAACCCACACAAGCAGACTTGGGTATAGCAAAGCACGTGTTGAGATACTTAAAAGGCACACAAGAGTTAGGGTTGATATTTCAAAAATCGAGTCAGCCACTAACACTTAAAGGTTTTAGTGATTCAGATTGGGGAGCGTCTATAGAAGATAGACGAAGTATTACAGGTTACAACTTCCAGCTTTCACAACAAGGACCACTGATATCATGGAAAAGCCGTAAACAACCAACAGTTGCATTGTCAACGTGCAAAGCAGAGTATGTTTCACTCGCTAATGCAGTGCAGGAAGCAAAGTTCTTAATGCAACTCTGTCAAGCTATGAAGGTAGGTATAAACGAAGGTAAGTCATTAATTATGATTGATAATCAAGGAGCAATGAACTTAGCCAAGAATCCAGTCCATCACCAGAGATCCAAACATATTGACATAAAATATCACTTCATTAGATCAGAAATACAGAAAGGTAGAATTAACTTAGAATATGTAACCAGTGAAGAAAACATAGCAGATATTTTTACAAAACCAGCCAGCAAAAATAAATTGGAGAAATTTAAGCAGACAATTTTAGGAAAGATATGATAGGAATTATAAAGTACGCATAAGTAAGACCAAACGGTAAGTATCAGTTTAGGAATGCAAATATTTTATACTCAGAACATAAGAGCAAGTGGGGGTGTTAAGATATGCTCTCATATTCTTCCCGTGATTAATTCAAGTGTAAGTAATTAGATGACTAATGTTAAGAGATACTTATAATGTTATCAAGACAATATTTTTTATAGTTCCTAGTAGTTTTCCGTTGACGTCAATAAACCATATTTGTTATCAGAACCCAAAATAATCTTACGAAAATTTTGTATAAATAGAAGTAGTTAAATCATTGTAAAAAGAGAAGACGTTGAACATTAAATGTGATCGTATAGTTATCTGTAACATTTGTTGGTGTAAGTCAAATTATACTAAAGAAGGTACATGGCTACATCACAAAACCTAACAATCCTTCCCGGAATATTTATCACGCATTTTTAACACATCTGTTTCAAAAAACTGAAACATAGTCAAGACTAAACATACATTTTCTGAGCACAATAAATAACCTAGTTTGGGTTGTTTAAAAAAGAGAGGTGTTCAAAAAAATGCACCCTTCAAGGGGGCGTTTATTTGATACGAGGCGTTATTGTATCATTTACGGTATGTTCATAAAATGCCAAATTTCTATGCAAAGCAAAGTGATACAGGCAACAAAACTTTATGCGCAATAGAATGCAGTGTATACACATGTTATATTTACTATACAGGTTGTACAAGGCAAAACAAACAACGACTATGTGGCTCGCAGTAGGTGTAATTAACCTCTATTTGATAAACAAAACAGTCTACAATACAATCTACTTCCGGTCAGCTGATAAAATTTTCTTTTCCGTACACACAAACAAAGCTTTCGTATACTTGGCCAGTTTTAAGAAAAATCAACACGAAGATGATGGACTTTAGTCGGGGAAGAAATGAAACTATAGGCTATAACAATACAGGACTTTCCGGCTAAGTGTTTTGCGATATTTGAAACGTGAAGAGTTTTGGAATGGCGGCCAATGATCATGAGATAGGGACAGTTATCACTTCTCTAAAGGAAGGCACAACTATGACAAGATTTATCTCTGGTAAGAAACCAGAGACTCGGACCTTCGTGCTGAAGTTAGACGAGTTTCAAATCGGTCTATGCAATAACAATGGCAAGGAAGAGTCCACTGGTAAGTTCGTCCTAAGTTTACAGATTTTCATATTACTTGAGTTCGAAGACTGTTTGTTCTGCTCTCCATTCTTGTCATTAAGTCTGTGATTGTATGCAAATCGCAGGTATAAAATATGAAACGGGAAATGTTGAAGCTCTTTTTAAATGCTCGCTTGAAATACGCAATTAAACGAGACTCTTTCACTCTCCCTTTCTCAATAAAAGGTCGATCATTTTCCCCGAAATTTTTCAACATCTAAGTGTTACATTCGTTAAATTTTAACAAAGCAATTACCAAATACCTTAATTCTACCTCAGACATATAAGGCATGCTTGCTATGTGTAAACAATCTTCGAATGACTTGATATTGGCAATTTGGCATGTAAATTTGCAAGCAGGAAGAAGAAACACAATATTGTTACATTATCGAGTCAGGTGAATGAATTCTTTCTCTACATGCAGATGCTGTTCATGAAAGGTTATTTAAATGGCTGCTTTATGTAAATGAACAACACACCCACATATCTTTGAAAAAAGTAGGAAATTTGGAGTATTTGACATTGAGCTACCTGCTATGTTGTTGACAGCAGGGGGGAGGTGTGAGTACGAAATTGTTCAATTCCATGTGATAGACCTAACACAAATACAACCTTGCAAACTGTAGTGTTTTATATTTCATTTATGTGTATTTTACCACTGCCTAGATAGTACAAGTTAACTCCTTTTATATATTTTAGCTTTATAACAATTAACATAACTAATAACGTAAATCCTATTAAATTAAAATAAATTAATAAACATAACATTCCCTCCGGCACAATTCTAATAGTTCTTTAGATAACTTGTAGTGTTCTTTTCCTAAAATTTCGGGATTGATTACCATCTATTTTGGTTTCGTGTGATTACGCAGAGGATACCGGCGATTGTTTGATACCTGTTCACTGTCATTACAACTACCGGGCTCTTTGGTTATCTTGTCAGGTAAGGTCTGTACCTGCGGTAGAGGCGTGGTTTTCAAGGTCGTTGTGGTACTTACAGTTGGTTCTTTGAAGATCTCTTGGTTGATATGTTTAGACACTGTATTTTCATCGAGCACCAGACTTTTTTGTGTCTCCAAGTTGGAGGGATATTCCTCAGCATCTTGTTTTGTCTTACCATCTGGAACTGTTGATCCTGCCAGACTTCGCAATTGATCAATATGTCGTTTCCACAATACATCGTCCACCAATACTCGATACGTAACTGGACTTAACTTCATTTGAATTACTCCCTGTATCCAACGATCTCTTCTTGCTCTATAATCTTTTACCATCACTGGATCTCCAATTTCTAACTTACGCTTTGTCAATTTCGGCAATTGATGTGATTTCTTATCCATTTTATTTGCCAGACTGGGATGCAATATATCTAATCTTGTTCTAAGTCATCGACCCATAAGAATTTCTGTAGGTGTACATCCAGTTGCTGTATGTGGTGTGGTACGATATCCTAACAAAAATCTTGCTAATTTCTCTCCAGTAGATCCTTCTTCATTCTTACGAATCTTCATGGAGTCTTTAAATGTTCCCACTGCTCTTTCCGCTTCCCCATTTGAAGCAGGGTGGTACGGTGAAGATAAGTGCATTTGAATTCCATTGCCTTTTAGAAAATCTTTCATTTCCTGCGCAACAAATTGTGGACCATTGTCCGACACCATCTCTTCCGGTAGACCATGAACTGAAAATAAAGATCTTAATGCTTGTATTGGTGGTTGATGACATAGATATAACCTCCATCCATTTAGACTTAGCATCTAGCACTATTAAATACATGCCACCCTCGACTGGACCTGCAAAGTCGACATGAATTCTTTGCCATGGACGTACAGGCCAAATCCATGGATTATTTACTTTAAGTGGAGATTTAAAGCGATTAAATTGACAACTGGTGCAATCTCTCACAGTCTGTTCAATGTCTTGGTCTAATGTTGACCACCAAACATGTAAACGTGCTAAAGATTTCATCCGCCCCCTTCCTGGATGATTTATATGCAACTCCGACAACACCACTCCTTGATATTTGGTTGGAATTACCAATCGGGTTCCTCTCAATAGGCATCCTTCTTCTACAGTAAACTCGTCTTGCTTTGTAAAGAAATATTGTAGTTCCTCTGGTAACTTTCCTTCTGGCCAACCATGTAACAGATAGTATACTACACGAGACAATACTGAATCTTTTTGCGTAGCTTCTCTAATCATACTTACTGAAACAGGTGACCGCTTCAGTTGAGCGCTGTTTACTGCCGCTGCCTCTTCCTCCCATTCGTCCGGTTCTTCAACACTTTTCCTAGGTAACCGGGACAACGCATCAACATTCGCATTGTTCTTTGAAGTTTGGTATTCAATATCATACTGATATGCACCCAGATGAATCGCCTATCTCTGCAAGCGGGAGACTGACAAGACAGGAACACCCCGTTTAGGTCCCAGTATCATAGTAAGCGGCTTATGATCTGTGATTAAAGAAAAACGTCTTCCATACACATACTGATGAAACTTCTTCAATCCAAAAATAATTGCAAGGGCCTCTTTCTCGATCATAGAATAGTTTTGCTCACTAGAAGAAAGTATTCTCGAGGCATAAGCTATTGGTTGTTCTTCTCCTTCGTCCGATACATTTGATAGAACAGCACCTATTCCACACGATGAGGCATCTGTCGCTAATCTCACGGGTTACTTGGGGTCGTAATGTGTTAATACTGGTGCCGTTTCCAATAGGACTTTTAAAGTCTCAAAAGATTTCTGGCATTCTTCCGACCATTTCCAAGTAACTTCTTGTGACAGTAAACAATTCAGAGGATTAACCAACTTTGCCATATTTGGAATAAACTTACGATAATAGTTCACTAGCCCCAGAAATGACTTCAATTCTGTTGGATTTTCCGGAGTTGGTACCTCCCTTATAGCTTGAACTTTACGAGGCGATGGATGGATTCCTTGTCGATCCACGACAAATGCGAAATTTTCCACTGAAGGTTGCATAAAAACGCACTTTGATTTCTTCAATTTGATTCCCATATTTTGAAGACGTTTCAGTGCTCTCTCAAGATTCCGCAAATGTTCTTCATCATTTTTACCCGTAATTATGAAATCATCAAGTATACCTCCTACTCCTGTAAACCATTCAAAACCATATCCATCGTTCTTTGAAAATAGCTGGGCTAGCTGCAACTCCAAATGGCAGTCTTGTATACCTATACAAACCCAAATGTGTGTTAATTGTAACATAACGTTGTGATTCTTCGTCCAAAACAACTTGCTGATATGCTGCCGACAGATCTATCTTTGAAAATTTCTCGCCTCCTCGTAGCTTTGTAAATAGTTCTTCAGCTGTCGGCATTGGATATTCTTGAACGTCTAGACTTTGGTTAATGGTCACTTTATAATCGCCACAAATCCGTACACTACCATCAGGTTTCAACACTGGCACGATTGGCGTCGCCCAATCTGAAAACTCTACCTTTTCCAGGACCCCAAGTTTCTCTAAACGGTAGATTTCTTCCTTTACCTTGTCTTTCAGCGCAAACGGGACTGATCTAGGTTTAAAAAACTTTGGATTTGAGTTTGGTTTCATGTATAAATGTGCCTTAACTCCTTTTACTGTCCCCAACGAATTGTCAAATAAGGACGCATATTGAATTATTAATTGCTCCACATTTTTTACAGGTTTTGCCACTACTTGTTTTATTTGACTCCAGTTAAGCTTTAAAACTGCCAGTCAATTTCGTCCCAACAACACAGGACCTTTATTTTGAGTTATTACAATTGGTAACTTAGCTTTTTGTTTTCCATGTTCAACGCAAACGTCTACTTCTCCCCTCACTGGAACTTCATGCCCAGAATAACTTTGCAGTCTAACGTTGGACTTGCGTATGCATTTTGCAGACAACACATTTCTCCACACATTTTCTGGCATAATTGATACCGCAGCTCCCGTGTCCACTTCCATCTTTACTGACTTTCCATCCATTGGACTAATACTTCCATCTCTTTACATTTCTTTCTCGAATCAGTTAATGTGAACACCGGCCATGTTTTCATATCTTCTTCTTGGCTTTCGCTGTCACTGTCAACGTTGCTATGTGTTTTAACGTTGTGAATTTCGCTGGATTTTTTTTTCTTTTCTTAGCATCTTCCCTTCTCGACTTTTCACTTTTTGTATTCTTCATGTTGTTGCCATCTCTCCTGGGACACTTCTTTAATATATGTCCATAATTTTGACAACCGTGACATTTGGACTTCCGAAAATAACACTTATCGGGAGAATGATTTTTCTTACCACAGCAAAAACACTCGAGGGATGCTGTTTGCACTCGGTTCAGTAATTCTCCGTGTAACGCTGATGTTTCCTCTCTCCGTTAATTCAGCCGCACAAGCTTTTTCTACCGCAGACTTTAAAGTCAAATCAACTTCGCCTAGTAGCTTACGTTGAATCGATCGATCTCGCAATCCACAAACAAATCGATCTCGAATTGCTTCGTCTCGATAACTCCCAAATTCACATGTTTCTGCTAATCTCTGCAATTTGGCAATATATTCCCTAATCGATTCCGCTTGTCCTTGCTCAGCCTTGTGGAACTTATATCGTTCAGCAATAACTATTGGTTTTGGCTCAAGATGTTGTGTTACAGTTTCTACAATTTGGTTATATGTAAGTTCTTTTGGTCTTCTGGGTGCTGTAATTGATCTTAACAACGCATACATCTTACTACCCATCAAGGTAAGTATGCTCGAGGCTTGCTTTTCTCTTGGTACATTATTTACTTCGAAGAATATTTCAAGCCGCTCAACGTACTGCTTCCAATCTGTACTCGTTGAATATTCTTCCATATGCCCCATAAAGGGCACATTAAAACCAACATTTGTCTGTGTACTTTGGGCTTCGTCGTCCATCGGAATCGAATCTTTGTCGCCAACTGTAGTGTTTTATAATTCATTTATGTGTATTTTACCACTGCCTAGATAGTACAAGTTAACTCCTTTTATATATTTTAGCTTTATAACAATTAACATAACTAATAACGTAAATCCTATTAAATTAACATAAATTAATAAACATAACACAAACAACATGTTTTTAGTTGTTGCAAGTGTGTGAGGCATGAAATTTGTTTTAACCAACAATTTTAACTTCCTTCTGTTGGAATTGTATTTATCTTCATTCACAGTTTGTCGTCAAATGCTTGTGGGAGATCAATCTTTTATACCTAGTTGCTCTTGTGCATAGCGTATTCTAAGCAATTTACATGTAGTTGTGACTTACCTGGCACATAGCAGGCTAGCAGGCATCTCTTTTCATTAACGTTTGGGATAAATCAACTAGATTTTGAAGTGAACTCCATGACAAAGTGTTGGGAAAGTTGCTTGCCAGCTGACAATCTTGTGAGATTAACATCAAAATCAATATTCAAAGGCTTGTTTCAAATGCTGAACATTACAACAAGTGGCAAATAGATTTGAGACAAAAGACAACTAGGAATTTTATCTTATTTTTCTTTGTATTTAATGCCATTCAGCACATGTGCAACTAGATTTTTGAAACAGGCCTAACTGCTAGGTTTTCATTGTATGAATTTCATTTATAAAACAGACACAATGAATTACCTGTGCTGATTGGTCTAGATCTGTGTTTGCATTAGCCTGTGCAAAAAAATGAAAACATTTACTTTAAGTTTGTCTGTTTCGCATTATTGTTATTTTATAAAAGAAATAAAAGATGTTTTTCATGTTTGCACTGACTTATGCAAACCTCGTAGATATTTGTGAGAACTCTCGACCTTCGGTCTCAGGCTTGCACTGATCTGCTCTCGAGTTCCTTCAAAGATCTCCTTGGTTTGCATAAGCCTGTGCAAACACAGTAAACATCTTTTATTTTTTATTTGCATGTTTTTGCTTTCTTACTTTTGCCATCAATGACAACATGTGAGGCCATTTTTTGTTTTCTTATTTTTGCCATCAATGATGACATGTGAGGCCATTTTTTGTTTTCGTACTTTTGCCATCAATGATGACATGTGAGGCCATTTTTTGCTTTCTTAGTTTTGCCATCAATGATAACATGTGAGGCCATTTTTTGCTTTCTTACTTTTGCCATCAATGATAACATGTGAGGCCATTTTTGTTTTCTTACTTTTGCCATCAATGATAACATGTGAGGCCATTTTTTGTTTTCTTACTTTTGCCATCAATGATGACATGTGAGCCATTTTTTGTTTCTCAGATTTTGCCATCAATGAAAACATGTGAGGCCATTTTTGTTTCTATAGCCATCAATGAAAACATGTGAGGCCATTTTTTGCTTTCTTATTTTGCCATCAATGATAACATGTAAGGCCATTTTTTTGCTTTCTTACTTTTGCCATCAGTGATAACATGTGAGGTCATTTTTGCTTTCTTAGTTTGCCATCAATGACAACATTTTTTTTCTTACTTTGCCATCAATGATGACATGTGAGGCCATTTTGCTTTCTTAGTTTTGCCATCAATGACAACATGAGGCCATTTTTTTTTTCTTTCTTAATCAACCATCAATGATGACATGTGAGGCCATTTTGTTTTCTTACTTTTGCCATCAATGATGACATGTGAGGCCATTTTTTGCTTTCTTACTTTTGCCATCAATGATAACATGTGAGGCCATTTTTGCTCTTACTTTTGCCATCAATGAAAACATGTGAGGCCATTTTTTGTTTTCTTACTATAGCCATCAATGAAAACATGTGAGGCCATTTTTTGCTTTCTTATTTTGCCATCAATGATAACATGTAAGGCCATTTTTTTGCTTTCTTACTTTTGCCATCAATGATAACATGTGAGGTCATTTTTTGCTTTCTTAGTTTTGCCATCAATGACAACATGTGAGGCCATTTTTTGTTTTCTTACTTTTGCCATCAATGATGACATGTGAGGTCATTTTTTGCTTTCTTAGTTTTGCCATCAATGACAACATGTGAGGCCATTTTTTGCTTTCTTACTTTTGCCATCAATGATAACATGTGAGGCCATTTTTTGTTTTCTTACTTTTTCCATCAATGATGACATGTGAGGCCATTTTTTGTTTTCTTACTTTTGCCATCAATGATGACATGTGAGGCCATTTTGCTTTCTTTTTGCCATCAATGATGACATGTGAGGCCATTTTTTGCTTTCGTACTTTTGCCATCAATGAAAACATGTGAGGCCATTTTTTGTTTTCTTTCTATAGCCATCAATGAAAACATGTGAGGCCATTTTTTGCTTTCTTATTTTGCCATCAATGATAACATGTAAGGCCATTTTTTTGCTTTCTTACTTTTGCCATCAGTGATAACATGTGAGGTCATTTTTTGCTTTCTTAGTTTTGCCATCAATGACAACATGTGAGGCCATTTTTTGTTTTCTTACTTTTGCCATCAATGATGACATGTGAGGCCATTTTTTGCTTTCTTACTTTTGCCATCAATGATAACATGTGAGGCCATTTTTTGCTTTCTTACTTTTGCCATCAATGATAACATGTGAGGTCATTTTTTGCTTTCTTAGTTTTGCCATCAATGATAACATGGGAGGTCATTTTTTGCTTTTTTACTTTTGCCATCAATGATAACATGTGAGGTCATTTTTGCTTTCCTACTTTTGCCATCAATGATAACATGTGAGGCCATTTTTTGCTTTCTTACTTTTGCAATCAATGATAACATGTGAGGTCATTTCTAAACGTATGTTCTATTTTAGTGGATATTCAAGAAATAAAAGAGGTTCGCCGTGGCATCAGTAGCAAGGATTTTGATCACAATCCCGCGTTTTCTAAAAAACTTGACCCAAACAGCTGCCTTGTGATTTTCTACGGCATGGAGTTCAAATTAAAACATTAAGCTGTGCAGGTAATTATGGAGATGTTGTCTATTTAAAAAGTCATTGTCGTTAGAGATATTTTTAAAGTCATTCATTAGAGATGTTGCCTAAAGAGATGGTGTTTATGGTGATGTCATAAACAAAGATGTATTGCTATTAAAAGATGTTTTGTCTATTGAGAGGTTATCAAGAAGACGGATTGATTTTTAGAAATGTCTTTTCTTGAGACGATGTCAAATTTCAATATGAGTTTTGGCTACAGAGATATGTTCAATAGAGATGTTATCTGTCGAGATTTTTTAAAGAAATGTTGTTGATCAACAGCTCCATTTTGAGATGTGTTTATTAAAATATTATGATAAAAACATTTCAGCTCAGAACAACAAAGAAAGAGAGTATTGGGTCATTGGTTTGATCTTTTTAATGAATGAAAATCCTTACATGTCACAACCAAATCTGATTTACAGGTAATTTAATGATGTATTTTGACCATATTTCTATGTCATTTGCTTCAGAGAGACAATACCTCATACATTTTATTTCTTTCAGATGGTTGCTGAAGGAATGGAGTTTATTGACTTCTTCAATCAAGAAAGAGTAAGGAAACATATTTTTTGGAGAGGGGGAGGGAGGGAGGGGACTGGCATCCATTGCAATACGACATCTCTGACGAACTTTTTTCAATATGAAAGATTGAAACACGCGGACATTTTTATATTTTACAACGCGTTTAGGATTCTATATTCGTTCAACTGAACGCGTTTGTTGTGATTTACTTACCGAGGCTTACATCAAGTTTGCAAGCGGGAAGAGCGCAGTGACGTAGCCTGCTCGCAAGTTAGGTCGTTTCATGTAGATCTGCGTCATTATTATTTTCTTTAGAAATCTATTGTTTTAACATCGAGTGAACGTCGAAACATTTTTCCGGCACGAGCAAACTGGCCGACTGGCTTCGTCACTAAAAATGACCAACCAGACTCAGGATGAAAACATACTTTACAATTAGTAAAATAGATTCTTTGTCGTTGGGACAGATCTAAAGATGGTTTTAATGTTTGCAATTGCCATGGTTGCTGACCAAAATAACTTAAGAGTTCTAAAAAGAACTGCTTTTAAGATAAAAGACATTATGCATTTCGGCAGATTACTCATCAGATGTCAACGTCTGCTAAATGACAACCTAAAATCAATCAAAATTTATACTAACAAGAAAAAGTTAACGTCATTTCCAAATTGGCACATGATGCTTAAAACAGGGATGATAATGACGTAATGCCCTTTCGTTGGCAAAAGACGAGATTTGTCAACTTTCGTCAGCCACTAAAATTTCATAACACTCAAAGTCAGCTGTCACATATCAACATGACCGTATAATGTTTACAATGTCTTAGAATTTTGACGCCATTTTGTTGTTTTGACGTTTTTTATTTATTTTATCATATTTTACTCTTAAAGTCACCGTATAATGTTTAAAATGTCTTAGAATTTTGACTTTTCTTATTTATTTTGTCATATTTTACTTTGAAAGTCACCGTATAATGTTTAAAATGTCTTAGAATTTTGACTTTTCTTATTTATTTTGTCATATTTTACTTTGAAAGTCACCGTATAATGTTTAAATTGTCTTAGAATTTTGACGTTTCTTATTTATTTTGTCATATTTTACTTATAAAGGATAACCATGAAAGAAGTCAAACAATTCCTTCAAAGAGCCAACATTAAAATGAATAACGCTCGCGTTCGTGAACTCTTCCAGGTGTGTTGGACGTTTATTTTTTCTCTTTCGTTATAATGAATTTTCAAAGCAAGTTTTTAGTTAAACAAGTTGATGTATTTTCAAGGAGGGATTTTAATGTTTTGCTTGAGAACTGTGAGAAGCTTTACTATTTGTTGTAGTTTTTGGCTCACTGAATTTTAATCGTCTGGTCTACTGTGAACTATGATGTTATATATTAAACTGCAGTTCTAGATTCTTTCATATTTTAATGTCATAGATAATAACATCACGTTGTTGTGATGTACTCAGGTATAGTAACAAGATAATCATTATCTTCAATGTT